CTCTTGGCACTCTTAGGTGAGCAGACTTAGTCAGCCTGTGTTGCCCTAACAGCAATGAGCTGGTGCCCTGACACCAGTGCAGGTGTGGCTGATGCAAGCTTGGCAGAAACATAATATACCCCATCCACTGGGAGTGCTGCTGCAGGAGGGGGAAAGTAGTGGAGAACACCAGAGAGCTCTTCATCAGTAATGCTGGGTGGACTGTTGGTGTTGGCAGGAAGGAGGAAGACAGCAGAACAGGTCCAGATGTGTGAGCCAGCAGTTGAGGACTGCCAGTTCTGGCAGCCAACAACCCCAGTGAAGATTGCAGCCATTGGGTGGGATTGTGGAAGAGGGGGTGGGGGCAGTTCAGGGGGATGCATGGCAAGGCAGTGTCTCCATTGCCTGTATATGCAGCACATTTCTGCCAAGCATTGATGATATGTGTGTGGTGGAGTGATCAGGCCGGTTGCTAAGCCCATGTGACTGGTGGAGGTGTGTGTCGAGCAAGGGGGTGGGCAGGGGGGATGGGCAGGGGATGAATGTCCATATGGAAATGCATAGCATAACATCATAAGCACATAGGTTTGTCAGGCATATTCTACTGGCTATCCCTCCATGCCCAGTAGTCATTGCATAGCTGGCCATCCATAAAGCCAGTGAACACATATGACACCCCCTCAAAATGGGACACATAGTGCACAAGATAACATGTCTTGACAAAGAGAAGCTGTCCTGGCTGGAGGGGAATGCAAATGTTCAGCTGTGGGATGATGAAGTAGCCCATAGTGTAGGAACCATATGTGAAGAGGACTGTGAATTGGTGCAGGTCATCCTTCACATTGATGTGCACCACATTTCCGCTGCCACATCGGACAGCCAAGGTGGTCCAAGCTACCTGCCAGAGGTAGTGATGACAACCAGCAAGGTCTGGTTTGTCCCAAAGATTGGGGTGTGTCCATGTATGCTCAATAATTCTGTGGCGAGTCAGCTGTATCCAGGTGCAGCAGAGTCAAGAACACATACTCTTGCCGCTCCCTGGCCACGTCTGGGTACCGCGCTCCCAGCAGCTGGAGCACGCGCGGACCTACCTCCTGATTCACCGCAAACATGAGCCGCACCATTGCTCGCCGTGTTGTTTGCTTCTGCTGCCTGCTATCTGCAGTGACAAATGGGACACTGTTGGAGCGATGCCAGACACCAAGGTACAATGCTGGGCAGGTGGACCGGGTGCGAATGGAGCTGGTGTCAAGGTTTGGTTGCGAAGAACTCATCCAGGAGTTGCAGGACACGGGCTGACGGGGTGAAACCATGGTGGATGCGGAACGCTGGGCAGCCACTGAGCCAGGTGCGAGGCAGCGGAATAGAGGGGTTGAGCTCATACACCCAATCACCCTGGGCCGGAGCAAGGGGGAGCTGGTCGGTTCGGTCAAAAAACCCAGGGTAGAGTTCATCCATCTTCTTATGCACAGCATTATTGCTCCCCAAACGCTGCACAAACTCGTTTGGATTTTCCGCAAGCACCTGAACAGTGTTTCCCTCAAGTCCCAGCTCAGCGACATGCTGATGCCACCGGGTGTTCCGTGCCACCTTCACTGCAGTGCTGCGTCCATGTCGTTTCTTCCATGGAACTCGTGCCGATGGGTGTTGGTGTTGGGTTAGGGGCAAACAGGGTGGGTAGGGTTGCGGTTGCGGCTGCACTGTGCGTGGTGGCATGGCATGCACAGGCAGGTGGGCAGAGGGTGGGCAGGTGGGGGAGGGGGGGGGGCACGGGCTGGGCTGGGAGAGCTGGGCAGCCGGGCCTTGCGCTTGGCGCAGCCACGGCTGCCTGTGCCACGGAGCGGCAGGGGGGGGATGGGCAGCAGGCAAGGAGGGGGGGCAGGAGGAGGCAGGAGGGGGGTCCGTGCCCGGCAGGCAGAGAGAGGAGGATGGCTGGCACTGGGGGCGCAGCCACGGGGGAGGGGAGGGGCCATTGCTGGGCCCGGACATCATGCTCCGTGGGGAGCAGTCTTCTCCAATCGCAGGTCGGTCCATCGAGGCTTGATCCAGTCCAGGGAGGGTGTTGACAGTGCCCAGGCTTTGCCCGCGTCGCTCAGGATGAGTACCAACAGACGGCTAGTTCAGGTAGGCCAGATGGTCAGGAGGCACCAAGAGGCAACGAGCACGGGTCTGCAGACGACACGCAAACTTTGCCTGCCGTTTGCCTCCATGGCACGTGGCCCTGGTGGAGGTGGGATGACAACCATCGCCGTCGATTAGTTCTTTCTATAGGCTGGCCTCCACTGCCGTTCTAGTTGGTTAAGCCCGACGTCGCCTGGAGCTGTAAAGTGAAAGAGGAAATATTACCGCCTCGGACTAGATACTCAACGGAAAATAGATATCCATCCTTCAAGTTAAGAATGAGAATTAGGGATGGTCATGCCTAAAGTCATGGTCAGTGGCGTCGATCAAGATGCGGGGCATCGGACATCCGCGCACTCTTATTGGATATGCGGCGATGAATGAATAGTAACCGGGCACACCCTTGATCCGCTTACAACTGCGCGGAGTTTCTCTATCCGCGACTCCGACGAGAGAGGGCGAACGGACTGCATTAATGGATGATCCATTAATACGGTCCTGCTGTAAGGACTGTTGGGAGAGGATGGAGAGCAAACCGAGAGAAGAGAGTACGCGGCAACGTTTATCCCGCCCGGTGCCTTGCTATAACTATCCCCGCATGACCTTCCCGCTCATCCGCCACGGTCGCTCTATTTAAGCCTTGTAATCTCTCATTGCCGACACGCTGGTCATCTCCTCACCCTCGTCGCATTCCTACCCTGTACACCAACCCAGACCGACAGCAATGGCCTCCATCGATGTTATGCGTGATCCAACGAAGACGGGCAAGGCGATTCGTGCCCAGATCCGCGACACGATCCCGGTGCGCTGTGCTGTGTTATTATACCCATGAGCCGTCGCTGACCCTGCACGTGCCGACAGAAAGACCTCGCTCTCGAGACCGATTTCAAAGAGGGCACCAAATACACCATCACGGAGCATGTAATCAAGCTGATGGACGAGCTATGCAAGGATCCACGCACGCTCAAGGTGTTCACCTCTCTCGTCAAACATCTGCACGCCTTCGCTCGCGAGACGGGACTCACGCACGACGAATGGAGACTGGCGATCGAGATGCTGACACGGGCGGGCAAGGAGTCGACGGACTTCAAGAACGAGTTCATCCTCCTCTCTGACACCCTTGGTCTCTCTGTCTTGCTCGACGAGCTTTCCCACCCCCGCCCAGATGGCGCGACCGAGTCGTGCGAGGAGGGCCCATTCTTTACCGTTGATGCACCAGAGCTTCCATCTGGCACGTCTCTCATCAAGGACGGCACACTCGGCGAAGCGATGTTCTTCGAGTGCACTTTGAAGAACCTTAAGGGTGAACCGGTCAAGGGCGCCAAGCTGGAAGTCTGGCAGGCTGACGGCGACGGTCTGTACGACGTGCAATACCCGGACCGCGTAGAGGCCAACAACCGTGCCCGTATCATCGCTACCGATGATGGTATCGCAAACTTCCACGGCGTGATGCCGACCGCCTATCCTATCGTGCGTTTATCTATCAATATCCGGACTGTTAATTGCTCATAGCGGATGCAGCCCTCTGATGGCCCTGTAGGCGATATGCTCGCAGCGACCGGGCGTCATCCCCACCGCGCCTCTCACCTGCACTTCCACATCACGGCCCCTGGCTACGACACACTCACCACCGCGCTGTACCCCGATTTCTCTCCCTTCCTCGGCACTGACCCCGTGTTCGCAACACGCAAGTCTCTCATCTGCCCCATGAGCCTGAGCGCCGACAAGGCCGAATGGGCCAATATGGGCTTTAAGGAGGGCGACGTGACGACTGGCCGCGTGCACATCTGGAAATACGCCTTCGTACTCGCCTCTAATGAGGAGGTCGCTGCGCTTAAGGCCAAGAAGTAGGCGACTTGTTTGACCAGGAATTGCCACAAACGGGAGGAGGAATTGTATCTTTGGGTATTTCGGGCCCGTTGTACTAGGATCTGTATACTTGGAATAGAACAGAAGTCCAAAGTCTCAGTGACAGCAGGTGGCCTGGTGGTTCCCCTTCCGCACACCCCCATTAAGCCCAATTGTGGTTTATTATGGTTACGTAATCATCATTCCTTTCCCTTAGAATGAGGGGACTGCTTCCGTTGACACGTGCAGAGACAGAAGCTTCGAGACATCTCGTCACATCTCTAGGGGCAGGCTGACCGTCGCCTCTCTTTCTTCAACCTCTAACGCATCGGGCAACCGGACCTGGTGCATCCATCTCGCACCTTCAATTTTGCATATGCTCGCTTCTATCAGCTGAAATAATACCACACTATGTCTGCCCGGAGAGGCACAAAACGTCCGCAGTCTGATGGTACGCACCGCCCTCTCTCACTATTTCCCTTCTCGGAACGTTGATCTGGTCTCTTCCTGTCCTATTATTCCATCGAATTATCCAGGAGCAGAATCGTCTCTCTTATGGAGCCGAATTGTTCCCAATTTGTCGGAGCTCACCAAGATACAAATGGACCAGGAGCGGCACTCAGCGTTGCACAACTTCAACAAGTGGGCTGAGAAGATCTTAACGGAGACGTCATTCTTCAAGGCCACACCCGAGCGCGCAGAACAGGCAAACTTGAAGCTGCATATTGCTATCAGTCAGATCAGAGCTTCCGCAGAGGCAGAGGAAACGTAGGTGCTCGCCTGTCACGTGATTGACGAGATCTGACGGCAACATCGCCTCATGTTTCCAGTTTGATCAACCAGGTTCTTGAAGATTTGTCTGTATTCAAAGCACTAAGAACCGCACCACAGGAGGCTCACGGTAAGGGAACGAAGCGATCCCATGACATCATCTATAACCCAGATCTAGAAAATCGTCGCAAACGCCAGCGACTATCGCCTCCTGTCTCCGGTCGCGGAACTCCTCCCGTCACCAACGCAACGGCTCGTGCCGCCACAAGTGGATCACAAGGGAAAGTCAAGACACGAAAAGACACCATTGCAATGCAGTTTCCGCTACCAGAAGGGCGCCGTGTTGCATACCGACAATCGAGGAAAGATGAGGGTGGTCAGAAAGCACTCAGAGAAGAAGCTATACGGCGTCGAGCGACAGAAACGCCAGAGCCCGAACCAGAAGACGAAGAGGGCGAATGGATTATCGCTGTTGTCACTAAACGTGGCAGGAAGAATCCGTCGGTGTATGTTACACTCTCATATTATCCTGCTAGATCCATTGCTGAGCCGGTCTCCAGCTATACCGTGCAGGATGCGGAGCCAGAAGATCCAAAACACCCAGGGTACGGAACAAATAACACATCGTTGTCATTCAGATCATCTTACATTCAATCAGGACATGGACCACAACAGCTCGATCGCTCATCCCACTGCCAGACCCGAATGCAGGGCCCAACACTCCAGGTCATTTCAGTTCATATGGACCTTTCCTCGCAGGAACTACGATACTGGGACATTTTCCGGACACATCTGCGTTCTACCGCGCTATCGTACACCAGCCACCGAAACCTCCGATTACCGAAAAGGTAGGCGACAGATGTATGTCAAGCTTAACGGCTAACGTATCGTGCAGTCTGTCTATAAACTCAAGTTTGACGGCGACAACGACATGATTCGAGACGTCAGTGTACTTATGGTCATTCCTTACCCTGGGTCATGATAACCGGAGATCTGGAAGGAAAGCATGTAGTATCAAGGCCTGGTCCTCCTTAGACTCGGCTTGTACAACGAGATCGGATTGCAATGTACTTGGATTCTCATCGGGCCGCAGGTCAATGTACACATAACTTATACTGTATATACATATTTGTGGCATGGGCACATTTCAGGCTTAGTTCATTGGTTCATCGTCACTAGTGGTTTACATGTTTAACTTCCGCAAAGACACGTCATACACTACTTCTTCGATACGCTTCACATCGTACTTGAGTCTTGGGAGTGCGTCAGCAAGTATATCAGAGCAAGGGACAGCATCTTACGAGTCGAACCGCCTCCTCATACCATCGTTCTTTAAGTTCAACTGCGGGATATGAGAATACTAGCATGGATTAATGAGAGTAGAGTAGTATACCAGTGAGAATCCCGCGAATAAGTCCTTGACAAATATCGATATGCGGAAAGGTGCGTCGAAGTCACCCAGGGTCACCGCGTTCACTGTTAGTCGAGACTGCGGGTCTTTCAGTACAGGCCATACATGTGCGATAATGAACCTACAAGCTCATTCACAAGTGAGATAATACCCTGCAGGTAGTCCTCGGTAGCGATCGTAAATCGGTCGCTCCATTCCTCTTGCACTGGTACAAAACTTAAGTCAAAACCGGGTTAATGGATTACGGCTTACCTCCGATCGCTTCGTTCGCCTCTGATAGTGTAATAAGAGTACCTTTCTCCAAGAATCTGCATAGCGCTAGGACGAAGACAATGCCTTGTATTGATTGCGCCCACGTGTTCTTCCACCTGCAGGTTGCAGCTGTAAGCAGGAGTGCAGACCTGTGCAAACTGAACATGCTAACCTCCAAAAGCTATTTGGAGGCACGATCTCAGCCATCGCCTTCGCATTCTGTTTACAGCTTTCAATCAGTGGTTTGACAGTTTCGATGAGTTTGGGAACTTCGAAGACGTCAGCATCACTAGGAGTGTTTTGACCACATAGAAGTCGCGCACGTTGAGAAGTGGGCGTAGCATGGATCTTATTCATGATTCCTTGCATTGAACGAGATTTTTGATCGAGCTTTGATGACTATTATCATCGATCTATGACATGCATATTGACGCCGGTGAGCAGTACTCACCTCGTCCTTCAGCTTCTACGGATTCGAGTCATTAGACGCCCCGAGTCATCTTCCGACTGTCCATAATTTACCTCGCGGAGCGTTGCTTCCTGCTCAAGCTGGACAGTTATCTCTCCAAATTCTCTCTCATCCATTGTCTTGTGATGTCCCTTGGTTCAGATTGAAGAGAATGTTAAATGTCCCGGTAAGAGGTGGTAATTCCAGCGATCGAGCGACTCAAACATCACCAGCACGCGTCTGGCGGATGCTTTTAAATCCCAAGGCCCTGGGCCTGAGGTACGCGATTGAGTGTATTATAACTCATCCTTGTCCGACCACATAGTCATACCCACTCTAAATCTCGTCCAAACAACTCAGGGCGCAGATACCATCAGGGAGGGTGTGATACATCATAAGTCCTAAATAAGCTGGAGCTGGTGAAGGGTCATGGCGGGGGCGGAAACCAGTCACCGGACGCGAGAGGAGCGAGAGATTGACGAGATGCTCACCGACTTTCGGGACAATCCCACGATGGCGAAAGATGTCATTGAGCGAGTTGTGGAGCCAGCGATGGAACGCATCCTCAAGTTCATCATTCAAGCTCAAGAGCAGGAAGCACAAGCTGGCAAGCAAAGGCATCTGTTCTGCGATCGCGTTGATCCAACGGTCCGCGAAAGCGCTACTTTCCTGCTGCGCTTGCACGCCTATGAAGCATCAAATACCAATGGATGGCTTAATTGTGTGTGGAGGTGTATCCAAGCTTGCTATGATTGCTCGAGAGGTCATGAGGAGGCAAAGCGCAGGCTACCTTCAACGTGCGTAATTCCCTTTGTTGTCCATCTTCACAGTGGCTAACACGAAACAGGTATCTATCCGCCTACCCTGTTAGGAAGATAAATGGTTTTATGGAGAGTATCGATAATTGGGAGCGTGAACGGATTCTAGTCGAATATGCGAAGGCAAACTTCTTACCCACCATGCCTGCGGACGATCGCACCATCCAATCTGTGCCGCCACATTTGTTATACCATCTCTTGGTGAACATCAACTTGCTTCAAACTCCAAGATCACCAGAAGGTATCCCGCTTGAGGCATCGTCAATTGCAGCATTGATCCAGAAGTTTCCTCCACGAAACAAAATCGAGGATTTCCCAGCAAATCCCCCACCTGGTGTGCTGCTTTTCCTTTTTCACGAGGACGAGAAGCTACGAACCTGGGCCCAGAAACAGACGTTCAATGCTGTTATATCCGCCAAGGATGTTGAACTATGTTTGGGGCCGGCACTGTCGGTCATTATAGGTTCTGTAGAGGGCAAGATTGATGTTGCATGGTCCACGCCTTCGTCACCGTTCTTCCTCACATCACAAACGCAATTATGGACCTCGTTGTATTCCCTGCTCCAGACCTTTTCCCCGGAGGCGCTTTTATCCCTGATTAAGAGGGGGGACTACGAGTGGACATATTTCCTAACGAGGCATCTACACGATCCTGAAAGCCGTGAGTGAAAAGCATCTCCAGGTTTCAATCTTCTCAGTCTTCGACAGACTTTCCGATGGTTCTACAATGTTTTGTACACATACTGCACGAAGTCACGTCATCCTTTTGGACTTCTGATTCCGTCGAATTTTCTGAAGTTGTATACGACTCAATCAAGGATAATCCGGCCTTTGGGAGGCTTCTTGAAGCAGAGGCCCACATTGAAGAGCCTTGGTTCCTCACTTGCTTTCAAGTACTTCTTCTAAGTGTATGGGATAAGCCTGTGTTCGACCCCATACTCGCGAAGGTCATCAATTTCATGAGCGAAGAACTACAACACCCTCGATTCGAACCGCCTTGTCGCGCTCTAGTTATGCAAGTTGTGCTTTCCGTAAGTCCGTGCATCTGGAATCGTGCGCCATCACTCACCGGATGCGAAGACAATGGCTTTTGTTCATAATGAAGCAGCACAGAAGGGCGACACCCAACGAAAGGAGGCCATTACCCAAATCTTCGCCATCCAAGCCACTAACATCGCTGGCGTTGCCTTCACACGACAGTTCAGTGACTCCGCCTGGGAAAGAGCAAGAAATCAAGCCGTCTCGCTGCTAAGAGATGTCTTCGAATTTGATGTGATCGTCCTGGATCAAGCTGTAGTCGAGATGTGCTCAATCCGTACACGGGTTCTCAAATCCGACAAGGGGAAGGATACTCCGGAAGTGAATGTGCAGGCGATCGTGGATGATTTGAACAAGGTCCGACACACTGTTCTGCATCCTGCTCTATGGGAAGCGGTGCGAAAAGCCATACCCCTGAACGATACCAAAAACTTTGCTTTCCTGGTTCATTTCGTGGCACCATCCCTTCATCTTGCGCTGGATCCGCAGCATGCATTTCACGACAACCAACTTATAAACGATGCCGTTGTCCGCAAGACCTTTCGGAATGCCGTCGAGCGTGTGAACGCTGGTATTTCTGCAATTCGAATTGGTTTCGGTCCAATCCTGGCAGCATTTGCCGAAGCAACAACTCAGGAATCGATCTTGACTCTGTTGGAGTCACCGGACTTCGTGAAGGACATTCTACGGTTGATCTTGTGCCCGCTTGAGGATGTGTCGTTGGCTGCTCAAGATATCATTACTCAAGCATCTTTCGCGCCTGAGCGTATGGAAGTATTTCGCTTCCTACTCACCAATTCACCTGAATCCGCCATTGATGGTATTGTCGATTATCTCCAAACGTTCAATGGCTGTGCTGCGATCTTTCCTGAAGTTTGTGGCATGGCTCGCTGGATGGTGCGGTGTCTGGCGGATGTGGTCGATGCCCTCTGTGATCCAATCTCTGGTGTCCTCCGGCAGGACAATATTGTCAACAACCCCCAGATGCCGAAACGCATATATCATCTCTGGCGTGGAATGTGTCGCGCAAGTTCACTCATCTTCAAGCACACCTCCGCTTGGGCCCCTTTTTATGCCACTTCTATCATGACCGACTGGATGCGTGATGCGCTCATATTCGTGCGGGACCTTGTCAGGAATCTACAGGTCTTCGAATCCGCCATCCGTGGCACTTCGCGAGAGGATGTTGAGGAGATTTCGCCTGCCAAGATCAAATTATCCAGCGTTGGGCGCAAATGCGTTGGACATCTCAGCGATGTGCTATTAAATCTTGTTAGCTGGCTGAGATTGACCGACGCGGAGACACTGCATCAGTCTACGGAGTTGATATGCGAACTGCTCAAGATGTATCGTCGTACGCATCTTAGCCCACCGCAGGAGGCCATCGATACTATCGAAAAGAAATACGCTTTGGGTGGCAAGAGTACAGGCAGACTGACCAGAGAACAATCTTCGAGTCTCACAGATGCAATCACTCCATTTGTGATCGTCGAGGTGGAGGATGAAGAGGACGAAGTCACCTTCATTAGCCACATCCCGAGCCAAGCTGCCGAGCCTGCACCACCCGTACCGGGCCCTAGCTCGAAAGAGATTTCTTCAGCGAGAAAACAAATGGATATATTCAGCCAAATCCAACCGCCAAAGGTGCACGGCTTCAAGAAAGCTGGGGAACAGACTGGTAAGCAACCCTTTCGCGGAATGGCCCTTGACGTTATGTTGATGTTTTGCAGACGTGTCTCGGGCGCCCCTGGTGTCGGCGGCCACCATTCGGGAACGTTCTTTCCCCAAGAAGCCGATTATCAGCCGTGGTCCGCCGCCTAAACCAACGACGTTAATGGGGCAAATGCGTCAGGACTTCAGGAGGAATCGCCAAGGCATTTCAGTCGTGGTACCATTAAGAAAGCATGAACCGAAGAATGAAGGTGGCCATCCCTTGAAGATTACTGGAGAGTCGGAAACCAGTGCTGAAGAGGGCTCCTCCGACAGCGACGCGGGTCAACATTACCTGTCCAGGCTCCAAAAATCACCAGTGAAGCCCTTGCGCCCGATTGCCGCCAAGCCACCTCCAAAACCGGAGCGCCGTCAGGTCCAACTCCTTGAGGCCCCCAATACATCGTATAATCCGGTACTGGAACGATTGAGGCAACGAGAAGCGCAAGCGCGTCGACAGAAGAGATTGAAGCCAGAACTAGGGTCGTTCACCCGTCAGGTATTACTATGGGACTACGAGGATCAAAGTGAAGTTCCGCCGTACCCCCTCGGAATGCGCCCAAAGCTCTCCCAAATCCCATGGCTTTTCGACTCGTACGATGATTATCGTCGTACCTTCGAGCCCTTCCTCATGTATGAATGTTGGTCCGGTATTGTGAAGTCAAAGGAAGACCCTGTGCAAAATATCGTGCTGTGCGATATTGGTTCAAGATCTAACACTGATGACTGGCTCGATCTGGACGTGGGCATCAATACAGACAATGTATCCAACACATGGTTCCTCATGGATACCGACGTTGTTCTTTTGAAGCAACATCTCGGCCACAAGAGTCTTATGGCGAAGGTGGAAAGTTTCAGACGGACTGCTCGCGGCGTAGAAGCACGTTTAAGATGTTGTTTAGGCAACGATCCTCGTGGCCTCAATGCTGCCCTACAAATTCGAACCCAATGGAAAGCTCACAAAGTATTCAGGTCCGTTCTTTGCTCTGTACCACTTGCCACAATTTGACTTCAGCAGTTTTACTACGATTTACCGCGAGTATGCAGCGCTTCAAGGACTGTCATTATATGACATGTGTGATGATATCCTGAAGCCGAAGCCCGCACGGTTGCCCAAGTTCTCTGACATCGAAGTTGGAAATGCAATGAAGGCATTTGAGGTGAACGAGCCTCAGGCTAATGCTATTCTTGGGTCGATGCAGGGCGACGGGTTTACCCTCATACAAGGGTGAGAACCAGATTTCTCTCGTTTTGGTGCGCGGACTGAGATGTTGATAGACCTCCTGGAACCGGAAAGACGAAAACAATCTGCGGGCTGGTCGGCTGCTGGCTGTCAAAACGAGGGAGTGCGACTCATCCTGCGCGGCCCAGCGAAAAGCCCGCCAAGAGCAAGATATTGATATGCGCACCCAGTAATGCAGCCATCGATGAAGTAGCACGAAGGATCAAAGATGGTGTACGAACTTCCAACGGCCAACGAACCTCCGCGAACGTGGTTCGTGTCGGCGCTGACGCTGTCATCAATGTCAGCGTAAAGGACATCTCTCTTGATGAACTCATTGAAAGGAAGATCAATGCTGATGTCAATCTCAAAACAGACAGAACGGAAGCCCAATCAGACATAATCAATTTGCGACGAGACATAGAAGCTGTTCAGGTAGAGGGGCGAGCCAAGCAGAAAGAGCTTTCTGAAACCAGGGACAATGGTGCACGTGCAGCGGCCCTCGAGATTGAGATCAAAGCACTGAATCAGAAGCGGATGGGACTCACATCTAAACTTAATCAGATGCGGGACAAGCAGAAGGATGCCGGCCGCACGATGGATGCAGCTCGACGCAGATTCCGGCAAGATGTCTTAGATGAAGCTGACGTGATTTGCTGCACATTGTCTGGTTCTGGTCATGAGCTCCTCAGCTCGTATGACTTCGAGACCGTCGTCATCGATGAAGCAGCGCAGTCCGTCGAGATGTCGTCTCTCATTCCGCTCAAATATCAGTGCAAAAGATGTATCCTTGTTGGAGGTAGGGAAATACGTGAACGTGTATCCAGTTTACTAACATTCTGGAACAGATCCAGAACAGCTGCCTCCCACTGTGCTGTCACAAATCGCAGAGCAGCAGGGATACTCTCGAAGCCTGTTCGTGCGCATAATGCACCGACGTCCTGAAGCTGTTCACCTCCTGAGGTAATTCGGCACTGACATCTATCATGAGTACGAATCTAAAAGCCTCTGCAGCATCCAATACCGAATGCATCCGGAAATCAGTGCTCTCGACAGCGCCATGTTTTATGATAATCGGCTCAAAGACGGACCGGGCATGGCTGAAAAGACGGCCCAACCCTGGCATGCGGATCCCTTGTTCAGCCCATATCGCTTCTTTGATGTTGATGGACAAGAAACCAAGGCAAGAGCCGGTCATTCACTGGTAAATGACGCAGAAGCGAGTATGATCTTGGGTCTTTTTGGACGCATTCGAGCTGAGTTTCCTGCGGTCAATTTCGACTACCGTATCGGCATCGTGACGATGTATCGCGAGCAGATGTTCAAGCTACGACGCATGTTTCGGGATTATTATGGGGAGCACATTCTCACAGCAGTGGATTTCAACACTGTTGATGGTTTCCAGGGTCAAGAGAAGGATATCATTATTCTGTCCTGTGTGCGGGCGGGGCCGAATCAATCTTCCGTTGGCTTCTTGGCGGATAGACGTCGCACGAATGTTGCGATCACTCGAGCGAGGTCAAATTTGTTCATTTTTGGCAATGCTGCTACGCTCGAGCGAAGTGATGCGATTTGGAAGTCAATAGTGCAGAATGCTCAAGAACGCAACGTCCTTATGAAGGTGAGTCGTCGGAGTTATCAAGTAAGCAGTTCAGCATCTGACTTCCCTTGCAGGTGGATCAGACTACATTCCGTCAACGCCGATCTACTCCTGCCATTGCATCTACGAAGCCATCCGCTAGCCCCCGCAAACCGAGAGCGGAAGCACCAAAACCACCTCTACCCGAGCTTATGACGCCAAAAGAAATCGCGAAGGCAAAGCAAAATGCGGGCGGCAAAGCGTCGAACCCAGGACCGAGCACACCCCGCGATAATCTTGGGGAAGAGGGGGAGATTGCAGACCAATCGAACCCTCCTTTGAAGAGAAAAGCGAGTGACGATGGTCCTCGACGACCTCCACCAGCGCTTCGTCGAGTTCAAGAAGGTCAGAAGTCGGAGACCATGCGGAACTCAGCGGAGAACCCATCCCGAAATGGAAGTCCTGCAGGACCTTCAGGGCCCGGAAAGCGCAAACAAACAGACGAGGGATCGCGTAGGCCACCCCCAAACTTGAGAAGTCCATATTCGAAACATAACAACGGCAAGAACTCCCCACACTCTGGTGGATATGGTCGCCGAAAAGGTTTCCCGGGTCCGTCATCCAATGCAATCAGACGTGTCTCCAGTTCGGTCGCAGAACCCCCCTTGCCCACTCTGGGAAATCCCATCGCGGTGCCATCAAATGAGCCACCACCGCAGCGGCGACCATTTAATAATGGGGGATCGTCTAGACCACTGCAAAGGCTAGCTATGCGCGGCGATGGTACTACCTCCGAAACGATGTTCATGCCCAAGAAGGTATGAACGACGTGTCTTGTCCGGGACATTTGCTCATGGAGATGTTTAGCGTACTAACAATCCGAACGCTCCTCTGCCCAGTGGTCCATCCAACGCAAAACAGCGTCTGATACAGCAAGCACAACAACAGCATCGATAGACTCAATCCAAGATACCATCTGCCACTGATACCCTCACGCAATTCTCTTCGTCATTCTAGGCTTTATTGCCTTGCTCTCTGCATGTAACATAGGCATGTGTATTATTAGTGACACTCGGATAACAAGATACGTGAATGAATGCATATAGCTGCCGAAAACTGTTTTAGGTCTTGAGCGCTCAATTGCTGGCCGGCTGAGCTGTAACTGACATACAGCGTGGACGACCGCGTGAATTCTAGCCCCCCGAAGTTCAGAAGGCAACATCATTGTATTGACAACACGCTCTGTCCTGGTACCAACAAGTTCGAGCAATGGCATTTACACTACCTAATACACATGATAAAATCAGCAGTGACGACAAAGTGCCATGTAAGTACAACCGCCAACGCTGGTCCATAGCCCTTTGAGTATTGTCTAGTACACAATCGGTTTCACTTTACACGTAGAGGTTCTAAGCAGAACCGCCAAGGAAATATTATATCTAATCGTCATTAGCCTGGTCCAGAACGCTGTTGAGCAATTCAGTCGCCTTCTTCCGTAAGGCCGGGTCGATATTCTGACTATCTTGCGTCACAAGCTGGAGCGCAACATTGATCGCACGATCCATCTTGTCGCTTTTCTTCCGTTCGGCTGGGTCGGTAGGCATGTCGTCAAGTGTGCGGGAAGAAGACGATTGGGGGCTGTTGAGCTGTACAGTGGGAGCGTTGGGAGCTAAGAGGTTACCAGCAGATCTACGAGAGGTCAAGTTCATCCCAGGTCGGGGGGAGACTTGTGCTTGGAGCGGAGGAGCGCGCCGGAAGGGGGAAGAGATCGTAGGTGCGTCCATCATTTCGGACGCTTCGTCATCATCGTCTTCGTCGTCCGAGGCCTGTTCCTCAGCCAGTGCAGGCCCGTTCTGGCTCGCGGGGGTCAGCGTCCCTGCAGGGGGGAACTCGTTCCTATCTGGAGGGATACTGTACCGAGTCAGTCCCTGGCCCTTTACGAAAAAAAGTGACGTACAATTGGTTGAACTCTTTCAGCCAACCGCGGTTATACCATATCATAGCAGTAAACGACGTGAGCTGGCCCAGGTTCACCCCTTCCTCCCGAGCACGATCCATCTGCCTCCCCACGCGAAACTTGTTATCAACATACGGTTCCAATCCCGCCGCGCGCGCCCAGGCGTCATACTCGTTCAGCCGGCGCTGGGTCTCGAGCAGCCGTTTCCAGCGATTGGCGATCCCGTGCCTTGGCCTAGGGGCACCGATGGACGCGGGGGTGTGGATGAAGAACCGCGAGGGGCGTTGGTCGGCTTCGAGGATATGTTGTGGGCTGGAGAAGACCCATCTGAAGAGGTCTGGGATATGATTCGGCTGTTAGGAGAGGATTGATGCTCAGAGAGGAACGACAGACCTTCTGTTTCCTCAGGGCGCCATACGCTTCCCTCTCCGCGCTTGCCCTTGAGAGGCGGGGCAGATCCGGTGCTCACCACGTTCGCCCCCGAGGGGACTGTAGCTCCAGCCCCAGAAGCCTCATCGTCACTCATCCTCTCGTCCCCATCTCCGAGAGACGAGACCTGACTCGAGGGGAGCGTACTACCGGGCTTTACACGGGGTGAGGGATCTACACTCTGGACTTTTGGGCCGGGGCTGGAGAGGGGCAGGAGAGGGGTGGAGGGGCTCATCGTTGGGGGTGCGGAGGTGGAGAGGAATTGCCCGGGTTGTTGGGGCTGGAGGGGTGCTTGGGACTGTGACTGAGATTGGGATTGGGATTGGGATTGAGACTGGGATTGAAAAAGCCGATAGAGCGCGTCGTGTCCTCCTCCGGCCCAGCCCGTGGCAGGAGGGAAGGTGAACTGACCCGGAGGCACAGTAGGCGAGTTACGCGCGGGAAGAGGGAGCGAAGGTGGAGGCATGAGGAGTGCGTCTCCCCCTGCAGAAGTCGTAAGCTGGGGCTGGAGTGTTTGTGCAGGAGAAAGGTTCTGCGCTTGATTCTGATTTTGCTGCTTCTGATGCTGTTGGTTCTGGTTCTGAGGTTGGAGCTGGGGGAAGCTGATCCCCTGCGCTTGGAATGGCGGCCCAAAGGAGGAAGGGACGTTCTTAAGTCCGAGCGAGCCGAACGCAACGGGGCTCCCATGCCCGGAGGGGATCTGTGCTTGCTGCCCCTGGGGCTGAGGCTGGCCTTGCGGTGCAGGGGGGAGAGATATAGGCAAGGGGAGGGGGAACGCTTGCTGCAGAGCGGGGCCTGCAGAACCGAACCAAGGCTGCCAGAGGGGAACGTCCGTCATCCCCATGCCCATGCCTGTGCCCGTGCCTGTGCCCATCCCCAGGCCTATAGGCAGTGCCTGGGCGCTGAGCGAGTTTCGCGTGAATTGTTGTTGTAGCTGGGCGAGTGTGACGGGAGAAGCGGTCGAAGTGCGTAACGCCTGCCCTAGCTCTCCAAGTGCTTGCTGTCCCACACCTCCCATGCCTCCCATAGGCATGCCCATCCCGATCCCTGTCATCCCAGGGCCGTTCCCCTGCGCCCGAGCGTTACCCGTCGATCCTAACCCAGAACCAGCACCAGCAGGATCAGGAACAGTCGTCGACCCAGAACTGCTCGAACTGTTCGAACTGTTTCCTCTTCTCCGAGCTGGAGAGGCTGGGGGACGCTCGGGATCGTCTAGCGGTCGTTTGGAGCCTCGAGGGGTTGAGGACATGAGCGAACTCAGGATGAAATGCGTTAAGTGGATCCAAGGGTTTTATTCGTGTGGTGAGGTTGTTCGTGTGATCGTGTGATCGTGGAATGGGTGGTCGTTTGTCGTTGATCGTTGATCGTCGTTAGTCGTGAGTCGTTCCTCGTCGTACGTTGACAAGTATCGCTCAAGCTCTCAGTCCAAGCAGCAAAGCCAACCCGCAAGAGCAGTACAAGCACAAGCACAAGTAGTGTAATCCATAGTACCAGGCTATCCCCTGCGGTAAGGTTAAGGAGCAATCTACCAGGCGTACAGGCGTACAGGCGTACTCAACGTGTTGTAGGATATCCAGCGGTCAGTGACAGAAGGGGCGCTAAGTGGACCCTGAACAGTCATACGAACATGTGTTCGGAGCCGAACACCGCGTGCAGAAGCATATGGAACAGCATTTAGAAGAGAAAAAAAAAGGTTGATGGGCTGTGCGGATATATGCGCTTGGGCTTGTGCTCTCTCTCTTAGTACTGCTTGGTACTGCTGCTCAGCGATGAGACGTGTCGAAGACCGTCAAGGCCGATGAGCTCAAGACGTTGGAACTGGAAACCGGAAACTGGAAACTGCGGGATAAGTAGTGGGAGGGCATGAAATAGATCGCAATTGTGCAATTGTACAAAGTAGGTATGTATGTATGTTGATGCATGCTGTCACGTCTCTTTATCTTCCGGTGCCAACAGGAAACAGGAACAGAACAGAAACAAGCACAGAAAACAGGGAGAAGAGCAGGAACAACAGAAAACGTGAACAGGAACAAGAGCGGGAAAGAGGTAACAGTTGATGATAGGTTATCCTACACGTCACAATGGACAAATCGCGAATCGACGAATGGAGGCCGAACGCGGGCGTGAGCCGGAAGAGCGGGACGAGACCTGATTGGAAGGTTCGCTCTAACGAGAAGATTGCTCGAATAAGCCCATCACTCCAAGCCAACGCCCCAGGCCAACAACGCCCCAAGATACTGGCTCAGGAAGACCACAAAACCTCAGATCACACTCATGACCAAACGTGTGCGTGTGCGTGTATGTGCGGGGCCAGATATGCGTGAAAAAGCAGGAAGGAAGGATCTAAAAACATGTGCGGAGGGCTCCACGCGATTTTGGAACTGAACTGACAAGAAAGGAAGGCAGGCAGGCGGGTGATGTACGAATCCCAAGTCGGAAGTGGAAGCCGAAGCGGAAGTCGAGGTCAAAGTGGATGTGGAAGTCGAACCCCAGGAGAAGTGCAAGTGCTGGCCGGCATATCCCGCCGTTCTGTGCTTCTGAGGAAATGGGAAAAGGGTCACACGACCTCTTTTCTCCCTTGCTCCTTGCCCCTTTCTGCATTTTTCGTTCTGCGTTCTTCGGGCTTCGGTCTCCTCAAAACGACCAAAAGTCGTATCGTGCCCACACCGAACCAATCCGATCCAAACCAAACCGAACCGAGCCAGATCAAGCCACATCGAAGCAACTCTCGTGAAGCGGGAGAACGCCGTAAAGCCCGGTGGGTCTTCTTGCCCCGGACCCCTGGGGAAGCTGGAGTCTTGGAGCCCTGGGCGCTGGAGGAGTGCTGCTAGCCAGCCCGTCCCTTCTGCTTCTGCCGATTCTGGAAAATGGGTCACACGACCACATTTCCCCCTTCCCCCTTCCCGTTCTCCTTTCTTCTTTTCGCATTTTCGCAATGTTTTGTTCGTTGTTCGTCATCCTTCGGTCTTCGGTCTCGGTCTTCGTTCCCCATCAGCAGGGGGTCAGGCGCCAGGGATCGTACCGGGACAGCAGACACAGGGAGGGGGGAGGACGCAACACCGGCTCCAGGACCCAGCACCCACCGCCCCACCCAAACCAGGCTCTAGCAACACCCCAGCGCCGCCTGCAAGCCTACGCTCTGCACTCTCTCCCCTATGCCCATCCCCACCCCAATCCGAATCCGCACCTCCTTCCCTTTCCCCTTACCCACCTCCTTCCCTTTCCCCTTCCCAACCTCCCCCCTCCCCTCCAGCGACACAGGCGCAGGAGCACACCGATGTCTCCCCCCCACACACCTACATTCCCTAGAACACCAAACCCCTCCACACCTGGGACACGCCGGGAAGCCCCTTCCTTTCTTTCCACAGACCTGACATTTGGAGCTTGGGAGGAGTTTGGAAGACTCTTCGAGCGAGGAGAGGAAGGGGTCTAGCGTTAGGGTGGGGTTTAGGGATTGGGGGCGGGGGAGGCGGGGAGAGGGGGAGGAGGTAGACGCCTTCGAGGTGGAAGTGGAAGTGGAGCTGGGGGTGGTGGGGGAGGTGGATGCATATGCTCGACTACACTTGGGCTCAAGCAATTCGGGGGAAGGCAAGAGACCAAATGGGCCTGGTCCTGGGTGGGGAGACGTTGGCGTGTGGAGTACTTCTGACAAACTAGAGCTGCTGGAATGGGCAAGAGAGGGTACTTTGCCGTATTTCCCTGTTTGGGCATGCGGTTGGGGTTGGGGTACGGGTTGACTGGAGGGCGGGAGTGTGAGTTGAAGTGCCTGAAGTGCCGGCAGGGGGGGAAGAGGAGGAACAGGAGGAACCTCTTCCTCGCTATTCATCCAATACCCAAACCCAAATCCCTTCCCCCCACCCACACTACTCAAGGAAATCCCCCTCTTCCTCCCCCTCCCAGCCAAGCTCAACCTCTTCAAGCTCTGTGAAGCCGACACGCATGGGAGGTCGAATACTGCCTGAGCGAGGGTGGACTGGTTTGTGGGGGATGGAGGGGCGGATTTGATCGGGTTCCGATTCTGAGTCTGGTTGTGAGGGGAGGGGGAGGGGGCGGAGGGAGTGCGCTTGTGTGTATGCTTGTGTTTGGGAGTCGTTGGGGCTGTGGGGTGGGAAGGGGGACGGGAGCGGAGGAGCGCAAGTGATGAGACTGTACGCAGTTTACGCTCTTGTTGGGAAGGGATAGGTGTGAGTGTGAGTACAGCGAGCATCGTTCAGTTGCAGGGGTGGAGAGTAGTGATGATATTATCAGAGTGGGGGATGTTCTATTTATGTCGAGTGAGAGTGAGCGGATGATATACTCCGTTATCAATATGGTCGTGTGCCGTTTATTTAGCACCGAATGAGTGAGAATACTGTTAGCGGGCGATAGTGAGAAGAGAGGGGAAGTAAGTGGAAGAAGGTGGATCCCCCGGCATAAATGGCCGATATCACAGTCCGCCCTACTTCCCTTCCCCCTTCGCTTCTCAAACGGTAAAAAGCTTCTTTTCTCAATAACAGTTTTGATCCCGCTCAACCCCTGATTCTCCCTCCGACAAGTGTCCAGACTGACGGCGCCCGTTTGCTTGATCTTTTATTCACGCTCGAACAAGTATCATCAAGCATCCAAATTAATATTCCCCAGCCCGTATCAGACATTGTCCAAAAGTGTCACAAAGCGTTGGATTAATAAAGCAATCAATACCCCACTCTCCATCGCCCACTCCAAGTGACTCCTGATTGCCCCCGTGTGGATTACGTCACAAGTACTCCGATCAAGCGGGCCAAGAGGCACACAGCACGCCCTTCATACCGAGCTTGGCTAGAGGGGACGTCTCTCGGTTGGTTGTACGACGTACCAGCGAGCGGGCGAGCGAAGCATTAATATTTGGTTTGTTTTGTTGGATCAGCCAGGGCTGGACGTAGGATGGCCCATGTGCTCCCGTCCCTTGCCTCAGCTCACCGCGCTGTGTGCCGCGTGCCAACTGGTCGTGTGCCAAAAAATACCGTCCTCATCGGGCGGTCTCCCCTTCCCTGGGCAGAATCGGGAGAACCCACCCAATGGATGATCAAGGATGGAGAACGGATGATCGAGCATGGATGATAGAGGGACGAATGGGCGGGTACGGGACGGGCGGATCTCCCAGTTGTGCTTTTGGGGATAAGCACCAGCATATCGCGGCCGGGGCGTTATCGATATCACAAGTTGATACCAGCACTACGGAGGATGTTTATCGTCAGGCGCGCTGCCTGAACGGTACATCCTCTTACTCTACATCTTACTATCAGTCCACAGCTAGAGTCTGGAGTCTGGGATCAACCCCTGCCTAGCTAAGGACCATCACATGTACTGTACCCGAATGATCCACTCTCATACATGTATGTATCTACACACCACACAGTCTAACGCCGTGCTCAACGGTGGCCTGCGTCGATCACGAGTAAGGCAAGGGAGGGCTGGGCTGGATCAAAACCCTCCCTCTGCCCTTTGTCATATGCCATATGCACACAGGCACAGGTGCGATGATCCACCTCCTCTACCCCTTCTACTCCCTACTCCCCACCTCCCCAGTACTTGACCCTTCCCTGATCAGACGCTCTCGAAGCCGGAACTTGTCAGACTTGGGCTGCCCTTCGGTGGGTACTAGGACTGGGATGACAGTGCCCGGTCAGAGCCCGGTCAGGATCCGGGCGGGAAGGCGGGAAGGCGGGGAGGAGCAGAGTGGTCAGTGGTAGAATACAGGAGGCCAGGAAGTCACCAGGGCGGTAAGAAGCAAAAAGCAAGGCCGGGCAAAATGAGGAAGAAGGCAGGCAGGCAGGCAGAAGCCGACAAGGGGGAAGGCAAGAGGGAAAGGAAGACGACGCGCCCTCCGGGAGTTCATAGCGCCGGTCGCCGGTCGCCGGTCCCAGTGCCACTCAAGATCGGCGGAGCCCTCCTCTAGGATTCCTGATTTGGGCCTGGCCGTCCTAGGCACTGGGGCGGGGTTAAGGGGGCGGGGGGGTGCGGGGGGGGAGGAGTACAACGCCCACAGGGGAAGATGATAATACGCTAATCCTGTATGCTCCTACCCTTGACTTGGTAGCTAGAGGCTGGACGGGGATTAGGATTAGGCGGGCTCAACCCCACGGGGAGGACGGAGGATAAAGATTGATTTGATTTGGTATGCTTTGGCCAGTACTGTACTGTACTCTGTACAACATGACACACACGACACGACACGCGTCGCATTCACTCCGGTCAGAGGCCGGAAGTGTCAAACCCGGAGAAGATGCAAGGGGAAGGGCTTGCCGCTGGTTGGGTGCGCTCTGCAGGAAGGGGGGGAGGGTAGAGGGTGTATGGTGCGCAAGTGCGCTGGTGGGCGAGGGGCAGGGACGATGCGCGAAACTGAGTGCTACATGATATTGCGAAGAGATGCGGGAGTGCAGGAGTCGAAATCTGATGCATTGCGTTCGAAGAAGCTGAGCAGATCGATAACTGGCCACAACGACAGCGACGGCCACGAGGGAGGAAGTACCGAGACTAGTGCTGGCCAGACGAGACTTATATTTCTATTTTCGTCGGGTCCTCGCTCGTGTCCATCAGGCCTTCGACTAACACTGCCGGGCTGGGTGCGTCCCCCTCCGGGGTATGTACGAGTTGTTTCTCAGGCTTGAAGTGCGCTGCTCCTAGGTTCTTCAGCTCCGGAGGACCAGCAACGAGTGGCCGGCCAAGGCTCGTCAGGCGCGTACTCGTAAACCCCGGTGGGAGGGTAGCGTCTTCTCCACTATCGTCAGACTCCCACTCGTATGTCTCCTCAAGCTCCGCAACCTCGATATCCAGATCTCGCACTTCCCTCCCTTTCCCCTTCCCGAGCACCTCCTCGCCTTTCCCCTTCGCTGCGCTCCTGAACATCCCATGCCCGATTTCTGACTCTTCCATCTCCTCGTCGCTGCTGTCATCGACGTACGAAGAAGGTATGCGCAGGTCGAACGCCAATCGACCGGTATTGCTCCGGGTAAAATCCCAGGAATACCCTCGTCGTGGACCATACAGCGGCTTGAACTCGCTCGGTGTCGGGTAGGCAAACCCCCGCTCCACACGATCCACGATCCAGTCGTACCACTCCTCCAGCGTCCGCCCGTGCAGGATCGCGATGATGATCACGGTCATGTTGTCGCAACCGATACCAGACTTCTCTAGGTCTGCATCTGGCGCAATGCAGTAGTCCACAAGGGATTCGCAGATCTTGCCTAGAGGCATGCGGTGTGCAACGTGCCGCCGTACGTAATCACATACACTCTGCGATGACATGCAGTCCCAGATACCTGAGAAAGGAGAGCATACATTAGCAAGTAGAACCACTGCTCCAAGAACGAATATTTACCGTCACACGCCAAAACAATGAACTCATCCTCTTCTGAAATTTCATGGCTCATGATGTCAGGGTCTGATGTCACAATTTGCCTTTCCGGTGCAAGGGAAAGATTCTTCTTGTATTCGAAGTCACCAAGCGCTCGTGAGAGTGCAAGATTGCCTATAGTTGCCCAAGAGTCAGTTGATGACGGAGTATGAAGCATGCGAACGAACCATTCACGCGTCCATACTCTACCCAACCACCTGCCGCCATGATCCTCGCATACTCCACTGCAACAAAATCAGCTCGCATCTAACTATCACATCTAGGCACTGCTCACCTGTTCCATTCGGTTTATGATCGTAGCTCAGCGGCTTTACTCTCCCCGAGTCGCATAGCACCGCCCTTGAATCCCCGGCGTTCGCCTAGCCCAATCATTATCAGCACGCGCACAGAGCGCATATAAGTGACATACCGCCCATATCTTATTCTCCGGCGTGACAAGACACGCGATCGCCGTGCATCCAGATGGATCATTCCTGAACATCGGATCCGCTCGTAACGCTTCGTCCGTCCGGAGGAACGTATACTTGAGCGCTCCGCGGTAGTCCTTATTCTGGTACTCTTCCTGCTCCGCTAGGCGCGTGTGTACTGTCTTGCCGGCGAATTTCGCAACGGTTGCACCTGATCCGAGTTGATCGTGGATGTGAGATGCATACATAAACAGAGGGAAGGGACAACGCACCTCCATGGCCATCGAACACCGCAAAGAAACTTACCCGCTCAGACGGGTGCTTCTCCTCTTCTCCTTCTACATCATCGACATTTAACACGGTCGTATGTGCGTCCTCCATCGCTGCGAGAACATCGCATCAGAAGTTCGTCCTGCAGTCACGTCTGACGACGACACGCACTTATACGCCACCCTTGCATCTCCGTAACCCCATATGCGAAGCGCTCATCCCTACCCTCATCTGTCGTCTTCTCCGTAGCTGCAACACGTCAACAAACAGTCAGAAAACTCTTCTTAGTGAGCGCACCCGGAGAGGAAAGAGTTTGACCCTGCAAGAGGATGGGTCAATGTATGGAGCGTGATGAGACATAGCGCATACCATGTGAGAATTGGTTGGACAAAGAGCTCGCAAGTCTGCGCGCTTAGGAGTGATCGCACCGGGTGAGAAGCCAGAGAGGACGAGAGAGGACGAAAGGAGTTGTAGATGAAAAGTTGCTCGCGTGACTCTGAAATGGATGATGAGGCGGAAGGAAGGGGTGATTGCGGTGCCAGGTACCAAACTGAGAGATAAAGACGGGGAAAACGGGTCAATTTGTATAGCCACTAAGCGCCGGAGCCGTTAGATGTTCAGAGTACGATGGTTGTTCTAAGCAGATGATGGACCAGGAGTAAAGAGGAAAGAGGAGGAGAGAGTAGGAGAAGGAGGAGGGGCTGCGTATGCGGTGTAGAAGCGTGTGCGTGCTGTGTGGGCGCCGGCGGTATACCAGGGCCGGGGATGTAGACGATGCCTTCTCACGGAACCGTCGAGAGAAGGAGGCGCGAAAATCATACCCGGTCGTTGCTTCCGGACAACATGCATTTAACACCTTTTTTCTTCATTATCCCTCACTCATACTTAGAAATGCCTGGAATGCCTCACTAGCTGGCACCCCTTAGTTTTCATGGGCTTACAGAAGACCTGCAAATTTTCACACCTAGATCTTCATTGTTGAACATGTGCTCTGGGCCCCTATCATCTCCGATATTGAATCGGACACAAAATTTGTCCCTGAACATAAGCGCGGGGCAGAAAGTCTGCTCCCATGCCATGGAGAGCGCAGTTCTCGTAATTCATTTCCCAATACTTGGTACAGATTCTCGACATTGGTATCCTTCACCACCCTAGAATGTCCCTGACGACCACGAGCGCTTTCTCACATAGGCAGACAAGCGCTGTCTTCCCTCCTACTTCGACAAGTTGGACACCCATCAGCGGTCCACTCTCTCCACCACTCACCCTCAGAACTGCCTGCCCTGAGGTCCTCTGTCCATCTGCGCCCTCGTACATATACACATTACCCCCAATACTGAGCCCCTTCCCCGTCCCACCCTCAAAGGCGAGTACGATATTCGGTCCATGGTGGAACGTGAACTTGACGTCTCGTTTAGAGGCAAGAACGAACGCGAGCGCGGGGTAAGTTGCCGCATGCTTCCACTCCAACGACGGCTCCTCGGGGGATGTGCTCGTTGGAGCCGCAAAGAATAGACCGTCCAGCGTATGCTTGACCACCACATTCGCTCCCGTGTGGGGAAATGGTACGGAGAGCAGGTCCACAGGTGCGTGTGGGGCAGGGCATACTACCTGCCCACCCTCCGTCACGTACGAGAAGACGACCCTGCGACCGACCTGGTCATCCCCATCCTCATCCATCTCTCCGTCTAGCAGGCTAGGGACGTTCCTTCCGATCCCGGATCCACTCAAGTTGTCGTCACCGAATTGCGTTGTCCATTTCTCCAGTTGCTCGCGGATGTTCGCCAGCTCCGAGGGATCAACCATCTCCGGGACGTCGACGTCTTCCTCTTCCGCGGTCGCAGTTCCAGCAGCAGCAAACACGTGTATCCAGCGCGTCCCTTCGTGTTGTTTGTCCAGATGCAGGGAAAGCAGCCCGATCGATGACCCAGGCTTATCCCCTGCCCTGTCCCATGTCCAGTAGCTCGTATCCGAATGTATACCGTCCCAGAACAACTTGCGTACGTATACAGGGAATGGGAATGCAGTGCGTGTGTCGCGATCCGAAACAAGAAGAGTTAGGTTTTGCGCAGAGAATAGCACGCGGATGCTCGCTTTTGGCGTAGTGCTAGGCAGCGGGAACACGACCGTGACGGAGTCGTTTGTTTGAGTCCAGGAATAAGGCGGCGGTTTGAGGTCTCGTATTGCAGGAACGTCATTCATGTTCTCGTCCGGTCGCGGAATGGGTGCGATTTCGTCCGCTTGCGGGTCGGGAGGTGGATGTGAAGGAAGGGCACCTAGTGGGGTGGATGAGGCTAGGATGTATCTTTGCGCATCTGGATCGTGCAAGAAGAGAAGAGGAAGGCTATCGCCCGTGATTGCCCAGTCTACAGTGAGCAGCTGGACACCTGGAAGTGGTTGTTTTGATATCTTGAATGAGACACTCATTAGACGGTAAGAGGTCTTCTCGGTTGACCCACCCTTGGTGGACGATGGTGCTGGTGTTGTGACTCGTGTCGACACCGAGATGATGCAGTGCACTTCATCGCCGGTGTCTATCCTGACATGATGCATCCGGAAAGGCAAAATATTATCCTCGTCCCCAGTAGATAGCTTGTAAGATCCCAGCAGCAATCCAGATCCTGAAGCATGAGGAGCTTCCACTTCCACCACGTGAATCTGACCCGAACCGTCCGAAATCGCAAGGACGTTACCGCTGATAGTGTGGACAGCTGGGTATTCTGGATATAGAGTCGGCCGGAGTGTAGCAGGGCTAGGCAGAGTTATTAGATTATAGAATGCGGGTTGACCAGTAATCTGAAACGCTGAGTCAGCCACCGACATGCCCGTTCAGAGCATGACACGTACAGGATCGATATGAGCGGCCACGACGTCGTACGAAGCGGACACATACACCATCCGCCCACTCAAGCAGGCAGACAGGTGATTATGTCTTATTCGCGCTTCCACATCGTGAAATGGCAGATACACGGAATTCGGAACAGCAGGAGCGGCGATTGGCACCGGAAGAGTGTGGGCAGAAACAAGCTCGTTCTGGTCCAGCGCTGACAAGATATAGCTATCAAACTTGGGATTAAGCAGGTTGCGGTCGGCGGAGAAACCGCCATGAGAGCCAAGGTCGTCCATAGTTAATCAGGTTGACAGAAGCTGGAGCGCAGCAAGCCACAAGCGCCCGCGGGACAACCTCGGCTCCTGAGCTCAAAGCTTCCGCTCTGAGGTCCCTGGACACAGCCACTGAATTACGAGCAAAAAGTCGTAGCAGAAAACTTGGCTTGGACGCCAAATATGGCTGCGGACGTCCAATCGTCTACAGACAACATGATGGATCTTCCAACATATCTCAAGATACTGACCGATCTGGTCGAACAAAAAGTTGAAGGATTTACAGCAGGCGATGAGGAACTCCGGGTTGCAGGACTCGAGGCAGCCAAATTCATATTCGACAATGGTGGGTTTTGGAACTTGCGATTATAGGAATAGACAAACTGACAAAACTCCAAGCATTGAAAAGCGAACCTACTGCCTACCCTGCAATTGAATCCCTTCTTCGCTCGACAGTCCAAACTACACAAGAGTTGCTCTCCCCCACCCCACCTTCTCCTTCCGTGGCTGGGAAAAAGAGGAAACGCAGCCCCTCTCCTCTTCCAACCAAACTGGACTCAGGAATACAACCCACTCCGCTTTCGGAGCTCTTTATTCAAGGAATGGACGAGCACCAAGTATGGGAGCAGCTTGAATTGCGGGCCAGGAGGGTCTGCGCCATGGCCTCGGGACTGCTAGAAACGAGCAATGGAATGGACCTTACGGGTGAGGATGAAGGCATCAACGCGAGTGATATGATGGATCTCCTTGACGACGATGATATGGAGGAGGAAATGGAAGACAACGACGAGGATGACGATGATGATGACGATGACATGGACTCCAATGAAGATCCAAGCTTGACCGAGGACGAGACGGAAGAGGAGGAAGAGTCCGAGGAGGGCGGCGATCCTGAGGCGGGATATGGCCAAGAAGGCGTTGAAGACCTTCGTGATGAGAAAGACGAAGATGAGGAAGACGACGATGATCTCTCAGCCCCTCATCCTAATCTGAACGCACCGGGAAGCCTCTCCCGCAAACCCTCACTTCGGAAACGCCCCAAGCATCCCACGCTTGACGATGATTTCTTCTCCATTGACGACTTCAACAGGGAGACGGAAGCCATGGAGGCCCGCACGCGGTCTGCGGGAAGACTGGGGGATGATGAAGAGGAGGAAATGGACGAGGATCTCGATTTGTTCGCGGCAGTAGAGGATGATCCTGAGGAGGAAGGCGAGCCAGCATACCAGGATTTCTTCGCCCCTGTGCGAGCCCAGAAACCTACTTCAAAACCCCGACGCCCGGACCCGTCAGCGAGTGGGAGTGCGGACGACGAAGGCAAGGGCGGTGTGCGGTTCAACGAGTCTGTGCGAGTGAAGACGATCAAACCCAAAAGAGTCATTCCGAAGAAGAGGCGTCTGAAGCTAGACTTTGATCCGAGTGAATATCCGTTCTTGGGGGACGATATAGACGAAGACGGAATGGAGCTAGAGGATGACGAAGAGAGTGAAGAGAATGATGACGGAGCGGAAGAGATGGAGGGGATTGACGACTTCGATGAACAATTTGGCGACCAGGAGGGCGAGGAAGAAGAAGAAGAAGAGGAGGCTGATGACGGTGCAGAGACGATAACCCGCCTGAAAAACGACCTATTCGAGGACGATGAAGTCGATGCTTCATCAGCCAACCTCTCCACACACGAAAAGCGGCTTGCCGCACTGTCCGAACAGATTTCGGCACTCGAAGCTGAGAATGTAGCGAAGAAAGACTGGACTCTCATGGGAGAAGCGGGTGCTCGAACACGTCCCGTCAACAGCCTGCTTGAAGAAGATCTCGACTTTGAGCACACCGGCCGTCAGGTACCGGTCGTCACCGAGGAAACGACGCATACACTCGAAGAGCTTATCAAGAAGCGCATTTTGGACAATCGCTTTGATGACGTAGTGCGGAAAAGGCCAGTGGATGACAAACCATTCCTCCCCAGCAGGATGTTTGAATTGCAGGACACCAAGAGTCAAAAGTCTCTTGCGCAGATATATGAAGACGACTACACTGCGGCGACGACTGGAGATAAGAGCGTGGTGGATGATCGAGACGGGAAGCTCAAGAAGGAGCATGACGAGATTGAAAAAATGTGGGAGGGGATTGCGTACAAGCTCGACGCGCTCAGCAATGCACACTTCACTCCTAAGGCTGTAAGTTTTTGTGTCTTCCTCGAGTGAGAGATCATCATTCTAACTCTTACTTGCAGCCCAAAGCAACCATTGAGACTGTGTCGAACTTGCCCTCGATCTCCATGGAGTCCGCAATGCCAACCACCAATAGCACAGCAACCATGCTCGCGCCGGAGGAAGTCTTCTCGACGTCCAAGGATGCTCTCGTGTCCAAGACCGAGATGACGCCAGAGGAGAAGAAAGCTGAGCGGCGAAAGCAGAAGACTGCTTTTAAGCACGATCACGAGCGGCTCGGGCAGGCTGTACAGTCCTTCGGCGGGGTCAAAACTGTCAAAGGGGCCGTGGGGGCGAAGAAAGGCAAGAAGGGGGTACGGGGCGAAAAGGAAGAGGCTCTCAAGAAGGTCGTCAAGGAGGGCAGGGGGGTCACTGTCATTGGCAAAGAGGGCAAAGGCAAGGGGAAGGAGAAAGCAGTCCCACGAGCGTCTTTACTCAAGCTTTAGAGGCTTTTCTTTTTGCGGTTTGTGGACTTCGTATGATGGTATTGTCTACGATCCCCATGGGTAATGATAGTGATCTAAGATGAACTCTGCCTGTACTCACGTCCCATAGTTGCTCCCAATAGCCCAAAGGAAAGAAATCGTAGTCGTAAAAACTACTCCCCAAAGGCATTCGCTTGATGTCTCCTCCCCTCTGCTTTCTCCGGCAGGTACCTCATCATCACGATGAACACGACGCTAAGGGCGAGCAGTACCGCCCAGGCCAGATAACCCCACAGAATCTGGTACTTGACGCCAAAAGCGAATATGCTGCCAAATGCGGCCGGGACAACGGCGCGCAGGCCGAACGTGATGCTCAGAGCCACGCCGTTAAGTGTGCCAAGAGCGAGAGGTGATGGGCAAATGTCGTTAAGCGCTAGGTTGTACCCCAGCTGTAACACGTTAAGCACTGGTTCATGTGATATTGTGCGCACATACTGTAGATCATTGTAACCGCTGTCGTGCCCACAACACAGAACGCCGCGAGTGCCCAGAAGCCTGCAACATTGCCATGCCTCAAGAGCACGCTCAGCATTACGAGCCTTGTGAGTACAAACATCCGCATCCAACCGCAGTACCGCATCAAGTCCCCTGTTCCGAGACGATGTTGCAGAGGTGCGAAGACGATGAGCATCCATGCGGCTTGGGTGAGGCCGGTGACGACCATCCAGAAGGAGATCATCCCGGGATTGAATCCGACGCCGCCTAGCTCTATGCGAGTGTATAAGAAGACAGGGGGGACTGCGGACGAATGAGCTCCGGGTCGTATACAAAAGCACGGAAGAGAACGGACCAACGGTGTAGGCATTACCGATGAACCAGCCCATCTGGAAGATAGCGAGCGTGATGAGGACACCTGGATTTTTGAGGATCTCCTTCACCGAAAGAGGTTCTTCCGGTTTAGCGCCTTCTTTAGCAGCTGGCTTTGTCTGATTGCAAATCTCAGTATATGCATCTGACTCGCAAGAATATGATAATACCTCTTTGAGGAAGAAAAACGAGAGCAGCGCCGAGGTCCCCGGTAGGGCACCGCACACAATACAGGGAAGCAGATACGGATACTGGATCAGCAGCGTGCTGTTGCCGAACAACCAGGGGAACTGCTCTGCAGGCTTAGCCAGACCGCCACCAAACATAGAGCCGATTGAGAGGCCGATGTTGCCGGCGAACTGGGCGTAGCTGAACGCGTGCGCCTGCGTACGAGAAGTGCTGTTCTCCGAGATCATCGTGCGGATCGTTCTTTGGCCATGATGTCAGTAGATTGTCCAAGTAGAAGAAAGGCAAAAGGACGCACACGAACGAGCCGCCGAAAATGCCTGTCATTGCGCGATAAAGGATCATCTGCCACAGGTTGCTAGAAGTGCCGAAGAGGGAGGTGGCTGCACAAATTCCTGCAGCGCAGGTGATCATAACAGGACGCCGGCCGTATCGATCCGATATCTTTCCCCAGAAGGTCGCGACGATCGTCTGGGTGCAGGAGTACAAGCTCTCCTAGCCGCGGGATGAGTCTCGCGCCAGCAGAACTGAAGGGAGGACGTACGATCAGCCTACTCTAAAAACCTACGTCTGTGTCTGCAATCCCAGCGCGCTCCACAATCATCTGGTTGATGGAGGGGAAGATGTAGGCGAATGCAACACCTTCAGCAAGGGAGGCACAGCAGAGCAGGAGGATCTGTCCCATAGGCAGCTTCTTGTCCTCTTCATTTGCAGCATTGTCAGCAAGAGTAGTCGATGATGCCGATGTAGACAGCAAGGGCGTCTGCTCGTTCTGAGCGACCTCGGCATTCTCAACGGTCATATCGAGAGGGAAAGCGGTCGCAAGGTGATTGTCTCTCGGCCCAGGGTTATAAAGCACATGCCGCGTCGAACAGCTGCTATAGAGACTAAGTCAATCAAAGGGTCAAGAAGGAATGTCTTGTGTGTCAAGCAGCTTATAAAGTCTGCTCACCAATGTGAACTGGAAATACCTCGGGCGGAATGCCACATCGAGAGTCCTCCCGGTTTAGCCATAGCAGGGTGCGACGGGATCATGCCGGCTAGATATGTTGTTGACTGGACGGAGGCTCGGCGCTAAGAATGTCCTTGGGCGCTTAAAGCCGATTTCATATTCATAGTCACTCCACTTGTGCTTTGATAGGGATATTTCTCAACATTCCACACATGAATTTGGGCTGGCAGAAGGTGCACAATTGTAATTTGAACCCATTGTGCCGGAAAAGGTCCTGTATGTTGGAAAGACCTAGGGGCACGGGGAACCTGTCGCGCGATAGCAATACTGTTGTAAAGGAATGCGTGCATGCTGTCGTTGTGACGCTTTGTTAAATAAATGCCGTATCTTTCAATGGTACGAGCAAGACGCTGTAAAGACAGTGGTGTACATGCATGGAATCCAGCTGAGGTGGCCTTGTGAAAGAGCCCAAGCATGACGTTCTCTTTAGTGGCGCACCTCCTTCGAACTGCTCCCGTATATAGGGTTGGTATCACACCCTATCGAAGCCTCACTTCAGGAGACCATACCCGCCGCCTTACTTGTGGACAAAAAGCGCAGCGTTCTTATCCCTTCTCCCTCTTTACTTTCTCTGGTTTCATTAGGATGTCCGACCCAAGGCTGTCAAAGTATGAAGCGGCAGCGATCAATGCCGCTGCGGTGACGAGGAAGTATGGGGTACATCCGCGATTAGGCAAGTGGGAAGTCATTAGTCTCAAGGGGGCACACGCTGATGGCAAGCAATGCAGATTATCGGACTGTGTCCGCCGTCAATGGGTATGTTAGGTGTATATGGAATAGGAGGACATGCTCATTATGATGTAGTCCTCTAGTTGTGCTCGACAATGTCAAGGTGTGTCGACCGCTCAAGAGGATGTTTCACATGCTCATGGATCATTACAGTTCCCCTCATATAACGAGATCGTTCAACTCACCCTTCCCGATGGCTCCAAGCGTGGTGGCCAAGTGCTCGAAGTGCAGGGAAAGAAAGCCATCGTGCAGGTGTTCGAGGGTACTTCCGGCGTCGACGTCAAGAGCACGCACATCGAGTTTACAGGCAGCAGTATGAAGCTGCCTGTATCGGAGGACATGCTGGGTCGAATCTTCAACGGAAGTGGGAACCCGATTGATAAAGGACCGAAAGTGTTTGCAGAAGACTTCCTGGATATTAACGGTTGGCGTGGCATATGGACTCCATTTTCACGTAGGCTCACAAACTGCAGGTTCCCCGATCAACCCTTACTCCCGTATATACCCCGAAGAAATGATCCAAACAGGTATCTCGACTATTGACGTGATGAACTCTATCGCTCGTGGCCAAAAGATCCCTATTTTCTCTGCTGCTGGTCTTCCTCATAACGAAGTGCGTCAGCGAACCACCAAGCAATGCGTTGTCAGCTAACCTTGTGCAAAGATCGCTGCCCAAATCTGTCGTCAGGCTGGCCTGGTCAAGCGTCCTACGAAGGATGTGCACGACGGGCACGAGGACAACTTCTCGATCGTTTTCGCTGCTATGGGTGTGAACATGGAGACTGCTCGGTTCTTCAAGCAAGACTTCGAGGAGAACGGCTCTCTGGACCGTGTCACCCTCTTCCTCAACCTCGCCAACGACCCCACCATTGAACGTATCATCACACCACGACTTGCGCTCACCACCGCCGAGTACTATGCCTACCAGCTCGAGAAGCATGTACTCGTCATCCTCACCGACATGTCCTCATATGCCGACGCGCTGCGTGAGGTGTCAGCGGCACGAGAGGAAGTGCCGGGACGACGTGGTTACCCGGGTTACATGTACACTGACTTATCGACGATCTACGAGCGTGCGGGACGAGTGGAGGGCAGGAACGGGTCCATCACGCAGATCCCGATCCTGACGATGCCCAACGACGATATCACCCACCCGATCCCGGATCTGACAGGATACATCACAGAGGGCCAGATCTTCGTCGATCGTCAGCTGCATAACAAGCAGATCTACCCCCCGATTAACGTCATGCCATCTCTGTCACGATTGATGAAGAGCGCGATTGGCGAGAAGCTGACGAGGAAGGATCACGGTGATGTGTCGAACCAGCTGGTGCGTCAGCCATATCATCATAACACAACAGCTAACACACTTTTAGTACGCTAAGTATGCTATTGGACGTGATGCCGCTGCGATGAAGGCCGTTGTCGGTGAGGAGGCGCTTTCGCAAGAAGACAAGCTCGCGCTCGAGTTCCTCGACAAGTTCGAGCACCAGTTCGTCGGCCAAGGCGCGTACGAAGCCCGCTCGATCTTCGAGTCCCTTGATCTGGCCTGGACACTGCTCCGTATCTTCCCCAAGGAGATGCTCAACCGTATCAACCCCAAGATCATCGAGGAGTTCTATGCGCGCAAACCGGTCAGGACGGACGAGGACGTGCATAAGGCCCCGAACGCAGAGAATGGGAAGCTGATTGATGCTTGAGCGCGTTGTGGTGTGAGTGAGGACATGGGTGATTGTGTGGTTCGGGCGGCCTTCGGAGTTCATTCCTCTACTTCCAGCAGACTATATATACACTATTGCAAAATATTGCAAGCCAATGCAATGCTGACCTCCAATCGCAGTCATCGTGGAAGAGTATCATCGGAATTGAAACGCGAGGCGCAAAAGTGGCCCACATTCGGTGACAAGCAATCTGTTTCCCCGAATCTCCATCACCCCACCAATCACCAATCACCTACAACCCACCGTCTATTCCTCCCCCATGTGGTGGTCCATATACTCCGCGAGCAGCCAATCTGCCAGTATGGTGATGCCGAATGTGAGGCGAACCGGAATGAAAACGGCGCTGGCGACGTAGGTGATACGTGCGAGGATGAAGCACCATGCCAATATCAAATGAAGGTCTCGCTCCGGGTCTCTCCCGGTCTTGGTCTTCATATATCGGCGTTGCTAGTCAAAGTTAATGAGTGTCTATCAGCGTCACTGAAGCTGGAATATTCACACAGGCCGCAACCCATGAAGAGAGGTAGAAATACGGAGGGATGCAGTTAAAGAAGGGCAAACTTCAAGTTCGGCACTCATTATATATCTAGAAATGCAGTCAGAACATCGGATTTCCAGACAAATTTATACGCCCAGCGTCCACAGCTCATCACAGATCTCCTTCAAGGCGTGGCCTCGGCGATGATGTTGGTTCGGCTCCGACTATTGCATCCGGCCCGAGAGTTGACCACCAGTCGCGTCGTGCTCCTCATGGTGGCCCTGTGGATTGGGCTTTTCTTGCGGGATTGGCTGCATGCTTAACTTATGACACTCTTTCTGTGAGGTCTGATGTCTGATCCCTCTGATTACGTTGGCGACGACCGTATCGTTCTCGCTTTTGAGAAGCGAGATGAGTTTATCAAGCTGCTCAAGAGCTTTCTGGCTGTAGACTTGCTCGTACAACTCTCAGCTTCGGAACAAGCCGCGGAGGAACGGACCCTCCTCAAGTTGACCAATATCGTAGGACTTATTCGGATCTATATGTGTGCATGGATTGACAAGTGGTGCAGCTAGACGAGTACCAGGAAGCGGCGTATCTTTTGGACCCGTATCTTGAGGAACTGATCGAACCGCCGATCGAGGCGCTCCGTGCATATGCTGGCCATGTGTCCAGGACTGGCGCGGTCGGACCTACGGATAGGCTCGAGCTTCTTTCTAGGCTGCTGTATTGGTATACCAAAGCCCGAGGATATAAGACCATCAGTAACTTGTTTTTAACATTGTTGCTGGACTGTAAGGTCCTGACGACACCGCAGTCAGATACTTTCCGCATGAAGCCACCGATTTCGGCCTTGCTTTTGGGTTGCTCACCAAGACCCTGGAGACTGTAGCGCCTTGGGAGGTCACGTATATCCTTCTCCTGTGGCTTTCCCTCATCTGCATGCTGCCGTTCAACCTATCGCTCTTCGATGAAAAAGGGAAAAAGCCTGTTGTAACGATTTTGGAAAGCAAAGGCCTCGAGCAATTATCGAAGGCTGGGAAGGAGAGAGATGCGGCTGCTGTGCTACTTTCAAAGCTTTACATACGGTACACTTGATCCGCAGTCTGCAGAGTCGCTGCTTAGATCGTATCAGCCAGGATGTGGAAGATAGACTGGAAACTTTCTTCACTTGGGGCATGCAGACCCTTCAAGATCCCGATCGTGCTTACGCGGTATACAAGAATAAATACCGCACTAGAGAGGCGTTCTCATTTACATGTAGACTCTAGGCTTCCTCCAAGTCGTTGCTGAACTACTCAAAGGAGGCACACATGCAGCGTTAGCCCACCATCTGCTGGACATTGGTCAACTCTTAGACGAGATCAAGCAAGATACGAGTCTGATGCGGAATACCTTGATACGAAAATACTGCTCAAAAATCTCATGTCGTCTTGCAGTCATGCAGCTTCCTGTACGGAATGCCCCAAAGTCCGGTATGGCCTGCTATCCTTGAAATTTCAACTGCTCAATAGACTCTCAGTACGTACCATACGTGGAGATGATAATATGCTTCACAACGTAGATGGCATAGAAGAAACCGACGATAACATACCGGAGACGCTCGATGAGCATGTGGAAGAGTTGGCTACTTTCTTGCAAGAGAAGGTGACTATAGCATTCTCTTGGCAATGAGTCATATGGCTGACCTAATTAAAAGGATACCATCGTGCGATATTCGGCTGCGAAGGGATTGGCACGGATCTCCGAGAGGTTGCCTACCGAGTTCGCGAGCCAAGTATTGGACACTATTCTCAGTCTGTATAGCTTGCACGATGAGGCAGTTCAAGCCCAAGAATACACCCCCGACGCTGAAGGCACATGGCACGGTGCCACATTGGCGTGTGCAGAGTTTGCACGTCGTGGACTTGTACGAGGTGATCATCTGTCAGAAGTACTGAAGTGGGCCAGCAAAGTAAGATACAGATTTTGTTTAGAACTCCCTAGCCCTGAACATTATATACAGGCATTATTGTTCGATATCAGGAAGGGTGCGGTGTCAGTGGGATCGAATGTCAGGGATGCTGCAGCCTACGTGATTTGGGCAAGCGCACGGTCCCAGACCACGGAAAGCATGAAGCCTTGGGCTCTTGATTTAGCCCAACGTTTGGTGGCAGTATCCGTGTTTGATCGAGAGATTACAATCCGGAGGGCAGCCAGTGCCGCATTCCAAGAGAACGTTGGACGTCTGGTGAGCGTTCTGAACAAGATGAAGAATATACCATGCTCACGTCTATGTCAGAATCTCTTCCCTCACGGAATCGATGTCCTTCGAAAGACGGATTTTTATGCCGTCAGCATAAGACGTCATGCGTTCGAGATTGCAGCACCCGAAGTAGCCGAGTATGTGTCTATGTTTATCAAAGTAATCCTGTTGACGTTTGTTCCAGACATTTAGAATATCGAAAGAGTCTACTTGATCATCTTGAGACGATCACTCTGCGCCATTGGGACGCGCAAATAAGAACACTTGCAGCAACGGCATATCGCCGCATATGTGATCTCGATCTTCTGAACCTTGGTCCAACTCTGGCAGTTCGGCAGGTCTGACTCATCGACCCTGCTCTCATCCTCTCACTGATACCCCTATCAGGAAAACATGCTTACGCATCCAGAAAGCACTTTCGTTCACGGCGCACTGCTCGCACTTGCGAACATCGGAGAGTCCCTTGGTTGCCGCACGGAACCGACATTACAGGCGGCACGGCTACGAGCAAGTGCTCCAATTCAGGCGTAGGGGACAATATGAACTGACGATGACTCAGATATTTCAATCTATATCAAAGGTAACCCTTCGAAAGCTGCAGTCCTTTCGGGGAGAGCTATTGCTTGGTGCTGTTTGTGACCTGGTAGCCACCAGCATATCACAAGCTGCCCTCGACCTCAAATCAACTGGTCCACCGTGGCGAGACATTCTAGAACTTGGCTTGAGATCTCGTGACGAATTAGTCCAATATTCCGCAGCGGGCGCTTGGTCCAGCATCAGCAACATAACTAATTGCCAGGTTGAGGTTCGAAGATAAGTTCGGATTCTTGCACGCTTATACCTGTCCTGACACGGAACTTCTACATGGGTGAAAGATTTCGCCACAGCGACTCCAACAATTCAGCAGGGGATTGCCAAAGCTCTGGGGAAGCTCAAATACGCTGCTTTTCCACACAAAGTGCAGGATGCAATATCATGCTTGAGCAGCGCTGTTCGGACTAGGGTGAGTTTCTGTGTTTCATTCATATCCAGGCAATGACAATGATCTCAGAATCCAAAATATGTGACGTCAATTGAAGTCCGTCGAGATTGCTTCGTTGCACTCAACCAAATAGCATGTCAGGATGGGGTTATTATTGGATCAGGTATACTTTCCCTTGAGGAAAGTCCGCACAGCCAATTGACATTGTTATTAGATGGGAATGTTGCGTTGTTTCAGTCTCTCCTATTGGATTTTCAGCAGGGTCTTCGAGATTATACGAGCGATCAACGAGGCGACGTCGGTTCCTGGGTGCGAATTGAGAGCCTGAAAGCTCTCGGAGCAACAATATCCAGGGTGTTCGAATCGTGCACACAACTGCGCGAACCATTGCAATGGATCAGTGACGATAAACTTGCAGAGTTGCTTGGAATGATGCTCAAGCAAAGTGTCGAACGGTTGGACAACGTCAGAGACGAAGTTGGTACTCAACTTGGTCTCATTATGACTGCATACATGTCCAAACCTGTGCCGTCCACAATCTGGAAGATCGAAGGTGCAACGGCGCTTCAAGATCTTTGTGATCAGTAGGTTGCATCACTAGCGGGCAAACTGATGGAGTCTAAATGGTAACAGAAAGGCAGACCGTACGTGGAAAGAACGCGGGTGGTTCTTTCCGAAAGCACTTCAGCTTCTGCTTCTGCCAACATACCGACCCTTCCTTCTCGAAGGAGTGGCCTACAGCATTGGGAGCAAAACTGAGACCAATGTATGCAATGGGCTTTTTTAAATTCAATATCTTTGCTGATGGCCTCCTCAGCTGGGACCAGTAGGCAAGGCCCTATCAGACTTCGCGGCAACCTTGCCTGTATCGGAATCGGACGGGAATACTTTCTCCTTGTGTCAGCTGTCAAGAGAACTGCTGTTGCAAGTCCGATTGGACTCGTCGAACAACTCGTACTTCGTACCATACCTTCAAACATTCCTCGTTCTGCTGCAAGCGGACGTGTTGCAGAGCCTAGATGAAGCACAGGAAGGACGAGCATTGTGAGTTCCGAGACCATCGCACATTGCCACATTATAATCAGAGAGTAGGCTTGGCGAGATTCTCGATATATCTGTTCGCAATCTTGCTCGCATCAAGAACGTGCAACGGATTGTGACCTCCATGAAAATGTAAGAGGAGCGTAACTAAAGAGACGCACATCGACTGACAGTTTGAAAAGTGTGACCTCAGCTGCTGCAATTCCCTCCATCACTAGGGACACCCTTGTGCCGCTTACGTTGCTGTTGACTCACTCAGTGCCAAGAGTCAGAGAAGAAACGGCAGAATCGTTGTACGTCGTAGCGCAAACGAGTGAGTTGTTCGGTGAGAGCGAGGAAAAGGGAGAGGACCTTTTGCTGGAGACCTCATGGCTCGGTGGAAATGACTCAGAAGTCAGGTCTGCCGCTGAGGAGGTTGTGCATCTGATTCGGGAAGGGATGGCAGACTGAATTCATGGAGATATTAGGAGCACGCAATACCATTTATAGCGATAGACTAATTTCCTGAATGGCATTATCAGTTGTGTTTATGACGAAGCGAAGATATTCCGCTCGGGGATGCCTCTCGCCACCCTAACCCCGCAACTATTGACCACCATCGCAAGAGAGTCACACGCCTTGAACACGCTGCGCTTTTCTTCTCTCCTTGCATATCACCCTCAGTCATACAGCCGCAGAAATGAATCACGGAGAAGAATTACCGCCTCAGAAGAGACGACGTCTTTCTCCGCCTCCTGTAAATGGGAATGGCCGTCCTGCAGAGTTTCTTCCTGCGCCGCCACCACGTCTTGAACCCAGCTTCATCGGCTATGATCCCTTCGATGACTTCACGAAGCAAGTCGCAGATTGGATTGCAGACATGATTAGGGGAAAGGAAGACGTTGAGGTAAGTGCATGACACTGGCGCTGTATACTGCGTCGTATTGACCTCTGCGGCGACAGGTTGAAGGAAAGATCGGCATTGTATTCGATGAGTTATTAAATAGGCGAATCGACCTGCCTGTACTATCTGAGACTAGTGCGTGATTATGTTTGTATGATGTTCTTCTGCTCATATGAAATAGTAATATCTCCCTCTGTCAAGGATCGCCGGTTTCAGAGCACGATGACAGTAGTATGTTTGTCGAGCCCCACAGAAGACCCTTCTCTAACAGCATAGTAGAATCAACACAGACACTACAATGACTTGCTCAACAAACGCGTAGAACTATCCGCCACCGCTCCCCCTTCAATGTTTATGAAGTTTGCGCATACGCGGGGTATAGACTCATTCTACAAGGTTCCGGATGATGAGGGCAAGGTTCGAGTGCGCGTTAGCAGGGACGAAAAGACGGGAGACATCACAGAGAGTGTGAAAAAGACGAGACTAGGGGATATGGACGTCTTGTGTCCACGATGGGCCTTCGATTACCGGATCAGCGTCAACAAGGAACTGCCTAGTGGTGCGTTTATCTCCTGTGTGTCTAACACGGGCTATACCTCATTCTCGATATAGATCCACCAGCACAGGAAGTTCGCCCGGAGAGGCTTCGAAGAAAGGACCGTGTTTCCTACACGCATCAAGCCTATCGAATCGACCTGACTCAAGTTTACCCCCATCCGGCTCCGGCAAAAGGCGAAGCGGGCATAACGCACGAGCTTGAGGTCGAGTTCCTGAACTCTGCTGTGCTAGTGCGAGAGTGTGCGAAGCGGGACAAGGGCGAGCCGAGCATGTTCGACGAGATGATCCAGGTGTTTTTGAACAATATCAGGATACTCATCCGGAGTGCTGTACCGCCGGAGTAGGAAGTCCCGCCACAGTAGGAAGTGAGGGGGAGTTCATAGTTCATACCATTTGGTATCATCATAGTGCGTGAAAATACAGAGGCGAAGGAATGTGTAATGCTTATGCTAGACATGCAGACACTAATAGGGAGTTAAGATCGCAAGATATTATCGTATTGTCCTGTTGTGCGCCTTAACACCCTGAAATAGCACAAGAACCCAGTGCCAACCACACGGCCGCGCCGCCCGCAAAGAAAGCAGCTATTCTCTCCCGATTCCAGAAGACCTTCTTCGCGGCAGAGAGTTCGGCGAACCTCGTCAGCGGGCCCCCTGCTCGGCCGACTCGGCCGCCTGCTCCTCCCCAGAGCCATGAAACCGTTGTTGCAGCAGCCTCAAGCTCGAACAACTTGGTTGCGAAGGGGCCCATTGTACCAGGTTCGCTGTGCTCGTACTCCACGAGCGTTCGTGTCGTACCTTTTATGCATTCCGAGTGGAACCTGAAGGACTCCCTGGTGTGAGGCCTGAGCTTGCGGTGTCGATGCACAACAGGTAGCTCCTTGGTGAATGACGCACGTCGGGAGTGCACCTGGGAGAGGATGAGTTACGCACGTGGCGAAGAGGCTAAGTCTTACGGGAGAGTCATCGCTCCAGTCGCTCTCTTCCCAAGCGCGAACTCGATCATCGAACATTTCACTCTTTGGGTGGGACTTGTACTTCCGCAGCGACTCGTGCGCCGCCCGTGCCGTTTTCCGTGCCGACTTGGGGAACTTGCCCGGAAAATGCGCCGACTTGTGGAGGGGAGTGGGAGACGTCCCGCGCACAGTGGGGGACGGGGAGCTGAAGTCGGAGATGCTCTCTTCGTATTCCGGGGCAGGATCGTCCGAAGAACCGGTGCTGCTGCTCCCGTCGTCGTCGCTCATGTCCGTCGATGTGGACATCTCGTGGTCCAGCATGCTCTGCAGAACAGGTCAGCAAGGTCATGAGAGGGAAGGGAAGGGAAAGGATATACGTTAATGTTACGTTCGTCCACTCGGTCAAGGTCGAGGAAAGGCATTGGGTGAGACGGTGCAAAGTCGGTTTCTTGGAAAGGAGTAAAGCCCATGCCCCCCCTCTGGAGGGGGGCGTCAAGCCTTAAATATTTAGGAATGCGTCCGTTTTTGCCTAGAAAAAAATGCCATGCGTTAGAAAATTTTCAGTTTGTTTGGCCAGCTAGGCGAGGTTTGCTTGAGTCCTGGAGGCGGGACATGTTTTTGCTTGAGTGCTGTACGCGGGACATGACTTTTGCTTGAGGGACGAGGGGAGGTGACACCATAGATATGAGGAGCTGACAGGGCGTTGTTATATACCAACAAGGGATGCAAGATGCGTATAACGAACTGGTATTTGTTTTCAGATTGTTTGGCGAGATTTGTCTGTTTGAGGTGTTTGTTCGGATTGTTTGCTGTGTTTGTTTGGCTTGTTTGTTCCGGTTGTTTGAGAGGGAAGGCCCGAAAAAGAGGGATCGGAGGAGCAACCCGATGACGCCAGGGATACTTCTGTTCGTTGCGGCAGGATGGTGAGTTGACCTCTTTATATACTTCAACCGTCCGTCGTCTAAGAATAACTACGGTTTTGGGAGAATGCTCCTGTTCAAGCTGGTCATACTGAATAATGGCTCTGTGGTTCTTTGACTGTCAAACTACTATGCATCGTTGAGCACGTGATGAGCCCTACAAAAGTTCGGTGCGGATACAAATATATCGACATTCTTCTATGTAACTCCGTGTCTCCGACCAAGACGCCGCTCCAACAGCTAAACCAATTGTGTATAACTGTACAATTTCTCCACCGTGTACTAACCCCGACAGCAACAGCACTGGCCCAGAACTGCGCAAACACCTGTTGGTCATCTGTGAACCCACGAGTGTCCTTCTCGGGTCCCACACCCCACAAAGCGGTGCACTTCAGGGTTCGCGCACGGCCCTCCGCAGGTTTCTCCCGCGCTCGATGTCCAATGGATGGACGATGACGTTGGAGGTGCCGGGATCGGCAGCCGTTGTTTCCTGGGTGCCGGTTGGCCCTGAGAGTAAGAGGGAGATCTGCTCGGATGTGCGGGGATCGGGCTCGCAGTTCACCGCAGGTACGCGTTGGCGCGGCTGACTGGTGTGAGCATCTTGCGGGAACATGCAACTTTAATGTGAATATGTGGTTGTCTGTGTGGTTGTGGTATAAAAGGTCGGCAGTGACAACGATGAAGGATCAGACAACATCGGATTCCCCAACCTAGCCAGGGACAACAACAGCTCATACCCCACTGCCTTCTATAACAATCTACTATGGCACCCTACAAACCACTCTTCGCCCCAACCCCAAGGCGTCCTTACAAGTCCGGACTCGGAGGCATGGCAGTACGTTCGTTTCCTCGCACTCTCTCCCCCACTCACCCAGATCCAGATCCTCCGGGACCAATTCCCCACCTCTACCCTCCTCTTGCTCGGCGCCGCTCTTCTAGGCACCATCTCCCTGGTCATCCGCTCGCACTGGGTTGTTCTCCCCGTGTATGGCCTCCTCATGGCTAAAAGTGTCGACACCTACCTCCAAGCAAAAGGATGGAAGAAGAATGCCCAAATGGAAGGAGTGATCCGGAATAAGTTCACTGCCCAGTTACCGCCTGTGCAAGGGGAAGAAGACACCCCCGGAGCGCAGGGGGTGGTTGTCTTCATCCTCGGAGCGAGGATCAACCAGTACGTGCTTGGAGACTTTGACAGAGGTTGGTGGCTGATTGACTTGTAGTCCGCTTGGGTTCATGGCTCCTGGTGTGAAAGAGCTTGGCGAGTGGGCACAGAAGTGCTACAAAGAGCTCGAGGACAAGTACGATGAGTACGGCAGTACGTCCGCATCCTTTTCCGTCCAATCCCAGGCTTACCATTCCCCTTCTAGTGCTGGGCATGTCGACTTATCTCGGTACCTCCCGCGCGTCAGGAAACGAGATCCTCACGCTGATGTACTTCCGCAACACCTACGGCCTGCACACCTTCGCCCTCTCTGAGACACACCGCGCGACATGGAACTGGTGGCTCGCGGTGCAAAAGAAGTATCAGCACATGGGCATCATGCACGAGACGTACGATGTTCCTCCCAGACATTGGGAGTCCGTCTATGTGAGGATGCATCGGATGGGCCTTGCTGGAGCGAGTGTGAGGCTCACACAGGAGGAGAGGGAGATGTTGGTCCCCCAGCAGGCGGAGGGAGGAGAGATGTGGTGGAGTACTCCGGTGGACGCGACGAGGGGAAAGATGAGGAGCTCCAAGGGGAGGATGGACAGGAGTGACGGGGGGGAGAATGAGAAGGCCGGATATGGAGAGATGTATTGAATTGCCGACAGCTGTGAAGTTGGAGAAGGAGTATCTCTCAGGGTTTGTGATAGACTGTTGATTCTGTATAGGGATGGACGATGGTCCGGTCCGGACCGCAGGACCGCGGTCTTTGCGGTCCAGCTCCGGTCCCAAGACCGTTGGGCAGACCAGACCAGGACCGATACTTTTGAGAAGTTGAGGACTGGTTGGGACCGGTCCTCATTCGGTCCCCCTCCACGTGGCAAACTGAATACAAACGGACGCACACACACCTGGGAGAGCACGTTACCCGCAAACTGCATAGCTTAGCATCCATCCAGTGTCCCTCAGTTCAACCAGATATCCCCGAATTTTCATCAACAGGCCATGGGAAGCATGTCTTTGCAGGACTTGGATGACTTGCCTGGGGCTCGCCCTCGATAATCACTGCACCTCGAGAAGATAGACCTCAGGGCTCCCCCTCTCGACAACCCCTGGTCTGCTACGAAAGAAGAATGGAACATGGAGCGTGCTCGTCGAACTGCTAGAGTGATTCTGGAGGCAGCTGAAAGGACTGCTGAATATTGGGAGAAGAAAGAGGAGAATGCTGCCGATGGACTGAACAAACTGCTGGAGGGTGTATGGCATTTCGAAAACTGGGCGAAGAGCTGGAGAGGCTGGATGGCGATAAAGAGAGTGAGGTGGAGCAAGGAGAATCGCCAATGTCTTCTGCCTTCCCTTATGCTTGCCGGCAATGTTGTCCATGAAGACATCAGCATGAAGCGTAGGCTTGGCAAGATTGGCAAATCGTTTGTCGTCACCGCAAAGAAGGCCGGCAAAAGCTTGGGTAGCAGCATCAGCAGAGGTGCAAGTCATCTTTGGGTAAGCATGCTTCGCTTTAGAGAAAGCATAAGAAGTCTATCCTCAAGTTGCTCGGCGCTGTTGTCCTGGTTGTCAGTAAGTAGGTCTAACTTGTCCCTTCTTCAATCAATATTAACGATGGTGATAGTTGTGTCAGTGATCCAGTGGAAAGTACCTGGGGTTACTCCTTTGCTCTCCTCCTGGGCATCTTCGATCAACTCCACAATGGAAATGTGGAGCAGAGAGGAGAGTCCTTCAACACATACCACCCCTGCTGCTTCTTCGGGTCGTTCCGGGCGTCCTAACTGTCCTGCTCAATGCACGCCTCACTCACAGGCGGAAAGTTCTCGGTCGTCAGCTGGCCCCGCATCAGAACCAGTTTATGTTCAATGGCTGGGACCGTTTAAGGACCGGTCCTGGACTGGACCGACTCCAAAGACGGGACCAAGACCGATGATTTGGCAAACACCAGTCCAGTCCCAGACTGGACCGGACGGGACCGGACCATATCCATCCCTAATTCTGTATTGATATCCTAACCAGTAAGGGTCGCCTCACAGTTCTGGCTGTGCGCTGAGTCTACGATCTCTGAAAAACAAAGATAAATATTATCGCGCCATGGTCAATCAGGATCGGACAACAACGTACCATCCCATTCTTTGCAGCCAAGTTTTGATCCAGGGATTCACCGCAGTCCTGTTAGCGCGCCACAGTGGTTTCCGGTACCCAACCACTGGGTCGTCCCTCGTGGTCATTTCCCTTATCGTTAAACTGAACAGGGTGATGGCAAGAGACGTCCCACGCAAAGTCATCCTCTGTTCTGTGAAGGGTTAAGGCCGATAGCCAGTTATTCGGTGCTTGAGCCCTCCGGAACCACCCGCCTGTCTCAACGAGGCCCAGACAATGCCTTGCTGTCGATGCCACAACTTCTCCTAATCCTGACGCTTCATCTTTTATGTCAAACGTGCTTCAATTTCCGCAGATCTCAGGATGGGCTCGCACCAATGCCGGTGAAGCTATAGCGCTCACGCACGATAGTCGGAGGCCAATCCGGCTCCGCGCCTTCCCAAAAATGACTCACAGTTGATGGCGAGCAATCTGCGGGGACAAAGGCTTCGGGAGTTCGGGGTTTTCTGACGGATGATCGGCATCATCGGCTGCTGCCAGCACACTCGTCGACCACCTTCCGCACGATGTCTTTGAAACGCATCGTTGATAGTAGAATTTTCGCTCTTCGTTCCGGGGCTTCTGGATATCGTGGCCTCTTGCCCCGCTTGAATGTGTGCCTGCCCTCCGCCCAAGATCTTGTCAGCAATCCAGTGTCATCTCGTTCGTCCTTCCCTACTTCCCAGTCCCTGAGCAACGGAGCACGCGCTGCCGTCCAGCAGGACAGTACTGTGCTATTAGCTCGGTACGTTGCTCGGTACTTTCGTTCGATGACACTTCTCTTGTTGGAGTTGGAAAATACACCAACATCGGCGCGTGATTCCTAGGGGCAGGTGATGATATCGTTGAACTCCATGGTCCCCTCTCCAATAGCGGAAGAATCAAGGCCAAGGTTCCCGAAGCACAGAAGTGACGCTATCGGACGTCGCCGGTAGAAAGAGGATGCTGGAGCTGCTCTGATGCGCTGGGCTTGACATCAACAAATTCGTCATCGTTCGCAAGGGGTCTCATGACCCTTATGACCGAAAACAACGGTGTCATTATACCTCTCCTCGCCAGTATAGGAAGGTTCCCCATCAAAGGTTAAGCCTCATTCGCTTTCCGTCATAGTGTGAAGTCGACATGAATGCTTCCTGGTTGGCTCGTCGTCCTTGTGCAGTCTTCGTTGTGAAACAACGCCGCGGTGGCCCGGGCGAACCGGATCACTCTTTGGTAGGTCTGAGCCCGCGAACTGGGATGCACACTCAGCAGAATTCCTGTCGTGTGGTATGAGAGCGCCGATGCCCAGGAACATAATCTACCGTGAAGGACCAATGTAATCCTCTCCCATTGCGTGGCGGAGTTTCGAAGGGTTTGCCTACATATAGACGAGCGTCAAGGCGTTTCGTTCTTCCCTCGTCAATAACGGCTTCGGAATTGCCCCGCAAAATAAGCAAACATGGCGACTCCTATGTTCTCTCCGTCCTCCACCCGCCCGTCAGTCTATCCAGGCGGAACAAACAACTACCTGCTTGCCGTTGGTCGTTTCGATCCTTTCAGAGCCCATCCCGCTGATACTGAGATGTAGATGCTGCGTGACAACTTCCAAATTTCGACTTGGATGCTCATGGGCGCTGCCCTTGTCGGGACTTCCTTCTTCCTCGTCGGGAGTTGGGCGTTCTATGGCGTGATCGCTGTTTACACTTGGCTTGCCGGGCAGCTGTTGTACTCCGTGGTAATGGCGCTCGGTTGGATACCGAATGTATGGTTGAAAGACGTCATACCTGGTAAGCCCGTTTCCACGCTCTTCAGAGCTCGAGTTGACGGCGGGCACAGAGAAGTTCACCGCACAGTTGCCACCTCAGGACCCCGAGGATAATGGACCAAGCAGCAGCGGACTGTGCGTTTTCCTTCTGGGATCCAGGTTCAACCAGTAAGCGATAGTGCCCTTGTAGAGTGTCTGCACGTAAGCTAATCGTTGTGATCGTAAGCCCGCTTGGTCTGCTCGCGCCGGGTGTGAAGGAGATCAGCGACTGGGCTGAGAAGTGTTATGTCGAATGTCGTGACAACGAGGAGTACGGGCGTGCGTCCTTTATTGCTGGTGTTGCCACCTACTGACGACCCCTTAAGTACTTGGAATGTCCCATTTCCTCGGAACTGAGCGGTCAGCTAACAATACAATTGCGACGCTGATGTATTTCCGCACGACGGCAGGACTCCACAAGTTCGCGCTCTCGCAAGTGCATCGGGACACGTGGAGCTGGTGGCTTGAGATCCAGAAGAAGTACCCCCACTTGGCGATTATGCACGAGACATACGACGTGCTTCCCAAGCACTGGGAGAGCGTATATGTGCATATGCACAAGGCTGGGCTCAGCGGTGCGAGTGTGAAGCTTGACGACAAGGACAGCGAGGGTAAGGCGCTGTGGTGGAGCACCCCGGTGCAGGCAAACCGCGGGAAGTTCAGGAGCAGCAAAGGACGGTTGGGATGGTCGGAAGGGGACGACAACGAGAAGGTTGGGTTTATGGAGTATCACTAGTTCACGGTTAAGCCAAGTGGATAGGAAGTCCAGCACACAGAGAGCCAGTCGTCTGTTTCGCGCCACGTCTTGGGATGTTGCGGTTTCCAAAATAGCCTTGTTTTCGTTCATGAGCTAGTCTGTATTTTCAATATGATGAATCAATTTGAACGAACTGGTAAACGACCCAACTGATTGAGGTTGCCAGATAACTGACTGTTCCCAGAACAGCCTCAGTCCAGGGCATTCCAACTTGATCGTACGCTTCGCGAATATTGTTGTTGTATCATACCATGGTATTAAAGTTGGGCATATGAATCCATTGTATACCGTCAGAGGTATCAGGAGGATCAGATGTTGTGACTAAAGAAAGGTCGGACATATTTCGGCTCCGACTATGCCTCCGTCGTTCACATGCCGCGCAAAGCATTGGGATTTTTGGCCTCTGTACACGTTAGAACAACAATATCTGACAATGGCGAAGGCCGCGAAAGCTGAAAAGCAGAGCAAGAAGAGACCGAGAGAGGAAGATGGAGAAGAGGTTTGTTTCATGTGGGCTTGGCCATGATGAACATGTGTGCTCATGTTCAATCTTGTAGAAGGAAAACACGCGTCGCATCAAGCGCAAGATTTTTGAGAAACCACCCGTTGATCCAGTAGAAAATGCCACGAGGAGATTGGTGAGCGTCTGCTGACTGAATCGTAGCTTATGGTGATGCTTATGACAAATATTCGGTAGCGAGGTGCGCAGGCATCTGTCCTCAAAACGGCCAAGGCTGCAAAACTCTTCGAGACGCAGCGTCTGGTGAAGAAGCTTAAACATGCTCGGTAGGTGCTACGTCTCCCGTATTAAATCAGTGTCTCATGTCTATATAGGGTTGGAAAAACTCCAGATGAAGATCTGGCACGGTCTCTGGAAAAGGATTTAGAAGTGGTCAAGGTCAGTTCGACTGAAACGTGGAAATATTTGCATTGAACCTATCTTAGGCTGCGGACCCACACGACATCTGCAACGAGGCCCTTGCTAGCCGTATCCAGAAAGACGGCCAGCTGTCACACGATGAATTCTGCATGGCCGCGCTTGATATCGTTATCCCTCCTGCCGAGCAATCGAAGACCGTCCCAAAGTCCGACAAAAAGGGTTGGAGTCGTTTGATGAGCAACAAGAAGCTCGCGCATGGATGTCACCATGCCATGCTAGCGATAAAGAAGGACTTCCAGAATGTAGCGAACAGGATCGAGTTCAAGAAACGACAGGCAGAGGAGAAGGAGCAGAGGGTGAAGGAGGGAAAGCTCAGCAGGAAGGAAAGACTGGAGATGGGATTGCCTCCTAAGTCGAAGGCTGTTGTTGGAGAAGCCGCCGGGGACGACGAGGGGGGTGAAGAGGAGTCCGATGACGAGTCGGTGGATGCTATGCTCCATGTTGCCGAGGACGATGATGCTGAGGACGACGACGACGATGACGACGGCGATAAGGATGACGATGACAACGACGAAGAGGATGACGATGACGATGAAAAGTCACAGGCAAAGAAACCCAAAGGCAAAGACAAACTTCCCGATGGAGGGTTAGATGCACCGGTGGACGACTATGAGGATGATGACGACGAGGGGGACGGTCCCGAGTCAACCTTCTTACCGAGTTTGAACACCGGCTTCATCGCTGGATCTGACTCGGATTTTGACGAGAAGGAAGAAGACGTAGATGGCCCGCAACGGAACAACCGGCGAGGCCAGAGGGCGCGACAGGCGTGAGTCACATTCTTTGCTCATCAAAGTGACTATGCTAAGGGTAGGCATAGCATCTGGGAAAAGAAGTACGGCAAGAATGCCAACCACGTCAAGAAGCAACGCGAGGAGCAGCGTGCTGCCGCGGCAGCTTCCGAAAGAGGCGGGTTTGGTGGTCGCGGTCGTGGGAGAGGTGCCCCACGCGGCCGGGGAGGCTACAAACCAGCGCCCGGCGGCTTCGATCCTCGCAATGCTCGTAAGGGCCTAAGGGGCCGCCCTGTTGATAGTGGTTGGGCTGGCCGAGCTGCACATGCTGGTGCGAATGACAGGCAGTCACATCCCGAGCCTCCCAAGCCAGCGATGCCAGAGAAACCAATGCACCCGTCCTGGCAAGCGAAGAAGAACGAGAAGAACGTTGGCCAGGCGGTCGCTGGTCAGGGCAAAAAGATTGTCTTCGGAGACTGAGATATTCCATACTTTCATTTTGGGATGATATTCACATTACATAATACGATTGTTCGGATATGCGATACATTTATTTTATCAATGACTCAAACTTCATATCACGTGCTTGATAACATTCCGTTCCCGATCAAAACCTTGCAACACGATAACTCTCACCTCAACGTTAACCCTCACCTGCCAGCGCATCATGTCCAAAGTCGTCGTGCTCACTGGCGGTGTACGAGTGTTCATGAAGTTGCCTTGCTATTGCGATTGACCATGCGGAACAGAACAAGGGTATTGGCAAAGCGGTCGCTATGCTCCTCCTGAAGACCACCAAGCAACCGCTAACATTGTACCTTACTGCACGCCAACCAGGACTGGGCGCCGCTGCTATCGACGACATCAATTCTTCGGGCCTTCCCTCGACGTCTGGCTCTCATCTGGTCTTCCATCAATTGGACATCACAGATCAATCCTCTGTCGACACGCTGGCCGCTGATCTCAAAGCGAGCCATGGTCAGATCGACGTATTGATCAACAACGCCGGCATCGCAACAAAGGGCTCTCGCTTCGATTCCGAGGTGGTCAAGCAGACGCTCGATTGCAACTACTTCGGCACTCAGCGCATCTGTGATGCACTTATCCCACTGATCAAGCCAGAAGGCGGACGCCTCGTCTGTGTTAGCTCCTCTGCAGGGCTGCTCTCGAGCCTACCTAGCGCCTCCCTTCGCCCACAGTTCTCCGACTCGCATTTGACGCATCAACAGCTCGACCAGTTGATGAATAAATTTGCTGCGGATGTGGTTTCTGGTACATACCGGCACGAAGGATGGCCCCAGAATTCGTATGCAGTCAGCAAGGTCGGAATGACGGCTCTCACGAAAATATGTGCGAGGGAACATCCTGGCATGGTTATCAACGCTTGCTGCCCTGGATAGTACGTAAATACCTTGAGCAGAACTGGTGGTTGTTCCCTGACAAACACACAGCGTCAAGACTGACATGGCGCCGAATGGCTTCCTTACCCCCGGTATATCATTGCCGTCCAGATTGTCTACAACAAATTACTCATCCTTTGTGCAGAGGGAGGTTCATTTACCCCCACTTTGCTTGCGATTGGTGACATCGGTAACACGTCCGGCCTCTTCTGGAAGAATTGCTATTCAGTGACATGGTGAACTGGTACAGTCCCGACTTGTAACAGTAGAATATCAATGAAAACGTATGTGTTGTTGCCCTGGATATTACGGTTGGGATTGGATTTTGCCACTTAGTGGTAGGGGAGAAATATACAGCGGGTCTATTTTAGGGAGCTCAGTACATCATTGAGGACATGTCTGCGCGAATACGGTTGTAGTCGAACAGACCCTCAACACGGCCCACAGCAGCAAGCGCGAACTGTATCAAGAACGTCAGCAAGCTCCTTCATGTCTGACAGAGTCACTCACATCCTTGTCCCACAGGTATTTTTGAGCAACCCGCTGAATTTCGGAGGTGGTGACAGCATTTACGGCGTTCTCGAACTCCTTCGGTGTGTACCTCCTGCCGGTGGTGACGATTTGCCTTCCAATATCCTCTGCGATGGCGGTGGTGCCGTCAAGGCCCAGGAGCATGCTCGCCTTGAGCTGGCTCTTTGCCCTCTCCACCTCGGCATCCATTGGGCTCATGCTCATGCGGGTCCACTCCCTGAGCGTGAAGTGCACAAGATCATCGATCTGCATCAGATTCTCGGTGACCAGGTAGATACCCCAAAGGCCGGTGTCGGAGTAGGAGGTGGAGAAGGACATGAAAGAGTTGGCGAGGTTGTTTTCGGCGACAATCGTGCTGAGCTTCGAGCTGAGGAGAGGGGAGGCGCCGAGTGAACGGTCCCAGTTGCCGAAGATGGACTGCATGACCAACATGGGGAAGTAGTCATTGGAGCGCCAGCCAACACCTTCGACGGCGATAGCGAGGTTGCACGTTGGCATAGTGTCGTCGCGGATACGAACCTCAGATCCAACGAACGAAGTCTTCGGGTATGCTGTGCGACCCAATGGTGTACGGCGATCAGAGACAGGGAACTTGGAGAAGTGCTTGTTGGCGAGCTCCTTCATTTCGTCGTGTGAAACACCACCGGTTCCAACGAGAACCATGCGGTCCGAGGTGTAGTTGGTCTTGATGTAGTTCTCCAGATCACCTCGCTTGAGAGACAGGATATTCTCCCGTGGGCCGAGAATCGTACGACCAAGGGCTTGCTCTAGATAATTGATGAGCATATATGCGTAGAAACGGAGCACCAGACGTACTTTGGAAAGCAACCGAATGAAGATGGTCGAAGACAACCTCCTCATATTGCTTATCGACTTCCTCCTGCTCCCTCAAAATAACATCACGCTCGCGTTCGATTGCACCCTCCTCCAGCTTCGAGTTTTGCAGGATATCAGAGATGATCTCAACTGAGGTGCCCACATCCTTCTTGAAGCTCTTGGCGTAGTAGACAGTCTGCTCACGGCTGGTGTACGCATTCAGATGTGCACCAAGGTTCTCGACTTCGAGCTCGAGCCCGTGCTGCGAGCGCTTGTTCGTCCCCTTGAAAGCCATATGTTCGAGGAAGTGTGCGGCACCGTTGGTCTTGTCCGTCTCCGCACGCGACCCGGCATCAATCCAGACACCAACCGTAGCGGTCATGGCATTCGGGTGTGACTCGGTCGCAATGGTTAATCCATTTGGGAGAGTGGTGACTTCCGTGACTGGCGCACGTACGTCTACAGCAGCAGCAAACCGTCGAACGGCCTAATTTCCGTTAAGTCTCGGCGTCCTCATAGAGAGTACGGCCATGACTTACATTGGGAGTTACACCCTTCCGGATGAATCTCTTGAGAGAGGAGGAGAGAATTCGCGATGCCATACCTCCTCAGGCTAGGGGAACGAAGGCAGGAACGGAGGTGTTGGGGGCGCAGACAGAGAGGACGATGTCGTCGAGCGTTTGGTGAGGAAGACGACGGACCACGGAAGCAACGTAACCAATTTGGCATCCGATTGGTCCCGATTAGTCTTCCTCCAAAGGCGGCCTTCACATTGGCCAACTTTAACTTCATGCATGTTTGTTGAGCGGAAAGCTGAGCTCATCTTACCATCTGGATTCGATAATATTGAAAGCTACGCTGCTACCTTAGAGGAATATCTATCTTCTGAGCTTGTGCAATCTCTCTTGAACGGTCATCCTAATGAGATAGCAAAATCTGGTCCTCCCCTTGCATGGAATGAGTGGTGGAAATGGGCATCCTCCCTCAACTCCGGCGACATTGTACAGCTGTCCTGTAATCCAGATTCCGTAGGCATGCGTTTCCCCTTTTTTAGCCTCTCCATTTAACTGAAAGTATCAAGCTTGACTTGCCCGGCTCACTGTCGAAACTTCTGAGAGATGCTTCTCGTCTAGCTTTGCCGCGGGCCTCTGTACCCCATATTCCTCTCCCACGACCTCTACCTAAGGGACAGACCCCCAAGAAAGTCCACGAAGTGCGACACTTCAGCAAACTTATTGCTGAACTGTCTGCGGACATTGGTGTTGATAATATTGTCGATGTGGGCTCTGGACAGGTCTGTTTCCCACTTTGCGAGATCGGTTCCCGAGCTTAACAGCGTGCGGATAGGGCTATCTATCTCTGGAGCTTGCTTCCAAGCATGGATTGAACGTCCTCGCGCTAGATTTCTCTGAAGTCCAAACCAGCGGGTCAATTCACTGGGCTCAACAAGCGAAGGAGCAGAACTTGAAGCTCTCACACGTCACACATCATATCTCACAGGCCACCCTACCTGGCCTTGTCCAGAATTGGATCGATGGCAGACATCTCGCGCGATCGAACAGGAATGTCATCGTGATTGGTCTTCACGCATGTGGATCACTCACAGTGGAGGTGCTTCGAGCTTGCATGGACAACATGAAGCCGCAGGATGATGGTGCTGCTGATCATTGGAAGATCAAAGCGTGCGCGATTGTCGGATGTTGCTATAACATGCTCTCCGACCATGGTGAGTAGCATGAGCGCATCCTATAATTGGCCGCTGACAACACTGTGTGTTTAGACAAGCATGTCTCAAGACTGACAGCACCACCTTTACCATCCGACGCGTTCCAGTTAGCAGCTCAGCCATGGTTACCGCCTTCTCCTGCAGAACTCTCTCTCACCTTGAAGAAGATTACCTATCGCGCTCTTTTCGGTCGTCTTCTCTATGAAAAAGATATCGAGCTGCCGACCGACACTAGAGTCAGAAGGCTGAAGGACTCAGCCTATTCAAACTGGGGCACATATATCCAAGCCGCCTCAAGTAGAATGGGCGTTAGTCCTCAGCTTCTCGACATAAATTCAGTATGGACAGAAGAGATGCGGCAACTTTCCACAACAGTAAGCATGCTACACGTCCTTCGATCGAAGCTTGGACCAGTAATAGAGAGTTGGATACTACTTGACCGGTATGTCTGGCTCTGTGAGCAGCTAGAAGAACCTGGTTTAGCAAGCGTGGAGATGAAGTGGGTATTCGATAGCGGTATCAGTGCAAGGAGCGCGGTGTTCATCGTGAAAGTGTTACATTATTGAGTTGCGTGATCTAGTGCTTATGTCCAACAAGGGTGCTCATCACGAGTGGTGTGAGCATGCCAGTAACCAAGAGAGTCAGACGTGTTGATACACTCAGTTCTTCTGTCGGAGTTGCTTCCTCTACCTCTGGGGCATGGGAGTGTCCCGATACGTCCTGGATGACAGTTGCAACATATAGGAACGTCCCGCCCTGAGGAGTATTAGATGCTGAGAAGCTTGAAGCCCTCAAGAGATGATATGCTTACCGAGAAGAGCAGCGCGACTCCAGCCCACCACTGTAAGTTTGCAGCTGCATTCCCGAGTCCCCACACAACACCATACGTAACCAGGGCGCCTATTGGTGCTGCGGCGCTAAACGCAAATAGGTATTGCTTGATGCGTGGGCGAGGTTCGGAGTATGACAGTAGTGTCGTACAGAGACCGAGAGAGGCAGGAGCTGTAACAAGGGTCAAGACAAACACGTTCCGGCGCACTAGTGAACCCGTACCTTTATGGACCATAATCGCAAGGAACACTACCAGCTCCAGTCCAGAATTATCACCGAGCGAGCTTGATCCCAATGCGATCCCATCCGCGAATGAGTGAATGACCAAGGCAAGCGTGGCAGAGAATGCTTTTGAGTGAGACTCATGAGCGTGCTGGTGAAGTGTTCCACCAGGGCTTGCCATCTCATAGGTCGAAGAGCCGGAGTTCTTGGAATGGGAAGAGAGTTGCTCAACGCTAGGAGAAATGTTAATGCCGGCAAGACCGGAGATCAGGTCACGTACAAGAGCATAACGCTAAAGCCGAGCACAAGTGATACGGCGACCACGCGCCCGGGTTGGGAAAAGGGGTTCGAATCCGTTCTTTCTCCTGCTGCGGGCAACGAGCTGTAGAGTGTTTCGATGCCTCTATTGTTGGATTACGCATGCAACCATTGCGTCTGGGATCTGACTGACTCTGGTATGATCACGGCTAATGCCGCTCCAAGCAACAACCCCATACCGTACGTCGTCAGCATTTTGAGTCGAGAATCTTCGTCTTTGTATAGCCGAGGTTCACCATCAAGCAGTCCAAGAGACTCACGAGAGAAGGTCAAAGTCAAAGGCAATGATCCAACGGCGAACGATGTGACGCCCATCACGGCGCTCATGAGGAAGAGCGCTGTGAAGCCCATGGTAGGCTATGCGGGCTGTCCAGAGAGGTCGGTGTCAGGAGAAAGCAAGTACACACGCGTCACCTAGATGATATATAGCTCTAAACACGCGCGGAAGCGGTACACTTGACTGGGTGGGTACCCCAACGGGTGAATGATTCCTACACGTACCTCCTATTTCAAAATTCAGACCGCCGAAGGTAAACAGAGTTTGGACAGAGAGCAATCAGAGACTATATAAGCAAAGGTACAATGATCATGTCCTCGTTCCAGCTAATGATCAAGGTTGGTTGCTACGTGTCACGGTCGCGACTTAAATAAAATCACGCGCAAGCCACACGGGGTCGGAGCCGAGCACCCCGGATCATCCCGGGAACCGCATACACGCAGGATATTCTCGACCACTACCAAATCAGCTCGTCGTTCTAGTGTTACGTTGTCTACTACATATTCGCTTCTGTATATGCTATCTTTGCACTTAAACGCTCAATAAATCTTCGATCATCCATGCGCCCAGATGGTACACCTAGCTTCGTTATAGTGGAGGAGCCCAAGAACATGTTCTTCTTCGGTCATAAGTCTACCGGCGTAGATGCCGAACGAACATCATCTTTCATACGTTTAGAAGGAATGGCGCTATCGGTAGCTGTGGGGGACTTAGGAGACTATGGATTATGACAGCAAAGCCAAGCATATAAGGCGCTAGCATAATGGGGCTGTGAGCTTCATGAGCCCACCAAGGATGGGCGTCGAACAACAAACTGTCTCGCGGACTTTCTCCACTCTCGAGCGTCATGCAAAGTCGATATCTGACGATGAGGTGGATCAGCACAAACCCAGGCTGAGGGGATGGACACTGCATATTGTCTTGGCTTTCTGCGCTGGCGCTGGCTTCACTCTCTTTGGATATGATCAGGGGGTGATGTCTGCCTTGATCACGGCCAATCAATTCGATGCGATCTTCCCTCAGACTGTATCTCCGGTAACATCTCATTGTTGGAAGCGATTGGTGAGCTGAGAAGTATGCAGATCAATGATCCAACGGGTCAAGCAGCTACACTGCAATCACTCATGCTGGCTATCTACGAAATTGGCTGTCTTATCGGTGCCCTATCTAACGTATCTCGCTTCTTTCTCTTCGTGAACGAACACCGACATCTGTGACAGCTCTGGATCGGCGACAAACTTGGTCGACGCAAGACGATTGTTCTGGGTGGATGTATCATGATCATCGGTGCGACACTGCAAGCGACTGCGTTTTCTTACCCGCACATGCTGGTTGGAAGGATTGTCACTGGCATGGGTAATGGGTTGAATGTAGGTCATCATTATCCTGTAGAGGGTGGCTGACTATGCAACAGACTTCGACTGTGCCATCCTATCACGCTGAATGTGCGTCGCCAGAGCGACGTGGTCCGCTGATTATGGTTGAAGGCAGTCTCATCATATTCGGGCTTATGATATCGTAAGTCGTTCTTCACCATATTTTTATAAACATATCTAACCCGTCTACAGCTATGTCAGTACAATTGGGAAGGTGGTTATATCAAGGCTCACATAAGATGCTAGTGGGTAGACTTTGCGTGCTATTGGGCGACCGGTTCGCAAGCACAATGGAGAGTTCCGATTGCATTGCAGGTCAATCGTGTCTTCATGTTACAATTCATTGGTCTAACCTCACGAAGATCGTTATTGCTATGATGATGATGTGCGGTATCCCATTTGTGAGTAAAGCGTTTCCCCAAAGCATTTTTCAATGAGTGTCTGATTACCATCCAGCTTCCGGAGTCTCCACGGTGGCTCGTGAAACACGGTCGCAACGCCGAAGCACTAGCTGTCATCTCGGCCCTGGAAGACACAGATCGGCACAACCCACGCGTCGTACAGACCTATGCCGGCATCTGCGAAGCAGTCGAAGCCGAGTTGGAGGGGTCGAGCAAGGAGAAGCTTAGTCGGCTTTTCCAGGGCGGACCAACCCAGAATTTCAGGCGTACAATGCTCGGAATTGTGAACCAATGCTTCCAACAGATTACGGGGTGCAACTTAGTCATGTACGGTCATCGTCGTTGCGTTGAACTTAGGCTAAAGGAAGGATTTCACAGATATTATGCGACGTTACTTTTCCAGCGCCTTGGATTGAGCGACGTAAACTCTCGTATTGTTGCGGCGTGCAGCGGGACGGAGTACTGGCTGGCGTCGCTGATTCCCATCTTCATCATTGAGAGGTCAGTTTCATCCCATTCAGGGGAAATAATACTCATATTCCCACCAGAGTTGGTCGTCGCCGCCTCATGCTTCTCGGCGCAATCGGAATGGGGACCGCTATGGTCTTGCTGGCAATATTAGGCAGCATCAACACCCCCGCTGCCCAGATTGCGTCGACTGTGTTGTTGTTCGTGTACAATTCTTTTTTTGCGATCGGATGGCTCGGCATGACTTGGCTCTATCCCGCCGAAATCGTCGGCATATCTATTCGAGCACCGGCAAATGCGCTTAGTACGGCCAGTAACTGGACATTCAACTGTAAGTGTATCCTCGGTCGACTTCTGGCGCACCGCTCTGATCCGACGCACAGTCATGGTGGTGATGGTTACTGGTCCCTCTTTCGCTAACATCCAATGGAGAACGTATATCGTCTTCGCGGCGCTAAACGCATTGATTGTCCCATGCGTGTACTGTGAGCACGCAACCTGGTTCGTACACTGCCGAGCATCAGCTGACGTCAGGGTACAAGTCTTCTTCCCCGAGACCGCGGGCCGTTCTCTCGAGGATATGGACATCATCTTTGCGGTCGCGTACGCCGAGGGAGTGTCTCCGGTACAAGTTTCATTCAGAAAGGACCTGCCTGTGGCGGGATCCCCCGAGGCGGACGAGGTGTTAGGCTTGAAGAAGCGAGGGGAGAGCCCGGACGTCAGGGAGGATCGGGAGAAGGACCGATAAACGGTACCATGATACGTAAACAATCAGAGATAGAGTCCTCAGTTTTCAGAGATATTCTCTGACTCTATCTACGCGGCAAGTGTCAACCTATAATAGAATCGCAATTCGATCGCTGCGAACTCGAGTGAATTACGGAATTTGGAGTGACGCGTGTCCACGTGGACTTTTTCTGGTGGGAGCTGATTGCTTCGTCCCCTAAACGCGGCAAACACGGCAAACACGTCGGCCATCTCTCTCCAGCTTTCGGCGAGGTATCACACCATGTTCTCTTAGAAATATTTCTGAATGGAGCATACACCGGCCGCTAATTCTTATGGGAGCGACAATGTATATGGTAATGGGACACCGAAGCAGCGGTCGACTTCGCCGAAGTGGAGGAACCGATGTTGACGTCAGAAGCATCAGGACTCCCATGTCGGAAACCCAAACGAGGATATACTAGGCATCTTCTGCACCGGCGTTTCTACTGTTCAACTACTTCTTCTAGATGATGCTGCGTTCGCTATACTTCGCGAAAAACAGTATGTTGTGATGAGACTGGGTCTGAACAGTTATAAGACGAGTCAGCGTGCAACCCGTTGCCTTGCTAGTGTCCCGGCTTGTTCGCTTCGCTGCCCCTCATACGAGCTAAACTAGACGAAGCAACTGGACATATTCTTACTGGAATGGAACAACCACCGCTCACACGCACTGTTTCCGCCCTGGAAAGGCACACGAAGGAGTTCTCCGAAGGCGAGATTGAAGCGCTCAAACCCAAGATAAAGGGCTGGAAACTACATGCTTTGCTAGCTTTCTGTGCCGGCGCGGGATTCACTCTGTTCGGCTATGACCAGGGTGTCATGTCCGCTCTGATTACCGCCAATCAGTTCGAGGACATCTTTCCTGAGACCGTGTCGCCTGTTTGTCTTTTGTTTGACTTCTACTGGAGTAGGACGGAAGTTGACTCTGTCCCAGCCAGACGCTCCCACCAGCAATGCAGCAACACTGCAATCTCTATTGCTAGCCATCTACGAAATAGGCTGTCTCATCGGTGCACTCTCCAATGTACGTCTTCTTTGCAGAAGCATACCCGGTTTATTAATACTCCGGTCCTTCTATTTAGTTATGGGTCGGGGACAAGCTCGGTCGGCGGAGGACGATCGTCCTTGGCGGGTGTATCATGATCGTAGGCGCGATACTGCAAACGACAGCGTTCAGTTACCCACATATGATTGTCGCGCGTATCATTACCGGCATGGGGAATGGATTGAATGTGAGTACCCCTTTCCTAGCTTGTTGAGGTGGAGAACGTCGGGCTTCTGAGCTTACCCCGCGGGGTAGACCTCCACTGTGCCTTCCTATCATGCGGAATGCGCTTCTGCCGAAAGGAGAGGAGCAATGATTATGATAGAAGGCACACTTATCATCTTTGGGTTGATGATCTCGTACGTTCTCCAGTTCAATTGTTGTTTGCTCGTCTAATGCGAACACCAGATACGTACGTTCCGAAGCCAATGCTTGCGGCTTATATTCACACCCTCTATGGACGTAGTGGCTAGACTTCGCCTTCTTCTGGTTGTCCGGTTCGCAGGTGCAATGGCGCTTCCCCGTAGCTTTCCAGATTCTCATCGCAGTCGCCATGATGGGTGGTATTCCCTTCGTACGTGTCTATCTCGCTAGAGACTGGCCTACATCTAATCCTCTCCAGCTTCCCGAATCACCTCGCTGGCTGGTCAAACACGGCCGAAATGCCGAAGCGCTCGCCGTTATCTCCGCCCTGGAAGATACCGACCACCGAGACCATCGGGTACTCCAAACGTACGCTGGGATCTGCGAAGCGATAGAGGCCGAATCCGAAGGCGGTTCTGGAAAAGAGAAGCTCAGCGAGCTACTCCACGGCGGCCCTCAGCAGAATTTTCGACGCGCCACGCTGGGGATCGTCAACCAGTGTTTCCAGCAGATCTCGGGGATCAACCTCATCACGTATTATGCAACGCTGCTCTTCCAGCGACTGGGACTGAACGACGTCAATTCCCGGATCATAGCCGCCTGCAACGGGACGGAATACTTCTTTGCCAGCTTGATCGCGATATTCATCATTGAGCGTGTGGGAAGGAGGCGACTCATGCTCTTCGGCGCGGTCGGGCAGAGTTTGACAATGGTTCTCCTGGCCATTCTCGGTTCTATCGATAATCCCGCGACGCAAATCGTATCCGCAGCGCTGTTGTTTGTGTTTAACTCGATCTTCGCTGTCGGCTGGCTGGGGATGACATGGCTGTATCCCGCAGAGGTGAGTTCGCTCAGTTAAATAACAACCGCAACTCATCTCGTGTGAACAGATCGTAGGAATACGGATTCGTGCTCCTGCGAACGCGCTCAGCACAGCGAGCAACTGGATCTTCAACTGTGTGTACTATTGCGGGCCTCACTGGGGGACTGTTCTGACCAACTCCGCCCACAGTTATGGTAGTGATGGTTACTGGCCCGTCATTTGCCAACATCTCTTGGAGAACATACATTGTCTTCGCTGCGCTGAACGCGTTTATTGTCCCAGTAGTATACTGTACGTCTCCTTCCTACAATTCTTGTGTTTCTCTTTTAACCTTGCTTCCGCAGTTTACTTCCCTGAAACTGCGGGTCGATCCCTGGAAGACATGGACATCATCTTCGCTGTGGCTTACGCAGAGGGTGTCTCTCCAGTCAGAGTCTCTCTAAGGAAGAATCTGCCTATCGCCGGATCAGCGGAAGCGGACGAGGTACTGGGGTTGAAGCGTAGCAGAGAAGACCTCAAGGCGACCGAGGTGAAGCAAGAAGTGAGCAAAGTGGAGTAAAGGTATCTATCAAAGGATGTGTCGCTACCTAGAATGTAGGGCAGTTGTAGAACACTAAGAAAGAAACGGCGTGAACGCATTTCTCAAAAGTGCTTCTGTGTTGCGGATGCGCGGAAGTTGTGGATAGTAACAAATTAAACTTTCATCAACAATACTAACGGAAAGCAATCCCACTACCCCTCTGAGTCATCAAGATACCTAATATTAATATAACCAAAGGTAATGTTCTTCCATCCAGGTACTTGCGGAAATCTCGCTTTATGATCCGCCTCATGTTTGCCGCAAGCCTCGCTTCGACCCTAGGCAACCCTGTGCCCATTTCTATCAGCACCGCAATAGTTGCAGGAATATAACTATTATCCCTTCCATTTCACACGTACAGTGACAGCAACCACCATTGGGCTCAAAAAAATCTCTTCGAGGTCGAGGCCTTGTCATCACTTTGACGATTGAAGCCGAACGGACCAACTTAAACAGCACGCTGCAACTCGGTCTTCGTCCATGCCCCCCACCGGGGCCCCGCTCTCACTCCTACCACCATCCGCTGCTCTACATGCCCTTACCGTCGCACGCCGCGACGCCAACGTCTCTCTCGAGTACATTACCTCCCTGCAGTCCTCCATCCAGGTCCTGGAGGCACAAATCGCCGCTCTGGCACTGGAACGTGAGGGGTTAGGAGCACAGCTCTCCCTCGCTCAAGCGAGATATGCACCAATTGGTCGATTACCGAGCGAGCTACTTGCGACTATCTTCGGGTTCGCAGTAGGCACCGGACGAGCCAGCAGGGAGACGTTGTCGAGAGTAATACGGGTATGTCGACATTGGCGACGGGTTTCACTCGCTACCTCTTTCCTATGGACGACGGTCCTTGTCGACGCCGATTGCAATTGGGATTCCATTCGTTTGCACTTGCGCATGAGCAAGGGCTTGCCACTTGACGTGCTAATCCACTTTGACGACTTTCCCCGCTCGATCCCCCGCGATGCTATTGGCGAGGCGCTGCTGGATGCGATGGAGCTGCTCCAACCGATCATAACGCGGACACGCACATTTCGTCTATACGTCCTCACCGAGGCGCTGGCATATTCCGCGCTGCTCAAGGTACATCGAATGCCCGCTCCCATCCTTGAGCGACTCACTGTGCGTGTAGCGGAGGAGAGGAGTGACCTAGCGGACATACCTCCTCTATTTCGCCCATTCGCTGGCTCCACTCCGCGCTTGAGCTCGCTCAGCCTACAGAGCATCCGCTTTGGCGGCGCACTTCCCGTGACGGATAGCCTACGAAGCTTCTCCCTAGGCGGATACAGCGTGAACGAAGGCGTACCGATGTACCTGCTCCTTTCTGTCTTCCGAGATTGCCGTAAGCTCGAGTCCGTCCGACTCGAGTCTATGGCCGACGTACGGGAGCGACCTCCGAACTCAGGATCCATCCTCCTCCCCAAGCTCTCCCAGCTCGTCCTCGCATCGTGTGGGACCAACCGTGCACAATACCTTCTCCGAATCCTCATCCTTCCCCGGCTTGAACGGCTCGAGCTGGACAATCTCGGTGAGATCACTCAGGTGTTGAGGGACTTCGACATCAAAGCGGAACATTTGCCCCTTCGGCACATCCGAGTCGAGGCGTGTTTGTTCAATGAGCTCAGGCTCATGCACTTGTTTATGAAGTGGTCGGGCATCGTGCGTCCCTATTTCTCTATACGGAGCATAATCTTACAATTGCTTGGAATCAGGAGACGATCGAACTCATCGAGTGCGAGGACGTGTCAGACAACCTCCTACGTGGGCTATCCGAGCCCCCAGGAGCGGAGAAATGGATCCTTCCTCAGCTGAAGTACGTACGTTTCGTCTTGCCTTTGCGCTATTATTCACCCACTACCAGATACGTCTCCCTCGAAGGCTGCTCGAACATACACGATACCGAGCTTGTGCGATTTGTCTCCTCCCGGGTACAGGGACGAGATTCACACTCTGAGGTTCTGCCTTCACGCTTGCAGAGCGTAGACGTAGCAAAGCTCTCACTCAGCAAGGTGACACTTGCGTGGTTGGCAAACAGGGTGACCGTGGGGTTTCGATCCTCTTAGTTGCGAGGATCTATCTGATTGTGAGAAGGTGTACTTGTCCTGTTTTCCCTTTACCGTGTTGTTACAAAAGATTGATACCCCTCTCATGTGTACCACAAGGACTGTTATCAATACGTTGTTTGTGCCTGTTCTTCTATAGTTAAGCCATATCCCGGAATACATTGATCGCAGGGATATTTACCAGGATTTGGTCGTTGCCCACCGCATAGCAGACACAGCTAATAATGAGATAGTTATATGATATTTGGCACATTCCTTCCTATGTATTTATACACATTGCGTATTTTTCCACACCGGGAAATAATTCAAGACAGTGGAATTCGCCATACTTGCACATTGTTGCCTACTCCGTATTCTCGCGAGGGCCAAACGCTTGGTTCAGATACGATTCGGTTTCTTTCTTGTGGACACCCTGCGAAGAAATTGAGTCCTAATGTTTCGAGAGATATAACCAGAAGGCAACTTACCTTGCTACCCGTCGCGACGGACGAGTAGGGTGTGCGTCCTCCGTACTGGATGACCTTGCCCTTATGATGCTCGGTTGCCTTTCCAGCCGTCCTTAGACGTGGTGCCACATATGTGAACGCACCGTTGTTAAACGGCTCTTCCTGGAGCCACTGTAGCTCGGCGTTGGGATACTTATCCAAGTGAGGCGTGAGCTAGGAAGCAGTTAGCAGAGCCAGCAACTGGAAATAAGGATCATGCTAACCAGGTCATAAGGGAAGGGGGATAACTGCTCCACACGGCTGATCGCGATGTCTTTAATTCCGCGATCTTCTCTCTCCTTAAGCAGCTGGTAGTAGATCTGACCAGTGCACAAGATGTGCTTCCTGATTTCCTCCGGTGGCACAAGGCTGTCCGGATGGGGGTCAGGGATGTACCTCTGGAATTGCGTGTTGCCAGTCATTTCTTCCAACTTTGAACGTGCCATAGGGTGACGAAGGAGAGATTTGGAAAAGAATAAAATGAAAGGCTTGCGGAAGTCGCGGTAGATCTGTCGTCTCAGGACATGGAACTATGGAATGGTTGATGTTAGTAAGCCTCCGAATATATCGGAAGGACGTACGAGGTTAGCGGGGGTCGTAGGATACACAATCTGGATGTTGCAATCCTGATGCTGTCGTGAAAGTTTTTCTTCCGAGGGGTAGATGTTCGGTTGATCATCACAGAGTTGCAAGAATCGCTCCATACGACCGCTGGAATGCTCCGGACCTTGGCCATCGAAACCGTGAGGAAGACTCATAACGAGACCTGTACGCTGCGCCCACTTGCGCTCCCCAGCAGCGATGTACTGATCGATGATGACCTGTGCACCATTGGCGAAGTCACCAAACTGTGCTTCCCAGATCGACAGAGCATCGGGAGAGACGAGTGAGTAACCGAGCTCAAAGCCAAGCGCACCGTATTCCGACAAACTGGAATTGGCAACGACGAAGGCGGCCTGATCACCGCCAAGGTTGTTCAGCGGAACGTATTGCTGCTCGGTCTGTTGGTCGTGGATCACCGCATGTCTCTGGGAGAACGTCCCACGCTCGACATCTTGGCCAGTAAGCCGTACATGAATCTTCTCGAGCGCTAGCGTTCCGAATGCGAGAGCCTCTGCAGTGGGCCAGTCGATACCTTCGCCGGCTTCAATAGCTTTGCCACGAGTCTGCAAGATTCGAGCCAGATTACGATGTGGGTTGAATCCCTCAGGCCAGGAGGAGATAACTTTGCCGATATGCTTGAGGATGTCGATCTCAACGCCCGTCTCGGACTGTGGTAAGACCTTCTCCGCCAGTTCTTTGGGAGAGGGGAATCCCTGCCAGGGGGAAGAGAGCCACTCCCGGGACGAGGGTTTGTACTGCTCGCTCGCGGCTGCGCCCTTTTCAAGCATTCCCCATACCCATTTCTTGTGCTCTTCGATGTCCTTCTCAGCGAAGCTCTTGTTTGCAATCAGCTGCTTGGTGTACTGCGTTAGCACGGTTGGCTGCTTCTCGATCGCTTTGTACATCCTAGGTTGCGTGAAACTAGGCTGGTCTGTTTCGTTATGCCCATAGCGGCGATAGCACACAAGATCGATGACGACGTCCTTCTTCCATTTCGCACGCCAGTCAGCCGCAAGCTGGGCAACAAAATTGACAGCCTCGACGTTGTCCGCATTCACATGGAAAATAGGCGCGTCGATGGTCTTGGCAATATCAGACGGGTACGGGGTAGATCGCGAGAATCGGGGATCGGTTGTGAATCCAATCTGGTTGTTAACGATAAGGTGGATCGTCCCGCCTGTGCTGAAGTTCGGCAGGTCGTGGAAGCCGATAGTCTCATATACGACGCCCTGGCCCGCAAAGGCCGCATCGCCGTGCATGAGCACACCCAGAGCCGTTTCGTGTTCGTTCTCGTCGTTGGCTATGTGCTGAAGAGCACGTGTCTTGCCCAGCACGACAGGGTTCTCGGATTCGAGATGTGATGGGTTAGCGACGAGCGAGAGGGAGACTTTCTTCCCCGAGGGAGTAGGACGGACGTAGTTGGCCCCAAGATGATACTTGACATCTCCGCCAGCGTCATCGTCTGGCGACACATCCCCAGAGAACTCGTGCAAGATCGCTTCGAGCGGCTTTCGGATAACGTTCGCGAGGACATTCAACCGCCCACGATGGGGCATGCCGATGACCACGTCCTTAACACCATGTTCTACCGAACGGTCCACGAGAGTCTTCATTCCCGGAATGAGGGACTCACACCCTTCGAGTCCGAACCGTTTCTCGTTCGGGTACTTGGATGCCATGAACTGCTCGAACGACTCGGACCAGATCAGCCGGTCGAGGATCATTCGTTTTTCGTCGGTCGTATAGTCCCAGATGACGGGGAGCTCGACTCGCTCTCGGATCCAGTCACATTCTTCTTTCGAGGGGATATGCACGTATTGGAAGCCAATGGGTCCGCCTATTGCCCGATATCTCAGCTCGTGGTCATCCTCCAGCTCGAAAAGAGAAGCGGACGTACAATATATGCTCTTGAGATTATCGATTATCTCACGAATAGTCATCGTACTCCTTCCTCCTGTTGCAAATCTCGGAAGAAGACTAGGCCCCAGATGGATCACCTTGTCAAGATCCCGCTCCGACCAGCCATAGTGCTCAATCGTCAGCTCAACAGGGATGGCGTCGTCCAGGTCTGCGTCGTTTATCCCGAGCGGGTCGAGGTTGGCAATATGGTGGCCCCGGACTTGATATGCACGGACGAGCAGTTGTACCTGATGTGACCGGTCAAAATATGAGTCAGGAGGGAATAGGAACACAACGCACCTTCAAATGGTCCGACACCTCCGTCCCTCCAGAGAAATGTAGACTAGGCACTCCTCCAGCTAGGGGCATCACCTGAGGCTCTGTCTCCCCCTCCCCTTCCTCACGTACAAGGTCCGATCCCGATGCTGAAGGCCTCGTCCGAGCAGGCTTGGGCTCCTTGTGCCCCGAGAAGTACACATCCCATGACGGGTGGACAGACTTGGGGTCCTCCTTCCACCGAGTGTACATTTCATGCACGTAGTAAGCATTGTCCCCTGATAAAAGGAGGTCGTGTGTTTTATCAGAGGAGGAGGTTGCATAGTGCCTCTGTACCTGGCGAGGGAGGGAGACCACAGAAGGGGGAAGACGACGTAGTGCCCTGCGCGGGCGTAACCGGGAGAGCATGGTGAGGGGTGAAAAAGAGTAACCAGCTCGAATTCTGCAGACGATGACGGGATCGCTGCTCGTCGTCGTCGTCGACCTCTGCTCGCTGTCAGATGTTCTTCGCCAATGGACAAAGGGCCTGTCGAAAGTAACCGTGTTTGGTTCTGCCCCACGACCTACAACGTGACCGTCATTGCTTCCCTTGGCACGTGGTCAGACCCCGGTCACTGCACCTTCCATTTCAGGAAGGTACGGCAGCAAAAGAAACAAAGCATCGTCAGCCTCGGCATCTCTTCTGTTCACCGGCTTACCTGTCCCCTCACACCTGGTTCGTAGTACCCTGCTAGCTAGGTGCTAAGGCAGGCGTACCAAAACTCCACTGGCTTTCAACCGTTTCCGCAAGTCCGAGCCTATACAGCGCAAAATGGACCAACAACCCAGAGACGCCTTCACAAGATGGGCAAAGCAGTTGCAGAAACAGGGCGGAGGCCGGCGTGGCTTCCCCAATCCTGGGAGGGGAACGATGTTGGGAGCTGGAGGGATGGTTGCCCTCGTTGTTGGAGGGATCGCACTGAGCCAGAGCTTGTTCAATGGTGGGTCCGTTCCTAGCGGTGGGTGTACAGCTGTCTGATGGAAGCTAGTTGATGGTGGTCATCGTGCTATCAAGTATTCTCGGTTATATGGTATCAAGGATCAAATATATCCTGAAGGCACACATTTCCTCGTATGTACAGAAGCTGTCTTTCGGGTTCTCAAAGCTCACATCTTCCAGATGCCTTGGTTTGAGCGGGTGCACATCTTCGACGTCCGTGCAAAGCCACGGAACATCTCCTCCCTCACGGGTACAAAAGGTTAGAGCTCACCCCGCCCTCCCATGCCTGCTGTTCTAAGTCTATTGCAGATCTCCAGATGGTCAACATCACCTGTCGTGTGCTCTCTAGGCCAAATGTGACCAGCCTTCCCCAAATTTGGCGTGAGCTCGGGCCAGACTACGACGAGCGCGTGTTACCGAGTATCGTAAACGAGGTGTTGAAGAGCGTGCTCGCGCAGTTCACAGCCAGCCAGATCATCACGAGTCGTGAACATGTGCGTCTGCATCCCCCTTCCCCATCAGCTGTCTGATTGCCCCCGCAGGTGTCCAGGCTCGTACGCGACAACCTTACGAACCGTGCGGCCAAGTTCAACCTTGTCCTGGATGACGTGTCCATCACACACGTCGCCTTCTCCCCCGAGTTCACCCATGCGGTAGAAGCGAAGCAAATTGCGCAACAGACCGCGCTCAGGGCGGCGTTCTTGGTCGACCAAGCTATCCAGGAGAAGGAGGGTATCATCGTCAAGGCGTCTGGAGAGGCACGCGCAGCGGAACTGATTGGCGAAGCGGTACGGACGAACAAGGGTTTCCTAGAGCTGAGGAGACTTGAGGCGGCCAGGGATATTGCGACTATCTTAGCTACCAGCGGCAATAAGGTCATGTTGGACTCCCAGGGGCTGCTGTTGAATGGTGAGCTCTTTTCTCCGAGGAAATAGTTGAGCGATGCTGATGTGCGGTTGTAGTGACCGCTGACGCAAAAGATCTGCTGAACACGGCGGCGAAGAAGTAAAAGTAGCTTTAGGGCGGGCGGATTGTACCTTCATAGGCAGGGATTCATGAGGCTGCACATCACTATTCAGAAACAAAACTTGCCAAAGGTGTTTGGTCAATGTTTTTGAGTGAGGGAGGCGGGTGGTTGGGTTTCAGCGACAAACGACAGAGCAGAATCAGTCGAATGTCTGTCCATGTCTGAAAGAGACCGACAGATCTTCAGCGAAACTTTTGCTACTCGTATTAAGCCGTTGTCCGTGACTCTCTGAGGAGAATGCATGGACAAAAAACGCTCAACGCAATCACAGCGGAAGTCCCGCGACGGGCGCTATAATTGTCCTGAATGTTTCGACGCGTCCACCATATCACAGTCCTCAACCAACGACCACTCGCCCCATCTTCCTCTCTTAACTCTATACGCAAACTAACGATGGCAGTGGCGAAAGTAAGCTGACCAGGTATACAGATGGACAAGCAGGCTGAAAGGGTTGCAGGCTATTGGCACTCACGACGGGACGTTTCATTGCGACGAGGCGCTAGCCGTCTACCTCCTCCGCCAGCTGCCAACGTACGCAAATGCCTGTAAGTCCATTCTCCCTCCTCCCACATCGAGCTCAAACTCTTCCACAGCCCTGACCCGCACACGCGAGCCCGCCAAGCTCGACTCGTGTGATATCGTCGTTGACGTCGGGTCGGTCTACGACCCCTCGAAGCAGCGGTACGACCATCACCAGCGGGGGTTTACGGAGGTGTTTGGGCATGGATATGTTACGAAGCTGTCTAGCGCTGGGCTGGTCTATAAGTGCGTCATGTGCCGTGTGGCTCGGCGGTTTCTTATACGGGACTAGGCACTTTGGGAAGGAGCTTGTCGCTTTGAGGATCAAGAAGCCTGTGGAGGACCCGATAGTGGAGCTCTTGTGGTTGAAGTTGTACAAGGTGCGTAGAATATCTTTCTGTTGTCTCACCTGGTTTACCGTATTGCAGGAGTTCATCGAGGCTGTTGATGCGAACGACAACGGTATCAACCAATACCCAACTGATATCGAGGCCCGCTACAGGCTCAACACGTCCCTCTCCTCTCGTGTTAGCTATCTGAACCCAGCATGGAACGAGCCTGCCACTTCAGATATATCCGATGTTCGTCGTTCCCCTGCCAACGTTTCGGTCATTGACTGTCAGGCAGGCTCAGTTCCTGAAAGCGTCCGAGCTGACTGGAAAGGAGTTTTATGAACGGTTGGACTACTATGCTAAGGCTTGGCTGCCGGCTAGGGATATTATCGAGAGGGCTATGGAGTCCCGAAAGGATGTAGATCCGAGTGGCCGGATCTTAGTGTTTGAGACTTTCTGCCCTTGGAAGGTATGCTGATTCGCCCCAAACTCGACTATGCCTACTTATCCATCTTCAGGAGCACCTGTTCGAATTGGAGAACGAAATGGGAATCCCGGAAGCGGAAAACACGCTCTATGTGCTCTATCCTGATACATCGTCACACACCTGGCGCATTCAAGCTGTTGGTGTATCACCAAATAGCTTTGCGAGCCGGAAAGCACTGCCGGAGCCGTAAGTATCCCTGAATATCCAGTCTCATGGCTGATCGCTGACCTCTGTGCTAGGTGGAGAGGGGTACGCGATGACGACCTGTCGACGTTGTCCGGTATCCCAGGCTGCACATTTGTTCATGCGTCGGGCTTCATAGGAGGTGTGCTGTCATCCTGCCACATGATCGCATATATCTGATCAACCACTTCAGGCAACAAGACCAAGGAGGGAGCGATGGAGATGGCCAGGCAAGCACTCAAGTTCTGATCAATGCACTGTACAACGGAAATACAATACCTGTGATCTCATTGCACACGGAATGACCTGTGTCTGGTCCATGTGAGATCGGCTGTCCAGGAAGTCGGCAGGTTCGGCAAACTCCTTCGGTGCATCCCCGCAATCTTCAGAACTTACTCAGCGTGCGGTACGAGTCATGCGAATTTCTGATAGTTGAGTGTGTGTAACCCTTGATAAAAATGGGCTTAGCCAAGGGGATATTATTCTGCGGATGTGGGGAGAAAGAATAAGCCGGGTAAATCCGGATAGTAAGTGAAGGTATCAGGCACAAAATTGCCTTGCGGAAAAGTGACGTCGACCGCGGATATAAACACGGAGGCAAAACACGCTCTCATGCAACGAGAAAGGAGAGAACGGGCATAGCATTCACGCACTGAGGGGCCGGATCGGGTCGCTATCCTCAGCTCTGTTCTGGCGCATACACACCGTCGGCCGTCGTCGACCTCGCTTTAAAGGCAGCCAGCAAGCGTGATCATCACTGCTTGCTGCTGCTCTCCTTTTCTCTTTCTCACACCACCACCATGCTCGCTCGTCAACTGGGGAGGCGCGCCGTCCGAAAGGGCGTGCGTTCTTCCCTCGTACGCTCCTTCACCAGCACCGCAGGTCGCAGCCTCGCTACCCCCTCTGCTGCCCCTCCCTCACCCAACGACCCTTTTGCGAACGGTACAAATGCCTACTACGCAGAGGAGATGTACCGCCATTGGAAGCAGGACCCGAAGAGCGTCCACATCTCTTGGGATATCTACTTCTCCGGCATGGACAAGGGGTTACCCTCTGAGCAAGCGTTCCAGCCTCCCCCTCGGCCAGGTGCTGAAGAGGAAGAGCTGAAGCTGGAGGGGCCTTCTCCTCCGACTCTTAGTTTGGGTGGTGGCACACAGGTATCGGACCATTTGAAGGTGAGCCGCATATATCCCACCATGCGCATGCCGTAACCGGCTACAGGTCCAACTCCTCGTTCGTGCATATCAAGTACGTGGCCACCATATTGCCAACCTCGACCCGCTAGGCGTCATGGATGCCGATCTTGACACGTCTGTTCCTGCGGAACTGACGATCAGCCATTACGGCTGGACGGAGGCCGACCTAGATCGCGAAATCAGCCTGGGTCCCGGCATTCTCCCCCGCTTCGCGGTTGGAGGGAGAAACTCGATGACCATCCGGGAGATTATCGATGTGTTGAAGGGGATATACTGTGAGTTTGTTTGTTTTTTGCGGAGAAAACAATGAGGTGCTTATATGCGGGGTTGAAAGGTGGCGCGGTTGGCTTTCAATACATTCACATGCCATCACGTGAGGAGTGCGACTGGATTCGCGAACGCATCGAAATTCCCAAACCATGGGACTACAACGTCGATGAGAAGCGCATGATCCTCGACCGCCTGATGTGGTCCGAGTCATTCGAGAAGTTCATCGCATCAAAATATCCCAACGAGAAGCGTTTCGGCCTCGAGGGCTGCGAGTCCCTGATCCCGTGTATGAAAGCCCTTATTGACCGCTCCGTTGATCATGGTGTCAAGAACATCGTCATGGGTATGCCCCATCGTGGTCGTCTTAACGTGCTGGCGAACGTGATTCGCAAGCCTATCGAGGCTATTTTGCACGAGTTCTCCGGTGATGTCGCCGCTGATGACTCTGCTGGTGGTGATGTCAAGTACCATCTGGGTGCCAACTACGTCCGCCCAACACCATCAGGAAAGAAGGTTGCACTTTCTCTGGTCGCAAACCCGTCCCATCTCGAGTCTGAGGACCCCGTTGTTCTTGGCAAGACTCGTGCTCTGCAGCACTTCGATGACGACGAGGTCTCGCACAACACTGCCATGGGTCTCATCCTCCACGGTGATGCTGCCTTTGCCGGTCAAGGTGTGGTGTACGAAACGATGGGCATGCACTCCTTGCCTAACTACGGCACCGGCGGGACGGTCCACGTTATCGTCAACAACCAGATCGGGTTCACCACTGACCCGCGTTTCGCTCGCTCTACCCCCTACCCCTCCGACATTGCCAAGTCTATCGACGCGCCTATCTTCCACGTGAACGGCGACAACGTCGAGGCGGTCACGTTTGTTGCCCAACTCGCGGCTGACTGGCGTGCAAAGTACAAAAAGGACGTCGTCATTGACGTTGTCTGCTACCGTCGATATGGTCATAACGAGACTGATCAGCCAAGCTTCACCCAACCAAGGATGTACCAGGCCATCGAGAAGCAGCCCACCACCTTGACGCAGTACACAAAGTCCCTGATCGACGAGAGCACTTTCTCAGAGAAGGACATCGACGAGCACAAGAAGTGGGTATGGGGAATGCTCGAGAAGGCTGCCGCTGCCGCGGAACATTATAAGCCTTCTCCCAAGGAGTGGCTGTCTTCTGCCTGGAATGGCTTCCCATCGCCGAAGGAGCTGGCGGAGAAGAACCTCCCACAGAGCGAGACCGGTGTCTCTGAAGATATCCTAAAGCGCATTGGTCAGACTATCTCCTCCACCCCCAAGGGCTTCCACCCGCACCGTAACCTAGCACGTATCCTTGCTACTCGTGGCAAGACGGTAGAAGAGGGCAAGAACATCGACTGGCCCACTGCTGAGGCTCTTGCCTTCGGTTCCCTGGCTCTGGAGAAAGTTCATGTCCGCCTTTCGGGCCAGGATGTCGAACGTGGGACGTTCTCCCAACGCCATGCTGTCATTCACGACCAGGAAACCGAACAGCAGTATATTCCCCTGAACCACCTCGGCTCCGATCAGGCCATGTTCAAGGTCTGCAACTCTCATCTGTCTGAGTACGGTGTCCTCGGCTTCGAGCTCGGTTACTCGCTCGTCTCCCCTGACTGTCTCACCATCTGGGAAGCACAGTTCGGTGACTTTGCCAACGGCGCCCAAGTCATCATCGACCAGTATCTTGCTGCCGGTGAGCGCAAGTGGGCACAGCGCTCCGGTCTCGTTATGAGCCTGCCCCACGGCTTCGATGGTCAGGGCCCGGAGCACTCTAGCGGTCGCCTCGAGCGTTTCCTCCAGTTGTGCGACGACAACCCATACATCTACCCATCAGAGGAGAGCATCTCTCGCCAGCACCAGGACTGCAACTTGCAGATCGTCTACCCCTCTACTCCCGCCAACTGCTTCCACGTTCTCCGCCGGCAGACACATCGGGACTTCCGCAAGCCGCTGATATTCTTCTGGTCAAAGTCTCTCCTGCGCCATCCTATGGCCCGTTCAAGTCTGGACGAGATGACGGATGACACCCAGTTCCAGCGGTACATCCCCGACCCTCATCCTGAGAGCCTGGCCCCGCCAGAGGAAATCAAGAAGCATATCCTTTGCACTGGCCAGATCTACTATCAGCTTCTGAAGGAGCGTGAGGATCGTGGAATCAAGGATGTCGCGATCAGCAGAGTTGAGCAGCTTGCACCCTTCCCTTATGATCTCGTACGCAAACAACCTCTTGAAGTAGCGTATGCTAATACATGACCTAGCTTACCCCTCACCTCGACAAGTACCCCAATGCTGAACTACAGTGGCTGCAGGAGGAGCCGCTGAACAACGGCGCCTGGACGCACGTTGCTCCTCGCCTGAGGACCGCTTGCTCCAAGACAGAACATCACCAGGGCAAGGACATCGCCTACGGTGGTCGCCCACCTTACAGCTCGGTCGCCACTGGCTCCAAGTCCGTGCACAAGAAGGAGACCCAGAACTACCTCAACCAGGCTTTCGGCGAGGACACGGCCGTTGCGCACTGATTTCCAGAGTTGGACACGGAGGGGAAGGCAAAAGTAACATGACTGTTTCGTGCAAGAGCTCTATTTTCTTCGCATCATAATCTTCTCCTCTAATCCCATTCTTGTATTGAAATAACCGCAATACATCACGATCATCACAACCTGCCTGAGGCAACGTGACCATGAGAATGCCTGTTCCGCGTTGCTTGCCCTGGAGGCACTCATGCCAAGACCGTTTTATTTACGGGTTAGAGTTGCACTCGCACAGACAAGGTTGACAGGATGACTCCTCCGAGTGCTGCAGACCCTACCATCGTGACTGTTTCACTGACGGTTGCTTTAGATCCTACCAGGAGGGGGCTTTCAGAATGCATAAATACGTGGGCTGATGCCCCTTCTGCAAGGCAGCGTCTGAACAAACGCCTCCACTTGGGTCTGAACGAGCTGCTGCACTTCGACCTCTTCTACACCTTCACACAATTTGCAAACACGATGTCTGCCGAGCCCACCTTTCTCGTCTACCTCCCCGTGACCGATGTCGCGGCTTCCGTGAAGTGGTACACTACCGCCTTCGGCTTCAAGGTGAACGAAGCGACGTACCACCCGAGCTCGTACGCGCACATCTATCTCGGCGGCCCTTCGGCAAAGGAAAGCCGTGCCCAGCTCATGCTGCGCAAATTCCCCGAGGCGCAGAGGTGGGAGAAAGAGGGGGACAAAGTGCCGGTCTATGATCTTATGTGGGACGTGACAGAGAAGGGGAAGGGGAAGGAGGTGGTGGACGAGTGGCTGGCTAAGGTGAAGCATACTGGGGTCAAGGTGGACCTTCAGGGCACGGGGGCTGAGGATAAAGAATGGGGAACTAGGCAGTTCGAGTTGAAGGATCCCGATGGTGAGACTGTCGTTACCCTTAGCGGAATCGGCTGACAAGCAACCAGGCCACCGGGTCACCTTCTACACTTATCTTTGATCCTGCCTATGTAACGCATCTTGCTTCGTCTCATGAGCTCTTGCTCCATGCCTGATGTGTATTCTCGTTCCATGCCTCGTTTGTCAGTCAACTAAATCAATAAAAGATGTTGCATTCTTGTGATTGCTGTCCTGGAATACACGTGTCTGCAAATCGAACACCGGGAATAGATGATCATGCGTCTGCCGTTGCCGTCCGTGCAGGGGTATCATCAGCGTCGATGACAGCCGGGGTGTTCTCATGCGCCTCGGTAGACGGGGAGCCTGTAGGGACACCCTTAGATCTGCACGCCGGGCAGTTATTCTTCCCCTGCTCGAGCCATCTGATTCTCTGTCAGCTTTGCAGGGGACTCCGCACGGATGAGAGACTGACCTATCCACACACATCTTGTGGAAACAATGTCTGCATCCCAAGATCCTTATCTCCCCTTCTTCTCCTTCCTCATCCTCATAATCTCCTAAGCATATCAGACACCTCTCCGTACAATTATTCGCCACCCTTCCCTCGTCCTCCCACTCCCTAAGCTGGGAGACTCTGATGACCTCCAACCCGCTCTTCTCGATCTCCTCCCTCGTCGCTGTAGGCGGCTTGACCTGGCCAAGCAGCTCCCCAAGCGCCCAGAGATCATCATGATCCAGCTGTCCGGTGAGCAAGTGCGGGTGGGTAATGATCGGGTGGTTGGGAGGATAATGCCCTCCCACAACCCAGATGATATAGCTGCGCGTGCCCTGGTCCTCCCCAGCCGGGAGAGCATCCCGTTCCACAGGGGAAAGAGCCTGAGGGTGATCCCGCCCATTCCGAGGCGTACGGTTCCACAACCTCGACGCTCTCTGCCACATGCCCGGGCTTCCGGGGGCAGAAGAGCCCGAACCGGTGCTCGCGTCGTCCCTGGCGTTCCAGTCAAGCCCGGCCGTCCCAGGCGTGAGGAGGGAAGCAGGCCCATCGACAGGGGAAGCAGGGACGCTCGGAGGGTCAGCGAAGTCGAACAGCGCTGGAGCTGGGTTTCCGGCAGTGACACTCCTGAGTCCGACGAGGATGACGGGGATGACAGTATCTTCCTCCTGTTGTGTCCTACGATCTGGCGTGCGAGGCGGGAGCGTACCAGACAGACCGGGTGCGTTCTCTTCCCGTGCAGGGTCGGTCTCGGCCTCGGCAGCGGTTCGTGCAGGAAAACGATACATCCTCCACCAGTTCAGTCGCTCGCCGTCATTCTCCGTCCCGCCTTGCGTTGTCCCCCCGTTGGAGGAAACGAGCATGCCGGGCCTTGCGGGCTGGGGCGTACGGGGTAGTGTGGGGGTAGGAGCAAGCAGCGCCGAACCAGGAGCCGGAGCCGGAGCCAGAGTCGGAACAGCAGTAGTAGTAGAAGCAGAAGGCTCCCCCTGCCCAGCCGGTCGATCTTCGACGGGCAAAACCGTTTCCCCCTCCGGCTGGGGAACCCTCCTTTCCCCCAGAGCGTCCCTCCTCGATTGACCAACAAGCAAAGCCCTCAGATCGACCTGCAACTCCCACAAGAACCTCTCAAAGCTTCCTTCTTCCGGCGGGTCCGCGCTCCTACTCGCCGTCCACGCTGGCAAAGCAGCCAGAGCACTGGGAAACCGTTCTTCTCCCCTTGACCCATTCCCGGATCCTGGGGTGAGAGAGGGAGGACGGTGCGAGGCCGCGGCTGCAAGGGCGTCCATCAGGATCTCGCGAGCTCGTTGGCCGGGCGCTGCTGGTCTCGGGTGGGGAGGGAAGGGGAAGGGAAGGTCAAGATCCTCCATCTCCGCTAACAGGCGCCTCGTTTCCGCGCTAAGGCCCAGAGCGCGCCCAGCGCCCGGAGCAGAGGGAGAGGGAGAGGGAGAGGGAGAAGGCCGACCCTGCCCTCCAAGCCTGGACAAAAGTGACCGTTCCAGATCGGCGACTCTCCTTTCCGCTTCCTCCAGTCCTCTCCTAGCAGCCTCTCCAGCCCCAGCAGCCGCAAGCAACCGCCTAGTCAGCTCAGCAGCAAGCTCGTCCCTCTGTCTCTGGCGTTCCCTTTCCCTCTCCGCAGAGCCGGAGGAAGGCGCAGACTGGATCGCTTGATGCGCTTCGGCGGCTACGCGTTCTGCGGCTGCGCTCATCTGCTCGGTGATCTGCTGCATTTGGGTGTTGAGCTGGGCAAGTTCTTGCGCGAGGTTCGTATGCTGGGACGAGAGCATAGAGGCTTGTTGTGCGAATCCCGGACTGGGATTGTTGCTGTTCCCGTTGGACCTGGGATAAGGATGGGCGTGGTCGAAGGGCGACGAAAGGAGAGAAGGAGAGACCGGTCCAGGCCCAGTTCGGGAGAGAGCAGAAGACCGCTGCAGCCTCTCACGGAGGGTTTCCAGCATCGTCCGCAGGGCTTGAGTCGACCCTGGGAGAGAAGTCGTGTCCGTACCTGGGCGAGGGAAGAGCGAGCTCTGGGGCGTTGGAGTGAGGGAGGACGCTGCCTGATCTGTAGACAGGGCAGAACCCGAGACGAGCGAAGCGGCCGTCGCCGCCGTAGCAACACTGTTCCACATATCTCATCAGCATACATCTTGCTAGAAAAGGAGGGAAGGGGACGAACCTCAGTAGCGTACTGAGCATATTTGCTTGTTCTTCCAGGCTTGGGCTTGGGCTAGGGCTTCTCCGCCCGTCGAGGTCGTCCGTCGTGGGGAGCCTCGAGCTGTCCCTTGGCCGCTCGCGGTCTAGGAGTAAGTTGGGCCTTCCGTCCATCCCGCTCTCCCAGTCATTCGTTCCAGCAGCGACAGCAACTTCCCCAGCCTGGGACTCGTCAAGTCCAGCAGTAACAGCAGCGGTAGCAGTGGTAGGAACAGTATCCCCACCCGCAGCATCAGCGTTCCGCACCCGCTGCTGATGTTCCCTCACCAACCTCGCCAGTTCCTCGACGGACCCAACACCCGACGGGAGCGGTATCATCCCCAGTCCAGAGGTGCTTCCCCCGTTCCCGTTGGCAGTTGCGTTCGCACTCGCGTTCATATTTGTGTTCCCGTTGGTCCTGGGACGAGCAAGACCGAGACGGATATCGTCCCTCTCCCTCGCTGCTGCCCGGATCCGATCATACCTCTCTCTCTCCAACCTGTCCCTCTCTCTTTCTCTTTCCCTCTCCCGCTCCCGCTCCCTCATCGCATGCCCATGCCCCCTTTGAGCCGACGTCTGTACCAGCCCCTGAACGATCATCGTCGTCCCCGTCGGGATAGGCGGGAGGACCAGCGGGCCCAGAGCGGGGGTTTCAGCAGGGAGGGGGAGAGGAGGTGGGGCGGGCGCAGGGGGTAGGGGAGTGAGTATCGGGGATGGAGGGAGGGTAAGCGAGGGTTGCGGGGGTTGATGAGCGGACGGGGTGGGAGCGGGGATGGAAAGCGTAGAAGTAGGCATAGAGGGAGAGAGAGGGGAATGGATGACCGAGAGAGGCTCTTGCTGAATCGGTTCTTCATGCACTTCTGCCATAGCCAAACTTCGTTCTATCGTTCTCCCCTCTTCCTCATCACCTTCACTCCCCGCACTCCCACTCCCACTCCCGCTAGCAGAAGTAGGCGTCCCGACTCCAGTCCCCATCAGCCCTAGAACGCTCCGAGTCCTTGCCCTCTTCCTCCTGGAACGGAAGACATCGCCTAGCTTACGTTTCCTGCGTGGTTCTTCCTGTGCTTGGACTGGAGAAGTAGGAGTGAGTGGTTGGACTGGTGTGAGAGCAGGGGTGGATGGACGACGGATAGGGAATAACGATGAGTGTCTTCTTCCTGTTGTCGTTGGTGGTAGAAGTGGAGTTGGGTTAGTAGACTGAGGTGGTATTGGATGTGAATGATGTTGACCCATTGTTGAGTTGAAAGTGTAGTGAGTAAAGAGAGAGAGAGGGAGAGATGGTGGATGGTCGTCAAGTGCTGGCTGAGGCGGTGAATGCACTGAAAGGGATTACCTTATCCACAGGGGGCAAAATGCAATGCTTTGTGACTGATCACAGAAGTGTTAGACGCTCACTTGTTATCGATATCCTTCTTATATTGTTAGTTGGATGTGCTGAGTAGAATAGTATTGTAATAGATAGAAGGATAAGAGAGAGGATAATAATACTCTAATAGACTGACAGCTGTATTTATACAACCCACACCATCAAACTCCCCCCATCTTCCACACTCCGGGTTTCCATCACTCCCCCCTTTGCACATTCTAATATTCTGGCGCTTACGGGAGACTGTACTATCATACTGTTGTCCGCCGATACGCCCCCGAACCACCTCGGATTCCCCCTTTCCACCACATTCGGTCAGCTTGATCCTATCCGTTGCGGCCAGAAGAAATACGTGGAACCCGCGGCTGCAGCTGATATAGGCGATCCTACCATATGCACGCTTGCATGCTGTGTATTAGAGTCTCCCTCAGATCGCCCAATCCGGATCTCCCATCCACTGCAGTCCAAACCCGCCCTTACAGCGTCTAAGAAGTAAGGGTGATCTAATTAAAATGTCCAGGCGTCTACCCAATCTACCCAATGATGTCTACGTACAACCTAAACAGTGTCCAATGTCAATACCCACACTTATCATTACCCTCCAGCATGATCGTACACCCGGGCACCCGCCCTCTCCCTAAGCGCCTACCAAATCCTCACAAACCTGCCCAACGACCAGCCCCAAACTGTCAACCCCCCAGGTAACAACACGCCAAACAACAACAAATCCTGAAGGACGCGCTTCGTCTCCCTCTTCAGCTGCATGCTCCTTTCCTTCTTGAGCAACAGCGCGTCGTGTGCCCCATCCAGCGGTGCACTGGTGGGGAATAGGATCGATAGCGGAGAGCGAAGATGGTGGAGTATGAGATGGACGAGGGAGGGGAGGACGTAGCCGAAGTACAGGAGAGAGGAGAGGGTGAAGTCCCACACTAGGGCGCTTGTGCCCCACGCTTCGGGGAAAGAGGTGAGCGCGCTGCCCAGCGCCCAGAGGAGGACGGAGAGCTTTATCCCTGGAGAACGGGGGCGAATCACGCTGCGGGAAACGCGGATCGAGGAGAGGAAGAGGAGGAGAGAGGAGAGGAGGACGGTGGGGAGGGAGGCGGGGGCTGGGTAGGTCGAGGGGAGGAGGACTAGTGGGAGAAGGAGGACGGGGCCGAGGCACGCCGAGAGTGCGGGAATGATCGGTCTTACTGCGGGAAAGGAGGGGGGTGCGAGCATGATAGGTAGGATGAGGAGGGTGGCTGGAGGGCATCAGACGTCAGATATCAGATTGGGTTAGCACAGTGGGACGACGTACCGATCGATTGGAAGAACGTGTTCACCGTGAGCGCTGCCCGCGGCTGATGGAAGATGGTCGAGAAGGTGGGAGTGAGCACCTCTGCCGAGGCAGCTGCTACACCCTCGGATCGCGAACCGAAGAGTGAGACGAGGGAACAGATGAGAAATGCGATGTACGCGGCGATGTGAAGGAGCGGAAGGTATCGCAGTGGTTGCTGGATGCAAACAAAAGGTATCAACTAGGTCATCGTCAGCGACGACTATTGTTTACTGTGGTCGGACATACAAGAAACGAGAATCCAAGTCCCAGCAGAGGGCTGACCGCCGAAGAATCGATATGCGGTGAGATATGTGGTACAAGCAATTGCACGGCAGCTATGGACCGATCAGCGTAGTCCAGAACACAGCAAAGCAGCTCACATCGCAGATAGACAACACAGAGTCCCAGACCAGTCGACAGCATGCCCATCCTGATGAGTCCACTGACGAGCTTCTTCCACTTCTCCCGCCTGATCCCACGTCCACTCCCGCACACCGCTTCAGCCACCCGTTCCTCCACGGTATCCCTCCGCACGTATCTCCCCGCGCCGCGCCATATACTCTGCACACCAGCAGCGATGACAATCGCAAGCAGGAGCAGTCCAGCGCCGAGGAGAATCGGGAATGATTCGAGTGTGTGGGGGAGAAGGAGGGCGCCTAGGGAGAGGCTGGGCGTCAACATCGCCGGTACGCAAAGCCATGCCGGTAGTTGCGGGGGCGGAGCGCGTTCCTTGTGCTCCACTTCCGGTGCTTCGAGGTCTGACGGTGATACGAGATCATATCCGTCTTCCGGGCCGAATGTGAAGGACTCTTCTTGTGGTGATGAGGGCGGGTAGAGGGTGAGTGAGGCTGTAGAAGCGTTCGGTGTGCCTGTCGGGAGGGCGGCCATGATTGCACTTGAACACCAACTCCAGTTTCAACAGTTGTCGACAGAGTGGTCGCTGACAGCAGATAAGTGGTGGTAGAAAGCAGAGTTGTATGGCGGTGGAGGGCGTTCGACGTCGGAGGGAAGAGGACAGATAGGCTGGGGAAAGGGCTGCGCTGCGAGAGAAGCGGAGGGAGTGGCTGTGCACATATTTTGAGCCATCAAAAGCCACCGTCAGTGCTTGCTTCCGATTGGCTAATATCTGTCTAAGGCTGTCAAGTCACCTTACCCCAAAGTGGTCAGACTGACCGACGCAATCGGGCCTTGGGAATATACAATCATTACCCCATTCCTCTTACCACAACGCAGACATCACGTCAGAAAACACGAGTCTGTTCATCCAGCGGACACGCCTCCCGCAACTTGGTCTTGACGAACACGTACTTTCTCGGTGGGGAGATCCCGAATGTCTGCTGGAGCTGAGCAGACGACCACGGATTAGTGAGCTTATACAGCTGTTCAACTTCATACGCGTAATGACCTTCCATCTCACCAGCGTTGAAGGCGGTGTTGCCCAGCCCATCTGTGGTCAGCTCACCTGCCCCCTTGGCACGGGACATAACGGCCACGTAGCGCAGGGTCTTGTCAGGCGAGGAGACGTAAAACCTGACATTCGTCAGTCCTAGCAGAGCAGGAGGCTTGGAAAAAGCTCACCACCAGCGCTTCACCGTTGAGGGCATTACGTACTTCCTAAACTCGTGATCTTTCGTCCGAGCGACGATGTCTGCCATATGCTCCGGTTTGATAGAAATGACGATGTCTGCTTTCGGTGTGGTCATCGCACGAACGCCGAGTGCAGGAAACGCTGGTGCTGGTGCAAAGCTCTAGTACAACTCGAGGACCTTTTCGTCGATCCCCACAAAAGCGCGGAGACAAAGAACACGCGTCCGCAAGGTAACAGGCTTCTCGTTGTATTCCCTGTGCCCTTAGCAGCGAGTCATCCATCTCCTGCCCACCAAAAGAACCAGAGCGTAGGAGATGGGGAGGATTCACCTCTCCGTCCCTGTCCCCATTTCCCATGTCTGGACCAGCCCCCAGCCTATTTTAGGAGCAGAGCATTCCCTCCACTTCGTGCTTACTGTTCCTGCCCCAGACATTGCAGTATCAGACATTAGGCATTTCAGTGTGACTGTTTCAAGCTTTAGACAATGCGCCAAGCCCAGGCAAAAAAAAAGATGTGACTGTTGCGCGCTGCGGGAGGTTCCAGCCGCGTTAGGGGCGAAGAACGTATAAAACGTAGACCATAACGTTGGATTCTGTCCACCACCAGTCGTTCATCACTGCACCAAAACATAGCATGGCCACTCTCGTGAACTATATCGCCTGCAACGACGTCGACGCGACCGTCCAATGGTACTGCGACGTCCTCGGTTTCCAGTCGAACAAATCGCTGCACTTCCCCGGCCAGTTCGCGCACGTCTACCTCGACGGGCCGGACGCTCGTGCTTCTCGTGCTCAGCTGATGCTGCGTCGGTATCCTCACCCCGAGAAGGAGGTCGGGATCGCCCAGGGGACGAAGCCGTCCTCGATGCAGTTCTTCTTTGATATTACCGATGAGGCGAAGGGCAAGGAGGCGGTCGACGAGAAGTATAAGTCGATCTTGCAGAAGAAGGAAAGCGGGCTCGAGGTCACTCTCAAGGATGCGCCCAACGACCAGCCGACCCACAGAGCCTTCACAGTCATCGATCCCAATGGTAGCGCTTCCTCGTGTGATCTGGTTTGTTCGAATCGCTTACACCGCTTACAGGTCACGAAATCTCGTTCTTCGTGTGGACCTGATTTCCGTTTACAGACTCGTTCCTGCTTTGCAATGTGACCATGATGCTTTGTACGGATGATGATTTAAGAATGAATGCGTTACAGTATGTAGTGCGTGAAATTTACAGGTGTTCGTATGGCCTGAATGAGTCGTCCAAGATCGATCGGAAGACGTCCAACACGTTCGATGCAGTTCACGCGAGTCAGTGATGATTCTCTTTGTGCCACTTCATGAAACGACAGTTCTGTCCACTGCAAACGTGTGAGCAGGGGAACAGCACAGATCAGAAGAATACTTACAAGGGACAGTTATCGCCCAGCTGGCATTCATGCCCTTAAAAATGGTTCAGCGTACTGCGTTAGATTTGACACACCGAACGTACCGTATATGCACGTCGCAGGATGTAGGCATTTGTCCTTGAGCCAGAACGGGCAGGGCATCCTCTTAACGAAAGTTCGCAGTTCTTGCATCTGTTCCGGGCTCAATTCTGTAAAACATTCGCTACCTATGCATGAGACTCGAAGACGGGCTAACCATAATCATGACCCCATTCACAGGAGGTATCGCAATGTCGACCAAGGAGATAATAGGCGTGGCAGGGACGAGGTTTTAATTTTGAGACGCTCTGGGATCTGATCAGCCTACGTCCTCCTCACGCTTAGACATGGACCTACCCCTGGTACTCTCTTCTTTCTCCCTCCGATTCCCTTAGCATATCCCTCTTCGCTACTATTACTGCTGGTAGCAGATTCCTCAGGTGCCTTGGAGGACACGTCAGTCGCCGATAACACTCGGTCTACAGGTGTCGAGGACTGAGGCCGTAAGATATTCCTAGCGATTTGTGAAGGGGTAGAGTATAAGACGACGTCGTCATGTGCGGTTTCTTTATCCGGGCTATCCTGCTCATCTTGTGGGGGTGGGGGTGTCGGCTTGGAAGTGGGAATACTGAGCATCCCAGGATGGAAGGGCGGCAATTTGTCGGACATGAACAGTCCCGGAATCTCCACGATACGATTCTGGAACGCTCTGAGCTCCTGCGCAAGCACGTCGTAGCCTTTAAGTATTAGGATCTTGTCAAGCTTGTTTTCTGCTGTTAATGAATGTAGGATTGAGCTGTAACCGTTATCGTGGGAGGCGCCGAGTACTATGAGTTTGCACGCTGATACATCGGCAAATAGGCGCAAATTCGCTGGTAACATACGTCAGATTCAATCCACGCAGATTATGCGCTAATCATACCTCTGACCTTAGCATCGGTCGCCTCCTTTCCACGCCCACAATCAATGATCGCATTAAGTTCGTGGCCCGTTACGAAACCTTCGACGAATTTTTCAAACGTCGGCCAAGTAGTCTTTCCATTCTTGATAGGGGGTAAGCATATATTCGACTGGTTCGGTTTGAGGATACACATACCTTAACCAGTATGCCTCCAAGACCTTGTCTGTTCATGTATACGTTCAAAAGAATTTCGGGATGAGACGATTGAGTCATGTTGAGTGCTTGTCGGACGCGGTCTCGTAGTGACTGAGCAGCCAGTCGACCACCTTCAGCACCTTGAGCCAATAGAGCCGCGGAAAACTGAGAGCGATGAGCAAAGTGGTCTACCCAGAGCTGATCTAAGATTCTCACAATTAAACCATCGCCATCAATAAGTACCACTGCAAACTCGGCTCCTGCTGTAACAACAAAGTCAACTTGGTGCAGCGGCGACACATAACGCTGATGCTCACCCGCACTTTGGAAGCTTGCTTTACGCTTGAGATCCCTTATCTCTATTTCCAATTCACTGCTTTTCTGAACGAAGACTCATATAAGCGTATGTACGGTGAAAGCCATGTAGGAATGGTCAACGCGCCTTTTCCGCTCGCATATAGCTGTCTCGCCACAACGCTAACTCTCGTTGCAGTTGTGCCTCTCTTTCGCCCGCATCCGCAGTTCTGGCCGACAGTCCATCGAATAGATTACTCAGCGATGTCGTCAGATTCGCAAACTCTGCTTTGTAGCGGTCGACGTCTGTTGCATCCCCAAACAATGGAGGGCGACCGCTGGTCGACTCCATGCCGCTCGTTCTTCACGCGTTCAAAGCTCGTCTCACGCGTTTGATCCAAGGTATCGTCGTCCAAACGGTATTCAAACAGCAGATGGTGGTAGTAAGACTAAGCGATTGCATGAGACCTCATTGCAGTAGCGTGCCGATCGCGTCCATATCCAAGAGGGAGATGCCAGGTGGCGAACGCGCTCTGAAGGAAGCGTGGGCTTAGTCTCGAAGTTTACCAGGGAATTTGTTTCTGCTCTCGTTTCACTTAAAGTATTATGCACGGAGCATTGCATGACGACTGGATTAAATACCCACTGGCTGAGCTCTTATTAATCAGGCCGACGGCAGACGATACATTTCACTCGTGCCGTGCTTCTCAAGAACCTGGCTTAGTCAGCGACCGAAGTTATTGTTAGACCACGAGACATCATTCAAAGTCTGCACCTAAAGGGGTCATAGTCTCCCAGTGCACCCCCTCGTCGATGCTTGAATAAAGAACAGATTGGTTACCATTCAAAGGATTTCCCAATTCCTCGTATCAATGTTCACTTGTTTACTTCTTTACTTTAATTTCTAATATCACTCCATACACCTCAGTCAACCAGCACCAAAGAATCTAAGTAGCTAAACCCGACAGCAACCCCACCCTCATTGCTTTCCCTTCCTTTCGTCCTCACCAAATACCCGCACTCCCTGTTAACATCGATCACACACGTTCCTTCACTATCCTTCCTGTACAAGCAGACCCCGTATACCCCAAGTTCAGAAATGACGTCGCCCTCTGTCCCTCCCTGCTCACTTGTACCAGCCTTGATCAGCACACTGCGCGAAGGCGGGGGCTCGATGAGCTCCATGACTACCCAAGCATCACGTTCCGCCACAGGGAGCTTCTCCAAGAACGACGGGATATTAGACCGGTAGACGTTGTTGCCCCCTCCCTCACGCTGGGGCTTGAGCACAAGATGGTCGGCATGGTCGATCGTTTGCTGGAGTGTTGTCGCATCGAGCGGATACATAGGTGCGAACGAAGCTCGGAGGAGGGCAAGATCAGCCTCGGTGAACTTCTCTGCTCCCCGGGAAGAGTCGAGCATGAAACTCTCGAGGACCCCCTCTTCCATCAACGCCTGCTGCACCTTCTTCGCACCAGCGAGCTGTGCACCAACAGTAGGGCACTTGATCGCCTTACTCCGTTCGACTAGGAGTCGTACCTCCCACGCCTTCTCGTCCGGATAATCGTCCGGTGTGTATCCAGCACGCATGTACATGACCGAGATCTCAAGTGGTTCAGAGGCGAGAGGGGAGGAGTAGAGCAACTGCTTGCTTTCCGACAAACTCGCAGATGCGACCAGATCGGAAAAGGTGACACGCTCAACCCGCACGCCGTACTTCTCAAGCAGGTCGTATTCTAGCCACCGTTGGTCGAATGCGTTCCGCTCGTGGGATTGGACAAGGAAGAGCACGGTCGCGCTATCGGAGGGTGAGATGGGTCACCCTTCGCAAACAAGAAACAAGGATGAAACGCACTTAGGAACACCATATGCCTTGTGCGCTTCAGCGATGCCTGCTGCCAGCCCCTGCAGAGCCCCGTTCTCAGGTAAATTACGAGCGTCGAGCAGCGGATGTACACCATAGTATCCCGTCGCGGATTGTAGGTACCGGTGCATCTTGCTCGTCCTTGACGCTAATGCCCCGAGAGAGGAAGAGATGCAGTTGAATTCCACTTGTCGGAGGGTGAAAGCTCCATCAGGCAGGGTATGAACGAGGTAGTCCGATCTCCACAGGCCGAGTTCTATCGGCTAGGCTTGCCAATCCCCGTCAGCAAAGCGCATGCAGCGCAAAGCACCCCAACGCACCTGGGTGATACCCTCCTCCCTAACCTGCCGCCATATCTTGCACAGCTGCAGCTGGAAGTCGTCCACCTTCGCCACCGCGCCCATGGTCTTCTCGAGCCAGGGCACATCAAGTGCGACCCGCGCATAGAGAGCGTTATACAATGGCTGAAGCTTCCTGCCTAGTTCGTACAGTGTGCGCGGGAGAGGAGAGGGGAAGAGCGTGAAAGGGGCATGTATGACGCGGGATGTCGACGGGTGAGGCTCGGAGGGCGGGTTCGCAGGAGGCCGGTAGACAAGCCCATGCGACATCGCCCAGTCCGCTGCGAGGTCTGTGAGCTCCCGTTGATAAGCAAGTGAGAGCAGGGGCGGCCATTCCGGTAGCGCGTGAGGCTTTGAATGTGTCGCCGTCTCTGAGCTCATCGTTCCTGCCTAGAGAGAGGTGAGGGAAGCAGGGTGTGGACGATGACTAGAGATATCAGCAATTGCATGAGTGGGACGGATGTCGTGCTTTGCAAGCAGACCATGCGGGTCCACCAACCCGAAGGCGACATCACCTCAGAAGAGACGACTTTTGGATGTATGTTAGGAGTGAGAGCGATGGTGTGCTCTAAAGTTCAATTAGGTATTTCTTTGGGCGCTTACAGAGTTACCGAATTGGTGGATTAATAATTCCCTTTTCTTCACTCTTCTATTCTCGACACGCAAATAGGCTTCAATAACCCCTCTCAGGCAAGAATAGGGTATCTAATTATGTGCCAAGACTCAAAAACAACCTATCAAACTGTACAAGAATTGCCACAAATATTGACAAGATCGTCAAGACGGTCAAAAGATACGATAATACAATTGATCATGCCGGGCCGCAGGCGAGGATACCCTCCCCATACAAGCCGGAGATCCACACCTTCCCATGTTCTTCATCCGCGATAGCTGTCGTGCTCGCATTCCATGCTTCTTCCTCCGGCCCACCAGCACTCTGGAATACCGTTCTCGTCTCCCCATCCTGGGAGATGGAGACGACCCAGCTGCCCGCCCTTGAGCTCGCGCTCTTGGCGTGCCTGATAATAGCGGGGAAGTTCGGGTGACCCGATGCGTAGAGCGTGCCGGAGGATGAGAAGGAGAGGTTGTCAGGTGAGAACGGGACCGGGGTGGTGGATTTGTGTCGGAGCGGGAGGAGGAGCACGCTACTCGCCAGGGGGAGGTCGTACATATACACTGCGGCCTTGGAGGATGAGGCAACCGCGAGGGTCTGTGTTAGCGGCGAGTATGCTAGGCCGTTCGCGAATGGGAAGTGGGGGACGGCGCTCGTGAATGTTGGCGTCGTGAATGTTCCTGCGGCTTGTGGGGAGGAAGGCTGGAATTGGAGAACGTCGACACTACCTCCTGGGAGAGCGAGAACAGATTCCAGCATAGGAAGCGTGTTCCCTAAAGGAGGAGGGAGGCGGCGTGTGAATGTATGATCCTGTGACATCAGGACTGTGCTCGGGCTGATTGCGACGACCGCGTTCGGGGAGAGAATGCGGCGATGAGTGAGCGTGCGAACGTATTCCAGTTGCGGGGAGCCGCTGGACGGGGACGAGAGCCTGAATACCTCGATAGTGGAGTTGTGCCTCCCATGGTTAACGGCGAAGAGTGTGGTCGGTTCCCCTGGCGCGGAAGGAAGTACGGAGATGCCCAAAGGGTGGAAATCGTGTCCTTCTGGATAGCCTACAAGGGGTAATTGCACCGATTCTTCAGTCGAAGGATCAACAAGCCACACCGAACCTCTCGGGTTAGGATCACGGAGCGGCCCCTGGTCCCACTGTCAGTTCTGATCGGGTGAAATAGCCACATCGCATTGGCGGGCCCGTGCGGGCCCGGAGGTAGTACCGGAGAAATGGACGTACCATCACTGTATTCCACCCCCTGCGGCTGGGGTCGCAGCTCGCGAGCAGGCCGAGCCTGTCACCCGAGAGGGAGTGCCATTCCTCCAGGTCTTCGCAGTAGGCCAGCTGACCAGAAGGCGCGTTAATCCTGTGGCATTGGCCGGTGGTGCTGGTGCTGAGTGGGAGCTGGGAGGTGGACTGGGAGGTGGATGCAGGGAAATGGAAGTAGGAGATGGGAAGGGGATAGATGGGGACGAGGAGGTGATAGCCGTTGTAGAGTCGATAGGAAAGGGCGACGAGGATACTCTGCGCGATGTCAGCCTGAATTTCATAATACCAGGAGGGAGACGTACAAAGATCAGGAGTCGTAATAGGTGGGTTGCAGTGCGTGACATGTTATGTAGTATATAGTGGGCAAGTAAAGACCTCAGGCGTCTTGAGTGAAGCAGACCAAATTTCTAGCAGTTGATTTTTAACAAGTTGTCATGTTTGCAGCAAAGCGTATTAATACGGTCGAAGAGTACGCAGACCTACATTTCCATCCCCAGCAAAACAGCGACCATTTATATCTGCTTGAGGATGGGTGAGCACATACACGGCCACCCCGGCTTCGGCACCCCGGCCTCCGTCATCCAGTATAAATAAGAAAATTTCCATTCCCATAGATGGCCACATACTAAATAAAGGCTTAGCAATTTCAGCTTCTAATTGCACCCGTCTCAGCCTTTCCTGATAAGGAAATTATTGCGTAATCTCCGCGTACGCGTCAGCGGACGACCGAAGAAGTCGACAAACAGCGGCGCACGTCGTTTCCATCGTTGTTCGCCAGCGACGACGACAGCGACGAGCTACATCCATCCGCGATAGCAACATCACAGCCAGAAACGAGTATGGGAATGGAACTCCCCTCCCCGACGTCCCCTGCCCTTGCACGCCAAGCAGAAGCAAGTTCTTCCAGCGGATCCGTGATCGCAGAAGGCGCACGACAACATGCGCTCGTGCTCGTGAAGCAGCAAGAGGCTCTGGAAACGGAGATGGAACTGCATTTCACTACTCTGCGCGCGAATAGGTCCACGATGCACACTCCGCTGCTTACGCCGGACGGGTTTCCCAGGGATGACATCGATGTGTTCGCTGTGCGCACCGCGAGGGTCAGGATTATCGAGTTGAGGAACGATGTCGAGAAGGTGAGGGAGGATATCAAGCGTGCTTTGGAGGGGATGTGGGAACCTGTATTAGCTGCCAGAGCTGCGGCTCCGAAAGAGAGCACGCCGCAGATGAACGGTACTGACGTGCAGGCGCCGTTTGCTAGAGTGGACGCGATCATGCCCCAGAGTCCCGCGAGTGAAGCTGTAAGTCGCACTCTTGACCAATGTATATGCGCTTTGAACTGATCTTGTTGTTTAGGGGCTGCAGAAGGACGATCTGCTGCTCTCTTTTGGCCTTCTATCCACGCTCTCTCATCCCTCTCTGAAACAAGACCTTTCTCCTCTGGCCGGTGCTACTCAACAACATCAAGACGTAAGCATTTCCCCTTTTACTGAGATCGTACGGGTGCTCACAGTGTTTTCAACAGCGAAACATGATAGTAATGATCCTTAGAGGAGCAGAGCGCAAGACTCTCATTTTACAGCCTCGGACAGGCTGGGGCGGGCGAGGGATGCTGGGGTGCGTACTCTTCTTTGGAACACTACGTGATTCCCTGACACCGCCTATAGATGTCACATCGTGCCATACCGCGCGTGATATCGTTCAGTCTCGTGCAAGGATGTTGTATGAATACGTGGTGTTGTACCGATATCAATTCATGCTGAACCCGGCGATGACGACCGCTCGATCGATATGTCTGAGGCGCCATCAGTCGATGAGCGGTGATGATCGCCGCAACATCATACGTCCTGGATACATTGTTTATAGGCTGCAAGAAACAATATCGTTGGCAAATATCTTCGGCGCCCGTGGGATGATATCCTTGGGGCGCCATCAGCGGCGTCGATCACATCGCAATATCATACGTCCTGGATATATTGTTGTCTATACTCAGGAAATAATATCATTTACGAGGAACATGTTTGTCGGCTGTAGGATGATATCCCTGATCATTCGAAATTCATTCCCCGAAGCACCAACAGCCACCCATGAAAGGAGAAGTCAGCCATTCCCGCCGCCCGCGAGTCTAATACCTCGCAGTCTCCCTTTCTCCTCGACTGCAACCCAGATCATATCCCCAATCTGCCTACAGCCGCATGTCAGCCTCGTACACTCTCAACCAAGAAGGGTCCAGGACGACCCAGAGCTGTCTAGCCCAGGACTGAGCGGCTACCGAGCGTTGTCCGTACTTTCGAAGGACGAGATTCTGTCCTGCCCCTTGCGACCTTTTGCCATTGAGATTGTCGAAAGCGCAGCCTATGAAGAATGGGACGAGCGAAATGAAAGTTGCGTGCGTTCAGGGTCATTGTAGCTGGATTGCCTCGTACAACCGCCCTGGGTTGGAATAAGCCACGTGGACGTACTGCTTTGGGTAAACACGAGACAGGAGGTACAATACCAGTTGTTGATTCGGGACAACGGCCTCCCGCTACAACTGGTTGTCATGCGTGCCCTGATTGCTATGAAACCAGCAATGGACAATGGCACGGTGCTTCTCCCTATTTACCCTGTGCTTCTCCCTTGAACCGTCGGCATGGTCCCCGGTACATCCCACAGACGACCTCGTGAGCCAGCGCCATTGTCCACCGATCCGCTAAACTACCCAATCAGATGAATAAACTCTAGTGTTTCAATAACCTGTCTTCCTCTCCTGGCTTAATCAATTATTCATACGACAATGGCCATTATACGGACATAACAAGTTTCTTAACCCCGTGCCGACTGTCCCGGTCCACCTCGGCCTTCCCGTCTTCCCTTGGACAGCAGCCTCGTCCCACGCGCCAACTGCCATTATCCGTTCTTCCTCCCTTTGCGGAGCTCCATTATCTTGCTTTCTCTCCCTCTAACGACGACATATTCGTACTCGGCATCTGGCGGCTCCTGAATGAAAGATCTGCACAATGCACTCGGCAGAAGAGGGAAATTGTTATCGCTGGCCTATACTGGTCACATCCCGCCCTAGCTCGATCAAGTCCAACATGTGTCGCTCCCTGGTATCTCAGTCTTTTAATTCTCCTCGAACAACTTGGTCGTCGGGCCAACTCCAGCTCTGCAACGGGTGGCACAGCGTTCATTCTAGTCCTGTCAGTGCCATTCAACATTGGCAAGGGCCTGTTGCGGTCTTGCTGGCGCACACTATGCCGCTTTGTGCCTTGCCCCGTGATTGCAGGGACTATTCGGTCTATACTCAGATACTCAGATGGTGCACCGAACTCTCTGCTTCTCCCGTGCTCTGCTATCTATACCTCTTTCCGTGTCTCAGGTAACCCTGAATGTCCAGTTATGCTTCGATTCTGCGATTCGACGGCTTTGTGCGTGCGACGGCGGGCATGGTCAGCAACTGTTTATGCCCGTGCACCAATTTTGGAACAACGCCGGGCCATTGTACTGCTGCGAGAGCAGAGGTATATAACCACACCCGATCGCGGTTGAGGGAGAAACAGTCAACTCCTCTCCCTCTTCGGTTTTCAGCATCTGTCTTCCCCGCTCGCCCTCTCCGCATTCGCTCGGTCCCCGTAGCCGTTCGTGCCCTTGCCCCCGATGTCTCGGACGATCACTGACAATCCTGGTTACAGACGTAATACTTCGCTTCTTCTTCGCATCCTATTCCAAGCCACCCACACTCCAAAAATGCACGGCTCCTTCACTGCTCCGGTCGACGAGTGCCAGTTCTTCACCAACTGGCAAGGACACACAGAGAAGACATGGGACTGCCTCATGCCCGAGTGCCCAGATTCCCTCAACAACAAGGCGCTTCGGGAGCGTATCAAACAAGAGAAGAAGCAGAGGAAGGCGGCCGAGAAGGCCGCTGCCGCTGCTGCCAGGCGCTGAGCGGTTCGATTCAGTTTAGTTCAGTTCCGTTCGTTCCCCCTTCCCTCCTCCGCCGGCACCCAGGGTGTGCGGGCGAGCGTGGTGAGTGAGGTACCCGATGTGTGTAACGACTGGTCGCAATGCATAGAGGACAGAGGACAGTCCTTCGATGACTACAGAATGTCCGTGGTCTCATGGTCGATCGATAGCACATGTACATCAACCATCTACCATCTTTTTCTCCCCTCTTCCTGACTCCTGTCTATCCGCATAATTGTTGTCTCTCTAACTACACTATACCTGTAATAGTCTGGCAGAATGTGACCCCCATCTTGCCCTTCCCAAATTCGTACATGGTGTAGCCCAACCTTCCCCACGCCCAAGCGGTGGTATTCGCTCGTAGTCACAGAACACATGGAAAAGGGGAAAGCTAATACTTACCCAACATCTATTGTTCACCGAGGATCACCTATCGCGGCAGATCGTCCGCATAAGCATCCGCTTCCCCCGAAAGGGAATGGAAGACTCCCAGGCCAAGGGGTTTACCCCCTTCACCTCCGCGTTCTCCGGCGTCGATCCTCCACACATACTTAACCCTACCGGCTAAAGCCAGCATGCGAAGCTCTGTCTTCAACGACCAGCAATACGATCCTTTACACCGTTTTCTTGTTTGACAATATCGACGACTAAGGATGGCCTCCAACCCCAGCGAGATCAAGGGCACCTCTATCCACCTCATCGCCCAGGTGCGTGGGAATCCGGATCTAAGCAAAGAGCCGGATTGGTGGTGCACGTGATTGTTACTGATCACTGTCAGCTGGTAGATGACGGCTAAGCCCGGTCAGGCGGAGGCGATCCTCAAGCATCTCAAAAATGTACAGGTTAATGCGCATTCGGATAACGAGCCCGGGTGCAACAGGTATGACGTGGTGAGGTACGAGGACCATTTCGCGGTGCGTCTTTCCCCTTTTGTCGAGGTAGGCGCTTATGATGTTGTAGGTGATTGAGAAGTTGGTAGCGTCGTTAATGTAATGTGACGTTATGGCTGACAAGATCTGATCATCACAGCTACAGCACTCAGGGCGACGTTGACATGTACATTCCCTCCCTTACCGCATCAGTCCGTTTGCTAATAACATCCTAGACACATGGCTTCGGAACAATTCAAGGCCTTCGCAGCTGAGGTCGAGAGCTTGACCGTTCCTGGGGTGAGCTTGCTTCCTCCTGACATCTGCACTTGCTGATGCGATACGGGGTAGACGTTCATCCTCAAGTTCTTTGGCGAGACCTGAAGTTGGCCGAGGTGCTGAAGAGGATAGGAAGCGTCGTAGCTAGTTGCAAGGCAAAGGCAGAGACAAACGAAGAATTGAATGAGTCGTAAAGATCTCATGGGTCGTTGTTCGTTTCTGGCGCAGCGGCCGCACGTTTCTGTTTCTTCCTCTCCCTCGCTCTGGCAGACTTGGAGCGCTTCTTGCTCGGTAAGGGCTCTTGATATCTGCCCGTGATGTTAGCTATCGCCCGGTGAAAGTAGAAGGGGACGTACGTTGCTTTCCCCACTGCATCGGATGGGAGGGGAACTTTCGTCAGCGTGATCTTCATATACGGTGTTCTCTTGATCTGCAAACTGTCGGGTGTCAGGTTGTAAACCCCTCTCATGTGTAGAGAGGGACTCACTGGTGCTTCCCCTCCAATAGCTCCAAAAGACTCAGCCCTGTCTGCCCTTGTTCTCCACCTCTATCCTCATTGGCCGTAACCCGCCCTTCTTCACTACCCGTCTGTGTAGATAGATCCTCTAAACATCCTAGCTCGTTATATTGCTTCAATGTCCATCCCCTCCTCTCGGGTTGAGGGCTGGTAGCCATAAGTTCTACAAACTCGCGTTTTATAATCTCGGCAACGGCTATTAGGCGGGGTATGCAGGTAGTACAAGGCGCAAGTGGATGTTGGGATGATGTGGTATGGGAGGGAGGGACTGGTTGTTCGATGGTGGGTAATTGAGCATCTGGTGGTGGCCCAGATGCAGGTTTGGATGAGAGGGGTAAGGTATGTAGCACTAGTGGCCGGTTGTGGGACTCCTTCAGTACCATCAGGAGGCATCAAGGGTTTGGAAGGGTAGATACGCACTTGGAGGAACTTGAGCGCGAAGGCAACGTATGTCCTGAGCTTGCCCTGGGCAGCAATGCGCATCAAGTGGGGAGTGCGGTCGTCCACCTCCGCCACTGGTACAGTGGGTGGCCCAGCACCTTCTAAGGTGACAGCTGCATCCTCAGCACGTTGGAGTGAGGTTGGAGATGGGCCGGACATCGCTGTGCTGTTGATGGTGGAGAGACGCGTTCATCGTCGAAAACGCGTTGGTGCTCCTCTCGGCTCCGGTGACTCCGGTCATCGAGCTCGTTACCCCGCGTTTCATTAGCAGTCAACTTGGAGCATAATCCACTACAACATTACCGCTAATCAACATGACTTCTCTCGCAAGGTACGCAACACTTGCAGTTGCTTCTAACAAGCACGCTCATTTTCCTCCAGCTGCATTTTCTGCAGGATCATCAAAGGCGCGTACTTCCAGCATTCACCCGTATACAACAAGCTAACAGTCTACAGGGGAGATCCCCTCCTTCAAACTCATCGAGACAGAGACAACCTACTCCTTCCTCGACATCGGCCCTCTTGCGCGAGGTCATTCCCTTGTGATTCCCAAGGGTGAGCCTGCTATCTCCCAAAACTACCGGAACTCGGAGCTAAACGCCAAGCGCTAGTACACGCGGAGAAGCTTCATGAACTGCCGGATGAGAGCCTGCAGGACATCCTCTTGATAGCGAAGAAGATCGCCCTTGCACTCGGGTGTGAGAACTACAACCTCCTCCAGGTGCGTCTTGCCAAACAGCATCCAGCTCCAACACTCACCAGGTGAACAGAACAACGGGAAGATTGCTCACCAGGTGTGCACTGTTTGCGATATTTGCTCAGAATGAGTAGCTAACGTATTTGATGATGCATTTAGGAAGTCGGACATGTGCATTTCCATGTTATCCCTAAGCCCGAAGCGTCAGCCAAAGAGGGCCTTGTCATCGGCTGGCCCCAGCAGAAGGTGCGTAGCGTATCCCACACCATCGTTCTCGTCGGAAATAACCTGATGACAACACACAGCCAAGCATGGACGACTTAAAGGCACTTGCGGAGGAGTTGAAGTCTAAGATGTAGAGACGTGTATGTTCGGACGTAGACGGAATAAAGATGGCACGAGGGCAATGGGTTGAGGGGTCAATGTATACAATGAGTCAAGCAATGAAAGAATAATGAATTTTGTGTTCTGGATACTCTTGATAACCTTCAGGTGATTGATTAGCCGTTTCTGTGAGGAGGTTGTCGTCCTGTAGTAGGCCAGGTAGTTCAAGCTGTTGGGTCTGAGGGGACGCATCTGTAAAGAGCACTGATGGTGCGTCATGATTGCCCGAACTCCAGTAAAACTCTTCCAAAAATGAAGTTAAATAATACCAGTTGACTGAAGAAATTCAGTTGCAAACCGTTTCCCAAGCACGCTCAGCACCATCAAATCTATTTACCAAAATTCGAAGCCGGCCCTAACCAATCCCCACGTCCGTGCACAACGGCGCTCGCGTCAAACGCAAATCCCAGTGCAAGACCCCTGCCCGTGTACTACGTTTATTGTCCCCTTCGGGGTGACATACGAAAAAATTGGAACGATACAGAGAAGATTAGCATGGCCCCTGCACAAGGATGACACGCTTTCCAGAGTGGATGCGCTCCGGCGCACAATATTTGTTGCTCTTTTTGCTTTTGAATATAGCGTATTTGATCTTATGTGTCCTGCGCGCGCCAGAACTGCGCGATAGCATATTGTTCTACATGACATTGTTATGTCACAAAGTGTCTACTCGTCGCAAAACATTTCTAGCATTTGATGCGGCCAGATTTAACAACACGAAAAGATGTAGTTCATTGCATGTCATATCTTCGAACTGACAGTGGACAATACGCGGTATATAAGCTAAGATTACACAATACAACAAGGCTATTCATCGTCTTCACCCAAAATAGAATCTACTTCATCCGCATCCTCGTCATCATCGACTGGCGCCGCATCCTCTTCGTCACTTTCTGCCGAAGAGGCCAAGGAACTCCGCACGCGTTGCCGAGGAGCTGTTTTCACCTTCGGCCTGGGAGTCGCCTCTTCTTCGTCATCTTCATCTGGCACCAATAAGAAGACGTCATCGAACAGCTCCTTCAAGGACGCCAGCTCTCGATATGCTGCTTCATCCATTCCTGTGAGCTGCTCGGAGTACTTCTTGTTCATGGCGTTCTGGAAACGAACAAACGCGTTTCTTGAGGTGGTGTCTTTCAAAGGCCTCCGCTACAGTGTCGGTCAGCACCTGCCAATTGGTGGGTTGTACAATGACTCACTGTCTTGACACCCCAAATTAAGAGTCCGATGCTTCTGATCTTATCGTCATCCACCTGCTCGGGGAAGTGCAACTTGTTCAAAAGCTGACAGATGGCTTTCCGTTCGTCCTTGTCGCTGGCATCCAGCAGATATTTGAGGAGATCGATCGCCACGTCCACATGAACGGAGTCATCCGCCTTCATTCCATCGATCTGGACCACTTTCTCTGGTTCAGTCCAGTCTACAAGCTGTAGTCCAATTTGGCTCTGCGAGATCATCTCTTGATCTTCTTCCAGATCCTGGCGAACCTGCGTGAGGACTTCCATTACCGGAACGAATATGTGCTGCATCTTCTTCTGATTCTGTGACGCCGAATAGCAGTATACTGGGAAGAAGTAGCTCAGGCATTGACGCAGAGCTTGGTTCTCGGCAGTCTCGGGCGAGAGATACATTAGCACAAGGCTTTGGAGGATCTGATGATGGCATTAGCAGAGATATCGATGTGTTAAGGCAGAGCATACCGTTTCATCGGTCACCATCCCAGAAAGCATGAGCTTTGCGATACCCTCACAAGCGACAGCTTGCACATCCGGCAACTCGTCTGACATCACATGCAGCAAGAAGTCATTTGTGCGATTTTCCTATCCACGGTTACCGTGATATCAAACGCATGACGATAGCACTCACTCCATTAACCATGAAGAAATCTGTTCCGTGAATCATGAGCATGTCAAAGATGGCTTTCAGTGCTTTGCACTTCATTTCGTCGGAAGCTGTTTGAACTTGGTTCATAAAGAGTCCAAATGACTCTTTGGCCGTATTCTTGTCGATCAACGAACAAAGTCCAATGCAGGTGAGACCTCGTTCGCGCAACGCGGAATCCTTGCTTCGGACGGCAGGAATGATGAGTTCAGGTAGTAAACCTTGAAACGCGGAGTTCTCATGCAGATTCTAAAAGCGATCAGCAACTGTATCTGCACAGTGACCGGGCGCTTACAGAGTTCACCCGTTCTAGCATGGCAATGCATAACTCAAGACAGCGCATGTCGATGAATGCCGCTCGCTCTTTCTCAATCTCTTCCTCCTCCTCAGTCTTTTGCACTTTCTTCCGGTCTCGTGAACGTGAGCGGTTTTGAGAACGGCGAGAGCCACGAGAGATTTCTGATGCCTCCTCGCTGCCAGCACGAGAGAAGTCACCCTAGAAGTGGTCAGACCAAGAGCGAAATCAAATATGTGTGACACACGTCATTATCTTCAGGATACTTCAAATCACCGACAATCTCCACCACCACTCGAATTAAGTCACGCTCACTGTCAGACAGCTTGCTCATGATGTCCATGCATCTTGGAATGAGCGCTTCCGGTAAGCTCGGTTGGCTGAGCATGTCCCGAATAAGGCTGAACATTTTTCTTCTGCCGATTTCGTCTGCGTAATCGAGGTTGACAGCCAGTTTGCACAGCTCTCCAAGCATGAATATTGCCTCGTCCTTTGCCACTTCTTGGTTGGCTTCCAGCTCCGCTCCTTGCGCGATGAGCGACTCCTCCCCCAGTGTGATGTCCAGAAGCCTATTGTAGGCACTCTGTATCCGGAAAGCGAGGGCAGTAACAACGGGGAGAGATAACTCCAGGCGCGCCGTATCTTTAATTGAGATACAGTGATCAACGAAGACGCGTGCGAGAAAAGCCTTTTCCGCGGCGATCGACGACCAGAATTCCTCTTTGTATAGCCATCAGTCAAACATACCGTTCTTCAAATTGACAAACGCACCATCAAGTTGGGCGGCATCTAGAAGCTCTGGCCTGGTGACGAAGACACTCAGTAGAGCATCTTCGGCAACCCTGCTGCTCACGACGTCCAGCATGCGCAGGAACTACAGAATGTTAGATCAGGTTGAGGCAAGAAAATACTCTCAGCCCACCTCAAGCAAGTCCTGATTTTCCACCCACCCAGCAACCATCTTGCCTGCTGCCCGACGGACGCTCTCCTCGCGATCCCCAAGGCCGTTGCGGATGGCTTCCTCTCTTTGAGCAATAGACATCACCTTCGCATTTGGAAGAGCAGACAGAGCTGCAGTGTACGCAAGACGGCGAAGAGTAGTGTCAGTGTCTCGTGTTCTGGACAAAATATCGTTGAGCGTGGTTGGAGAAGGCGGTGTATTGAGGAGGGCAGCCCTTCGGACCTCACTACGTGAGTTAATGAGAGTTGGGTTATCTTCATTGATGGAGAACGTACGCAGATGGATCATGTCTGAGCACCCCCAATAAGATCTCTTGCACGCTTTCCTCCCCATCCGCCAGATCCTCCTCTGTTTCTCCGGCCATCACTTTGGACAAAGCAATGACGGCTTGGACGCGAACGGCGGGCTCCTTGTCATGTGCACGCTCGAGGAGAGCTTCACGTAGTGTCATGAACAAGTCCTCACTGAATGCACGTGTCAGACATACGATCTACGTCATGAAAACCTTCCCTTACTCTAGTTCGCCTAGGGAGGAAATCATCATTGCAACCAGTTGGACACATCGGTACCGGACTGATTTATCTTTTGCTTCGAAACCTTTCAAGAGATGCGACAGCAGGAACGCAATCAGTCGCGATGCTGGTGTGTCTTCGTCGTCATCCCCGTCCGTTGCCTGCTCGGCGGCTGGCGGAATGTAAGCTGAACTCATGTGCCGGTCGGGCACTCCGCATACCTTTTTCCGAGAGGAATGTCACAAAACTTGCAACATATTTCACCACCCTGTCCGCCTGCAGGACACCTCGCTTCACCTCCAGTATCTTGTCCACGATAGAAGAAAATGCATCATTGAAAGCTTTTTCCCCTGTCAACCTGATGCCTTTGCCGTTGGGCAGGGTCTGGGTCACCGCGGCACACTGGAGATGAATCTTGTGCAGTGCAACGATATTCTTTCGATGATTCGCAGTATTGTGCTGAGATTGGCTGAATATGGGCGGTAATGCAGTTTGAATATCAGGCAGCTGGGGAAGGAGTAGCCCGGGCATCCTGTTGTCGAACAGATACTCTGAGCTCGCTCGCTGTTAACTGTCCTCGACGCGGCATTCGACGCGTCGATTTCCTGACGCCCACATCACGTGCTTTCTTTGCTTCCATACATCAGACGACCACAAAGACACTCACTAGATTTCGAACACCTAGAGCACAAGATGCATGTCGCCAACTCTTGATGTTCCGCATCGCCGGCTGTCATGGGCATGTGACCGACAAATCCACTCGTTCTGTATACTAGAAGCTGGGCATCTTGAGGAACATACTGATTACACCAAGTGAGACATTCCAGTCCGAATGCTCACCTGTCGGTTACTGTATCGGGCTATTATAATATTGTTTGAATAACTACCTCCGCCTCGACCGTAATGCGTCCAGCTCTCTCCAACTCTCATCCCATCCCTTGACAAACTGCTCAGTGGAGAACTTCTCGCTTGCCAATGCTCTGCCTCGTTTGCGCATGGACAGTTGGGAAGATGGGCTGAGCATAAGCGCCTCGTCCAGTTTTCGCGCGAATTCGGACGCGTCTTTCGCGTGAAAACCGGTAGGCTGCCCTTGATATGGTACAACGATATCGAGGAATGGACCGGCCGATGCATGCACAACAGGTATGAGGCCAGCCGCCTGGGCAAGGGGTGAGGCAGTGAACCGCACAAATGCAGAGGAACGGACCAAGAATTCGACTACATTTATGCCAAAATGTTCATCGATCATGGTGCTAAACCCGATAGATGAGCGAGATAGCCAGCCTTGCACCTCCTTCCATGGCGCGTTGACCACAAATTCGACACTTTCCTGGGCGATTTCAGAGCAATTCAAAAAACGGAATTGAAAGTCCGACATTGACACCGAGCTTCTTAGCGAGCTGACGCAGCGATTCCACCCGAGCTGCATCCTCGTCGTTACGGCTGCTGCCCAGCAGCACGAGCTTAACTTCATTAGCTCCATTTCGGTATTCGGGATTCATTTCCAGTAAATCACGCATGGCGTAGAGTTGTGTTGCGTGTTCTTTCTCCGGTCTAGGGCCACGTCAGTGGAACGGCACGGGGCGGTGATGATAAATACCTGAACTGGGCCAGGCTCATTATCACACGCTGTCTTCCTTCGAGCAGGAAATTTTCGAGACCATGGGTATCGCAGGGCGGGTATACGATCTTTGCGGTTTTGACAAGTGTTGAACTGAATGGCGTATTTTGACTACTCTTCAGGAGTGAATCGACGTGGCTTTTGGTCCATGTTGAGTTGGCCATCAGTACGTCAGCTCTGTTCAAGGAAGCGGAATACAGCCAAGCAAATATATGATAGTATCTGTCGAATGGCATGAGCGATAAGCTACATCGATTGATACACGGTTGAAGATCATACAGAAGCTTGCCTGAGCTGAGTAGGCTGCTCCGTGCTACTCCTCCAGTATTCGTATGTCCGGCCTTTCGATCACGCACGCGGTTGAGCATGTCCGTACTAATTGTGGGATAGTGTACATATGCTCCTATCGGAGTGCTGGAAGGTGCAATGGCCCTGACGACATGGAATGTGAATGCATAGCCCATGGTGTCTGCGAGTAAGTCTCAATATATGCGCAATGCAGGAAGCTACTTAACGCACCGATATACACGTCTGGTATTAGTTGTTTCATTGCTTCATAACCGAGCACCATGGATCCCAACGACTGTCCAAGCAGAGTGAAACGTGGCCAAGCCTTGTCCTCTACCAAATGTCGTGATTTTAGGTAGGCCAGGTGAAGGGTGTCTGAGCGCAATGAGATGCCAAAGCGCGCCTGCTTCATCATCAAGCTTCGACGCCCAGCTATAGACGTCGTAGCACTAACCTTGACCTTGTCGACAATATCTTCTTTGGACGCGTCTGTGTCTCCGGTGTAGACTACGGAAACGATGTTCGGCGCCGTCTTTTGAAAGTGCTCGACAGCCGCCCAAAGCACGCGTTCACCTCCACCTCCAGCATTGCTATACGTGATATTGGCACTTAGCTCAATAATCCAAGGAAGTTCGAGCTAACCAGTAAGGATGGAAGAGTCCGACAAAGGTCTTGTCGGTAATCGCTCCAAGGATACCCAGCTCTTTTAGGATGGCCCGCCTCTTGTCATCCGTCTGTAACCGGCACTTTAACCCAGCAGCATATACACCAGATACAAATGCAAACAAGACTAGAACAGCGAAGAGATCAGGAACCAGGACTGCCAGTATTATAGCCTCTCTCAATTGACCCGACATATGGAGGTTGAGAAGTAGCCTGACTGCCGCTCCAGGGTCCACGTTGCCGTGATCCATCAACAGCCGAGCCACGTGTCGGATTCCGGCACACGCGGTCTCTTCACTGGGGTTCGACCGCAGACAGATTCTCTTCAATCTCATCCTCCTTTACTGCATCTTATCTCTAACTTTGCATCCTCTGTATCAATATGGTCAACAGAACGATACCAGCTATGGTCTTCGATGGTACGTCGTCTGCGACTGTGGTGTAAAGTACTGCCCTTACTGATGCGTTCGTAGTCACCTTGCTTGCTGCAGGGAATGTTGCGCTCTTCTACATGCTCCGATATGTCCTCAACAGACTGGAGCCGACGAAGTCAGAAGAGCGCTCAGGAGCAAAATCAAAGTCTGCAGCGGTGCTCAAGCGACTTGGACTGAAGGATCTGCATTTGACAGAGCATGAGAGTACGGCGTTATTTTGTCGACATTACACATTCGCTGACGGGCACTATTAGCTATAATAGCGGCAGAAGTCGTACATCCGGACGATATCAGCGTACGTTTTGAAGGTGCGCATAAATACGAATTATTCGACTATCCGTATTTACACCTATCTAGATGTTGGTGGACTCGACCCGATTATCGTATCGCTCCGCGAGACCGTCATTTACCCCCTTCGCTTTCCCAATCTTTTCCGCTCTGCATCCAATTTGATCAGTGCCCCTAAGGGCGTCTTATTATATGGGCCACCAGGTTGTGGGAAGACGATGCTCGCAAAAGCGCTCGCCAAAGAATCCGGTGCAACGTTCATCAACATCACTGCATCCGTAATAACGGACAAGTGGTTCGGGGAGAGCAACAAGCTTGTGGACGGACTTTTCAGCCTTGCAAGGAAAATGCAGCCCAGCATCATTTTCATCGATGAAATCGATACCTTCCTGCGGGATAGGGCTAGAGGAGACCATGAGGCAATGGGAATGTTGAAGGCAGAGTTCATGACGTGAGTCCCAAAGCGAGAGCATCTGTATGCGTTTGCTGATGCCTGTATCAGCCTTTGGGATGGGTTGACGTCATCCGATGAAACTCGCGTCCTAGTCTTAGGAGCGACCAATAGACCCGAGGATATCGACCCCGCAATCTATCGGCGATTGCCCAAGCGGTTCGGTGTCGGGCTCCCAGATGCCTCTCAGAGACAAAAAATCCTGGAACTTGTTCGTACATGCCCACGTATATGCATGCTATTTACTTATTGTAGTCTCAGATGCTCAGGAATACTCCTCTTGATCCAACATTGGATATGCAAGAGCTAGTCAGAGAGACAGTGGGTATGTCGGGCAGTGATCTAAGAGAGTTGTGCCGTGTGGCAGCATTGGCTCCTGTACAAGAATTTATGAGGACGAGTGGAGGAACGGATGAGCAGATGGCGGAGGCAGTAATGAATGTACGTCTTTCTCATCCATTGCCCACTTGAGCTGTCTGTTTATATGATGGCAGGACTTCAAGCTACGACCATTGCGCATAGAGGACTTCCCTGTCCATGAGGTGAAGGACCTGGCAGCGTAGAGCTCCACTTGTATCAACATGTAGAGGCCTTGTACACATCTCCTGGACTGAAACCCTGTTTACTAATGCAAACCCGATCTATGTGTGCAGCTCGAGACTTTCGGAAATCTCTGGAAACCCGCCGATATGCAGCAAGATCACATGGAGTGCTTTGCGGTGACGTCGGAGAGTGAAATATTGGTGCGTGATATGAAAGTGATGTGACTACACGTTGGAAGGAATCTCCGCCGATAGGAATATCTCTGAATTTTCAATAAGAGGACGCGTCTTAAACTCGAACCATCACCTGCACGCATATACTCGGAACTGTCAATGGAAGCCAGCACAATGGACGCGGCTAACACGGTATACAATACGATAAACGACTTCTGCCGCCAGCTCAAGAAACAGAAGAAGGGGATGAAGCAAGAACTTGAGGAGAAACGCGTTCTGATCGGGAGACTGACCGCTGAATGTGATTCGACGGCCAATAAGCTTAAAGACCTCGACTATGAATGTAAGAAGGTGGAAGAAAGCCTGAAAGCCGCTGCTTTAGCGCGCAGTCAGATCGCATCCCTCCTCGGCCAGACGCAGGCCTCTGATGCCTCTAGCACCCGAGAGGGAGTCACCGGCAGCCCGACATGTAGGGCGCCATCCGCGGGTGACGATCGTATCAACAGCCAGACCAGCAGACCAAGCCCCCCTACCCTCATCACTACGACCCCGGTTTTGAGCACGACGAAAGGTGCTAGCGTGAAGAAGCGAAAGTTCGACGATCTGTATGTAAAGGAAGAGACAACGCAAGACACTGGCAAGCCTACGAAATTGACGGAGGCAAAAGGTGCATAGAAAGGGTTTCAAGCAGTTCAATAAGCCTGATTCATATAGCCGTTGATCACCCAGAATTTGATGAGCTGCCTACATGGGAAGAAGATGAAAACCCCGTGGGCGTGCCAAAGCACCCCTTGAAGCCGAATCCCGCAAGATACCAGAACCGACAGGGCGATCCGTCCAATTGTTCACCCCGGTTCCTTCCTCTGTTGGTAGCAATGCAGGCTTTGCGAGCCTGGCACTCACTCAGAATACCACCGCTGAGTCCTGATAGAAACTCTGCGCATATACTTCAGTGGAGTCACTATGGCTCTATATCACTATCCCTTTCATTCCAGATACCTTTTTTCTGTACATGAACCTACCAGCTAAGTGGCTTTAAAGATGTGACAATCCATGTGCATTTTGAGAAGGACAACTCTCCAATCCTCCAAAAGAGGGTTCCTGTGAGTTGTCCGTAGAATTGTGACTTCGTAAAGATAATCGCGCCGGATCGACGCTGTATATCACAGCCCCACAAAATATAAAAACACGCCATTTTTCAATTTACCTCGCCACACCTCTGACTCGCCCCCGTACCATTTCATTCCGCTTTGCTCTGACTCACTCCATGGCTACATCCGGACATGACACTGGACCCAACGTCCAAAGAGTAGAAAGCAGTCGCTTCATGTTGATGGAGAACAAAACCAATCAAGAGAAGATTGTACAGAAGAGGAAGTCGAGTTGCGCCAGGCTGGAAACGGAGTTCAAGAAGGCCCAAGATGCATGTATTGCAGAAGAAAAAAAGCTTTCCGACATTTGCGGAAGACTAGCGAGTACCGAAGACGAGTTGAAGGCCGCTCAGCTCTTGGACGCGATCTCACACATGTTGCTGCAAAGGACGCTCTCCCTGAACGCTGAGCGGGCGATGCTGAACAACTCAACATCCACTCATGATCAGACAAAGAGAGGAGTCAGTGAACAGGACTCCGAGGATAATGCCGGAGATGAATCTCCCGCTACTGAAGACATCGAGTTGGAGAGCATCGGCGACGAGGCAGAAAAATCTGAGGAAAACGAAGATGCTACACCATCTGAGGAAGTGCCCAATACACCTCCTTCCAGCCAAGCCCGGAAGCGCACCCACTCCACAGGTGAGCGAGGTTCTGAACGGTCCGCACCCAGCTATATGCGTCCTTCCCAGGAGGCGCCGGGCAGAAGACACCTCAAAAACGCGTCAGGCCATCCAGATCTCAATGTGCCAAAAAGAAGGTTCGCTTCTTTAGCCCGTTAGTTACGTTTGACGAGAGGATTGAAGATTTACGCGACGATCAGGACGATGGTTCCACGGCCTCCACGTAATGATCACGCGTGAACATTCGACGACCCCCCGTTCTTTGCATCTTCGCTGCTTGTTAAGGGGTTCAAGATGGCTAGTCATAAGAGTGGTTGAAACACATTGAACCCTTTATTGCAAAGCAATATTATAGCATGACTATGAGAACAGATATGCCCGAGACTGAGAGCCTCTGTGCCTTGCCTGGTGGTTGGGAGTGTACATTGTTTCTGGCTGAGATGGCTCCTTCCGACATCAGGACAGCAATGGTCGATGCAGTGAACATCATGCTAGCAAAAATGTGAACATTATCGACCGTGCGGGTTTCGACGCAGATGCATCACATCAAGCACCCTCTGGAACCAAAACAAGCCTCTGTCCGACCATGTTGGAGCGAGGGCGGACCAACTTTCCTAAGCAGACTTGACAAGATTTATATCTTGTCTCTGAGAGCTGGATGAAGACGCTTGAACAAGACCGACCAAGAGGGCCGCATGGCGCGTGCGTTGGGGTTGGGATTATCAGCTTCAATCAGAAGAAGCGAGCGCATATAGTCAGCTTATCAACTGATCCACGTATGTTGTTATTACCTTTCGCGGTGTGCGGAGTAGTAGGAGGTGGAAGTGCTTGAGGAGATACTTGTCCAGAGTACTAATGACATAAGTCAGGCAATGTGGGATGTTTTCAACGCTGCGTACCTTGCATGTAGGGGAAGCAGAACCAATTGTCCTCGTGAAGAACCGTTTATTTTGGCCTGATACACATCCTATGATGGCGTGAGCGTGAGTGCGAACGATCAAAGAGAACAGCACCGTGACGTTACACGGCGTGCAGGATGCACGGACGCAAAGGCTAGCTGAGTGTGCTCTAACACCTGACGATCACCTTCAATATCGACATCTTTGTCCTTCACCTCGATGAGAATCATGGCAATCAGTAACACCACAAGAATCAAAAGCCGCCTCGAAGAGTTGGAGCAGCACAAGAAAGAGCTCGAGAAAGCCGTAGAAAGAGAACACGGTCTCATCGAAAGAATCAAGCAAATATGCGATAATAGAACAGCCAAAATTGTCCACATAGACAGCCAGTATTTTTCACCAACGCTCTGAATGCCTCGGCATTCGTCGATAATGCAGTGGCGGTCATGGACTCTGAGAAGACTCAAGAACCGCCATCTAGTCCGCCTATCCCATATCAAGGAGCCGACCATCACAAGATCCATGACGGATGTGCATACAAGCACGTCCTCCCTACGAAAGACACCCAAGAGGAAGCATGCGGCGGCCGCAGATGAGTATACTGTGCCGACGACGCAAGGTGAGATATCATTGAGTTCCTAGTTGGCATCCACGAGTCAAGCCTAAGCACATCCAATAGAACCGTCCTTCACACCATCTGCCAAGCGGCACCGCAGCATGCCGGACTCGGTCGAGACCCGGCGCGGAAACGATGTGAGAACAGACGCTGGGACCACCGATCCACAGGAATCCGACGTGCTCGCTCCCGAAACTCCACAAAGCGAACTGGAGGGAAATGTGAGCTTAAAGATACTGATATGGCAATTTCGTAACTGACGCCAACAGGCAGTTCCCATGAAGGCTGGCCTAAGTCAAGAGTTTTGAGCCCCGACAGTGTATCCTGAAACTTCAATCAATCGTCTGTCGTTGAGGGGATGAACAGCTTCCTGAATATCCGTCTGGCTCTTGACCACTGTATTAGTAGCCTTGTACATCGTGATTCATTGTCGTCAAGCTTGCATAGGTGCTGTTCATGGGAAGAGATCTAGAGACGTAACTTTTTGCGTCGTCCCAATGTTTACGTAACTGGGCAACGCGGCACCAATTCCAAGAATCTTTTCTCCAAAATCGCGATCAAACAAAACCTGTTCCGCACCAAGACTGGGACCTTTCCTTGCATCAGACAGCGAAGAGGATGGACTCCCAAGATATAAAGAAGATTCGACGCTGTAATGCAGAACTTCAGTGCCAGCACGACGAGATTGTTGCCGACATCGAAGAACTGCGAAGAGGACTGCTTGATGCGGAAGACGAGGTTCGGAGGCGCCGTTCACGGCTTGAGCAAGCCGAAAAACGCGCTGTTAGGATCAAGAAAGACATGGCTCGAACGAAGCAGATACTCTCCCAGATTGAACAAGCCAAAGCTACCCTGGCTCTCATCAACAGGGGGGAACTTCCTGGGCTCGATGTACCTGTTAGATGGGAAGCGCGAGCACGACCCATGCCACGTATCGGGGGAATGGAATCACTTGACACACCACGGGTCGTTAGCGAGTTCAAGAGCAAGACCCAGGAATGGAATCGCTCGGCGGCCACACAGACACTCCGACTCTGTCTCCGGACTACCATGTTGAAAACGCGGTCAACGTCAACGGAGTTATCTGCCACACTCTAAGATGGAGTAGAAGTCGAAACGATATTTTCACAATGCCTATTTCAGTGTCAGGGCCATGTACACTTCCCGACAAGCCGGGGATGAAGCGGAAACATGGGGATGAAGGGGTTAACCACTCCACCCAATCCAACGGGACTGGAAGGACGCAGGAAAAGTCTGATGAACCCAAACTACCGACTCCTGCTATCACGTACAGCATGGATCACAAAAGGAAGAGGTCACCAAGTCTACCAACGAAGCCTCAATCGATTGCGCACAAATCGCCAGAAGGGGAACCATAGCACTTCGCTGTCAGTTTTGTAAGTCTATGATTGGCTGCTCGTTACGCAGCTCCCCAAATCATTCGCGTACGTTCTAACGAACAGCGTTGACGTAGGCTGGACGAACAAAATGAGTTACATGATGGTCCGAGGGCATAATGATCCAAAACCGCATGATCGTATTATACCTGGTCAACAGGTTGTGTTGAACATGTTGTACTTTGGGCTTTGCCAAGTTGAAGTCTGGTCTCCATAGTTGTTGATAGAAATGGGCATGCTTGATGTTTTTGAGACAGCCAGATTGATCACGAAAACTCGTGTACATCGACACTCGTCGATGAAAACTTTGAGCCTCCACTGTGATTTGCCTAGACATGTTGTGAGCTTTTTATTTTGAAGGACTGAACAAACTCGAAGTGAACATTCTTGGTGTTGAACGCTGTGTTATCAAACTTGTTCAGCGAAAAACTTTGTTATCAAGCGCGCATAGATGTCTCATGAGGAGAGACAATCGTCTCGACACAAGTTTACGTCACCAGAGGCAACCCATCAACACGGCATCAATTCGAAGTCTCTTCAGAAATCCAGATAGAAAAGAACTATCTGATCGGATTTCTACCCATATTTCTCTACTTCAGACGTCAAAGACGATGGATTTTCAAGACATCGCGAAGATCGAACGCTGTCATGAGGAGCTACAGAGTCAGCACGACCGCCTTCTGGACGACATCAAGGAGGGGCGCGAGGAACTGCTACGTGCGGAAGAACACGTTCAGAGGTGCCGCACACAGTTAAGACAGTCTCAAGACAGTCTCAAGACAACGCACACAAGACCAAGAAGGACATCTATCGAATGAAACAAATACTCGGCCAGTTTCTGCATGCCAAACATGCTGTGGCGCTCATCAATAGAGGGGAACTTCCCGGCCTGGGTGCACTTGTCACCCCGTCGAAAGCAGAACAGAGCACTAGGTCGCCGGCTGAGTACATCCAGTCCCCCATCACCGCAGAATCGAGAGGGTCGGAAGACAGGGACTTTCTTCGCGATAGCACTACAGGCCCTTCATCTCCGCACCAGCGTGATACAACAATCGATAACAACAGCCAGAGTGTCGAACACACGCCAAATCCCACGGAAAATGGGAACGACGTAGATCCGATGCCAGTGCAAGTACCAGTTCGTTTGACAATACCGGAAACACGTACAGTTCCCGACAACTTTGAGAAGAAGCGTAGACATGAAGAGGATGAAGCGCTCACAGTTCCCGAGAGGGCGGAGAAGAAGAAGAAGCATGGACATGGAGAGGATGAAGGAGCGCCCACAGTTCCCGAGAGGGCAGAGAAGAAGAACCATAGACATGGAGAGGCGCTAACAGTCCCCGAGAGGGTGGAGAAGAAGAAGAAGCATAGACATGGAGATAATGGAGCTGAGCACTCGAGAGAAGTGCATAAGAAGAACCAGAAGCCTCGTCATGCCGAAAGAGACGCTGCCAATACAGCCAGCACTGCTCATGCGACGGCGTCGCCACATGGGCGAGAAAAGAGCTCATCGAAGCAGACGGGGCCAAAGGCAGAGCCGCAGGATATCACACTAGTGAGTCGAGACATTCAACCATAATCGGTCGTTGCGGCGAATCAAGCACCTCAGTCTTAAGTTCCGACGGCGAATGTTGGAAGTACGTTCTACAAAAGAACCAGCTGGCACTGTTAAGGTAAGCCTGCTACACAAGTTGGTGCTGACTCATCACTGATTATACCTTGCCAGCTAGCTTCATGGTTTCGTGCATTGCATGTTGTTACTGGAACAGGGTTGTCGATATATTCTGAATTTCGGCAATAACGAATTGACCGACAATCTCCGTAGCTGATTGCAGCAACGTTGAGTGCGAAGATTGTTGATGGACGGACTTGCTCTTGATCTGAGCCACTGGAGGAAACGCAGCGCCCAATTATCCCGACTGGAAACCAGTTTCCGTCACCGATTGATATCCGTGAGAATTATCTTGATCACGAGTGCACTACCCGTGCGCGAACAGATAAGATAGTCGGCTCGTTTCTCGTTCCGCCACTCGGTGCATATCAAGGATACTTGATTGTTCTCGCAGCCGAGTGGTGATTCCCGACGGTAGAAGCCGTGCGCAACACTTTAACGGGGACGAGGCCAGGGCCTGGCATAGCACGCATGATAAGGTCCATGCCTGGCTCCCGGTGACTTGCGCTCCGCGGAGGATTGGAGAAGACCAGGTTCTATTTTGAAATCGACGTGTTTCCTTGCAGAGGGGGTGATTCGCGATGTTGGAACCTTTATCGCGCAGCGGGTAGCCTCGGGCTGCGGAGCGTCGCGGAGCCAAATCTTCTAGCGCGAATTTGACCGATGGAGCTGCTTCCAACTTGGTGCTTGTGTTCCAGGAAGCGGGATACATGTACAGCGGAATGCTTGATTGGGAAAAGATGGCAGGAAGAAACCGAGCCGTTGGACATCGCAACGTCGAGAGCGCAACGAGGCAAATTGCGTTATCCCCCAGATTGCGTTATCGCCAGGCGCCAATTGTCGGTGACATTTTGTAATAGCGTTCTAGATCTTATCGCCCACCAGGTCACGAGTGAGGAATTGGCAGGATTTTGCAAGTTGACGAGCACGCCTTTCACGCGCGGCTGCCGCGGTATTAAGCCTTTAAGGATGGGGGGCCGTGCGGCTTATCGCCCGGTCTGGCACGGGACAGATCACGGACAGAACCCCTGCGGATGAACGACCAGAAACTGCTCGGTTCCTCGGAAGTCGCACCTGTGGGAAAGCTTTCCGAAACTGGTGACAGCGTGACAGCGACGAGGGGTGATTTTCCGCGACGTGGATGGCGTTGGTTGCTTGGTTTCGGAACAGGAGACGCCCATCAGGCTAATAGGGATGTTTGATGGAGCGCCCAATCTAATAAGCCGAAGACGCAATCGTGAAGCTGGCGCAGCTCCCTGATACCTTGCACCGACGATGATATTCCCAGTAGTCCTCGGGGAGTGTACTTCCGTGGAGTTTCGGGCACTGGGAAGCACGGAGAGTTTGACGCACAGGTTTTCCGTTAAACAGTTATTCATGGGCGATTGTATCAACTGTTGAGGATTCATTTACGTATCATGGTTGGCTTTCATTCACGTTTGAACTTTTTGATCGAGTTTTCCGTAGAGCGCTCCTGTCGCATCCTTTGTTGGGAATGTACCGTCGGGTGGAGCACATGTGAACAAGCCTAAACTCCGCACAACAGAGCTGACCCGAAAGTCGTGCCTTGTTCGGTGCCATTGGTTGTCAAGGGGTTCGTGCCATGTAAATCTAAGCCGGTGATCGAGCTTTGGAGAAGAGAAGCCTGTGCTGGAGAAAAGATCAATGAAAGTCCGAGTGTTGTCGAATGAAAGCGGGTAAGACCTGGCGTCTGATCGGAGCGATCGCCCCGAGGGGTGATGTACCCGGGCCCCCAAGTTACTGGCAGGTGCCGGTGGCGGTGCCCACCGCCACGGGCCGGAAGCGCTGCGGAGACGAGGAGGCAGAATAAATCAAAGAGGTAAGAGACACCGGTAGAAGGGGGACGGGCTGTGGGAAACGGACGCCGGACCGCGGGGCCTCGGAGCCACGGCTCAAGTATCAATCGACCGCCAACCCAGAGAGTTGCATCATTCAGATCTGCATGCCGACGGCTGCCTATCATCCTGTTGGGAAAGAATGGCCCGGGGTTGCTTGTGTCCTGAAGACGAGTAAGTTTTATGATAATTTGACCGGTGGTCGACTCGAAAGGGGAGAAGAAGAAGAAGGTGGCGTGTGAAGGAATGAACAGCGGGGCTTATGGCGGTGAATGGGAGTAAGGGCCCCGAGATGAGCGATTAATTGATGGAAGCTGGATGAAGCCGCGGCGATAGTGGGAAGTGCGCGGAAGAACCTTGCTTTGTCAGCAGGGCTCGACGAGATGGTTGTGAACAGCTGGAATGGGTGAGTCCAACCTTGGAGCCCAGAATGTGCTGGATCGGCACGGCTGATTGCATTATGAACGTTGTCTCTGCGGGGCACCGAGTACTGGCTGACCGAGGGGGAAAGGAGCCGAGGAGAAAGGAGGACAATTCCGGGATTGTTTAAAGTGGATGGTAGGTCTTGTGCAGGGAGGAGAGGTGTTGAAGGTGAGAGGAGGGAAGCAAAAAACTGTATCACGCAACCGAACAAGCAAAGGGTCAATCCATCGCCCCCTTCCCCACCAAGGGACCCCCTCTTTAGTGCACACAGTACTCCCCTCCCTCCCTCTGGCTTCTCCTCTCTCCCCCCCTCTCCTGCTCACCTGCCTCTTACAAACATCTAACCCGCTCTCCTTCTCACTCTCTCCCACCTTCTCCCACTTCATCCTCCTTCTATATATTGAATCAACCTCCACTCAACCATCCCATACTCGTACACCAACCTCTCTGCCTGCGCATACACAGCGCATGATAGTGACAGCAGCTCGCTACCCTTCCCATCTCTGCTATCACTCCTCTCGTCGAATCACCGCCTCTACTCTCATCGCGACGAGCGTTCGTCTCACTCGACCTGTACCTTCACGCTCACTATCTTACTCATCGACCTCGTATCGAGACACGCGTTCGACGTTCTCTGCACACCCTCTGTTCCTAGCAGGCTTATCCGCAACATCCCAGTTACTGGACTCAAAAGACATCGCATCTCAGCAAACCCCTAATCTCACAACCATGGCACCCATTACCTCCTCAAAACCGACCTCCCGTCGTCCTCGCAGCAAGAAGCGTCACTCCAAGGTCGTGATCATTGGCTCTGGACCGGCAGGGCACACTGCAGCGATCTATTTGGCTAGGGCAAACCTTAATCCGGTCATGTTCGAGGTGTGTCCAGTCTGTAACTTAGAGATCGATATATGCTGACACATTTGTTAACAGGGCATGCTCGCAAACGGCCTCGCAGCAGGTGGTCAGTTAACGACCACGACCGAGGTCGAGAACTTCCCCGGTTTCCCCCAAGGCATTGGCGGTATCGAGTTGATGGACAAATTCCGGGATCAATCCGCGCGCTTTGGCACGGAGATCATCACCGAGACGGTGTCGAAGGTGGACCTGTCCGCACGGCCGTTCCTGTACTGGCGCGAGGGCGAGGAGGATGATTCTGCCGCGGCAGAGACCTGCGATGCGGTCATCATGGCCACTGGAGCAAGCGCAAAACGCATGCACATCCCTGGGGAGGACATCTACTGGAATAGCGGGATCAGCGCATGTGCTGTGTGTGATGGTGCCGTACCCATCTTCAGAAAAAAACCGCTTGCTGTTGTCGGAGGTGGCGATAGCGCCGCGGAGGAAGCGTTATGTAAGTGTTCCTGGCCATTCATTTCCACTGCGCGGTGCATTATATGAATGTATGCTGATGGATTGCATTGCATTTCACAGATCTCACTAAATTCGGCTCGCATGTATTTGTTCTCGTCCGCCGCGATCAACTCCGCGCTAGCAAGATCATGTCGAAACGACTGAGCTCAAATCCTAATGTCACCATCATGTGGAACACGATTGCATTGAGTGCTGAGGGTGATGGGAACCTACTACAAAATCTGAGGATAAAGAATGTGAAGACTGGTGTTGAAAGCGACCTGCAGGTGAACGGGCTGTTTTATGCTATCGGTGAGTGTATCATATCACGCATCAAGACCTTTGCTCATAATCGGGGAATGCAGGCCATACCCCAGCAACCGAGCTCGTTAGAAGACAGCTGGATTGTGATGCAGACGGATACATCATCACAAACCCGGGCACCGCGGAGACATCGGTACCGGGAGTTTTCGCTGCTGGTGATGTGCAGGACAAGCGATATAGGCAAGCGATTACCAGTGCTGGGAGTGGTGCGTCACGTCACTTTTTCCCCTCGCATATACTTACCTTTCCCTCAGGGTGCATGGCTGCGATGGAAGCTGAGAGATTCCTGGCGGAGGAAGAAGATGAGCTCAAGATGGAGGAGGCGAGCTTGGCAACACCGGTATCTACCACAGGGAGCGACAGCTCGAAATCAACCGAGCTCAACGGGGTGAACGGTGTACACGACATCTCACTCCAGGACGATTCACCGGAACCGCTCAAGGCATGAGGAAATACCTCTGCGCCGTGTCTGGGCACGCCGAGGCATCAAATGGCCTCCACGTGCATTTCGCTGCTGCTGTTGCATCCAACGAGCCAACCATCATCCTCCGCCTATACCCTTAACCCCCTCCACCTACTTTCCTCTTTTTCTCCCTCTGGGTGTCAATAGGACCACTGCTGAACGTTTCACGTTTATCCGACTGTATCATCCGCTGGATGCTGTCAATGTGTTTTCACGCCTATACTATTTCCTTGCGTCCACTAGAGTACAGCACTTCCAACAACTAGCTACCTACCAAGATCCTATGTGTAGTACTAGCCTCTTCTCTTGACGTACATACAGTAAGAATCCATTACAGAATGCCCCATCTGATACATACCAATGAGCGTATCTCCTGTGCTGCTTTTCCGTGCGGGAGGTATCTGGCCGCTCCTTTCCTCCTCGTCCGCACTCTCTTTCCGCCGGGGCGCCAGCTTTCCACCATCTCAGGAGCACCGCGGCATACCCAAGGCAGATAAAGACGCCAGATGCGTTCCCCCACCCGGCCAGCTTATCCAACACTTGATATTTATTCTTAGACTCCCGGTGATGCAACAATTGCAAGTGCCGGTCGCCAACCCTGAGGAACATGAACATGAACAAGAAAGAACATGCACAACTTCCAGCTTCATCTTGTATCCTAGGCCTTCGCTGTCACCCAGTTTGGCAACTTCCTGTCATCTGCACGCTGGCTCTGATCCAACACCGATCGCGAGCGTGGTCAACCCGTTCTAGAAGAGGCAGGGACCACGGGTCGGGTCCCGAGTGGAGGCCCAAGGGCTAGTACTACGAGCTGCGGGCTGAGCCCGAGGGCCGCGCCGATCTCCATCCCATCTTCATCCCGGTTCGGCCAGCACACTCAGGCATCCTGCCCCCTGGCGAGTCATACATCGTACGACCGAAGGAGGGAGAGACCATGCTTCGTGCTCGGAGGCTGGAATTCTCGTTAACGTTGTTGGGAATGTGAATGCCAGTGGGTGCGCGGATTGGGTTCTGCCTTGCAATTGTTTGGTTCTGCCTATCTGGTGCATCTCGATTTGCTTGATGGCTCTCTGGACTGGGACTCTCTGCGCGGTCTTCAAGCGTGACTGGCGTCCACGGAGGTCTAGGTTGCTTATCAGCAAAGACCATGCGATCTTCCAGGAATCTCTCCAGAGGACGTGATTGGATAGGCTCTGTATCTTATCTAGTCTATTCAACAATGACTTCGACTACAGATCCCTGCTCTTATCGTTAAGATGTATCATAAACTGTGGTTGCTAGTAAAAAGAGGAACGGAAAGAATACGCATTTGGAAGAGAAAGGTGACTGAAGTTACTGGGCGGAACGACGGTTGAGAATGCTGAAACATTGTATAGTCTCCATTCGAGATGGAAATGGAAATATGCCTGAAGGAAGCATGTTCAGTTGATCTTTGTATCCATGGCAGGAAGGACGTACATGGCGACATAACGACAACACAATCGATGCTCCGCATCGGATTCAGGCAGCGTCACTAGACCGAGCTGGCCCAAGGTATATGTAGTTCAGCCTGGGACGTTTGGAAGGTGGAGACGGCTCGCGATCGGGTTTCGTGTCGTTTTCAACTTTGGTGCGATGCCCTTCTCCGGTGTAAAGGGAGAGGGTGTGGGAGTCGGTGTTTTTTTTAATTCCTGTGTCGATGACTTCACCATCAGAGTCGTCCGCCGGTCGCTTGAGCTTTGATGCAGAAGCAATGGGCGAAGGCGTGGGAGTGAGTGTTGGCGTGGCGGTCGATGCCTTTTCGTCGCAGAAAGATTTCAGAAGCTCGGCGAGAAGCTCATCATCAACGTTCTCCAGCGCTTCATCCACCTTTCTGGCAGCATTAAGCGTAATCTTCATCTTGCTCATCCTCGAGTCCAGCTCCTTGAGCTCCTGCCTGTATTCCAGGACGTTCGCTTTACTGGCTTCCAGTCGAGCTGAGAGCGCTTTGCGCTGTTGCTTCATCTTTGCAAGAGCGAGGTTGACTTGACGCACATTTGAAGTGGGATTGAATGGGGTCCCAGAGGACATGGTTGTCGCTGTGCAAAAGAGGTTGAAAGAGGGCTGAAGAAAATATTTTTTATAACGACGAAAGTGCATCCGCTTTTCCGGTTTTTTTTCCCCCCAACTCCGCTTCTGTACAAGTGGTCTCCGCCAGTGGCATGACTAGCAACGACCATCGCCTCTTTCCTAGTTTTTTTCCCACAAGTCAATTAGCTGCGCGATCCATTCCACTACCACTATGCATTATGAATTCTGCTTCTACCAAGCCAACATGCTCCTCGAGGAGAGGTTTTTAAGATACATGAGTCATTATCTTACTTCAGGCATCTTTGCTGGACGCTGGACGAGGGCGAACGTTCCTCCTCAGATTCAAGCGGAGGAAAATCAGTCTCTCCATCATCGTTCTCTTCAACCTACATCTACCGCATCAGCATCCACCCCACGCAGAAGGGACATACTCACCTGTTCATCATCTTCGAAATTCTCCTCCCTACCAGTTTCCTTGGCTCGAAAGATGCTGCTCGCTTTTTTATATTTGATGATCCCCTCCAGACCTTCATCTAAGCTCTTCAACTTCTCCTCGCACTGTTTCTTCCTGATGCTTTCCGTCTCGAAACGGTGCTTGCGCTTGCGCAGGCGTTTCTCGTCAGCCTCAATCTCGGCACTTTCGAGTTCGAGGCGTGAGGCAAGCGCTTCGTTCTGCTGCAAGAGCTCGGCGCGGAATCGCTCAATCCGGCGAGGCTGGCAATTGATGTTAGCAATTAATAGGTTGGAACAGATCCAAGGGAAAAGGCTAACCGTAGGCATGCGCTTGAGAAAGTCACGACTGATCTTGGCACCATGGGCAGTGCGATTATCGGGAGAGACGTCAGCTGCCGACTGAGGATCATACCGCCCGACATGCATGAGAAGAACGCAGAATACTTGGACGAACGAACAAACTCACCGGGTTGCCCTCGTCCTTCGATGCGCCGATGCTATTGACCTGCGTGGTATTGTTAGCCTGGGAGTTTGACAGTGAAGCTAAAGGAGAGGATGCAGACAAGTCGCTGGTATTTGAAGCAGGAGGGGGACAGTGCATGCGATTCATTCTCTCCTTTTGTTGATCAGGCGCTGCTGCGGGAAGGGGAAACAACACGAATCAGATAAAGTTCCACGGCTGCAGCGGTGACAGCCCTGACCCTGGCGACCCTCTGCTGGAAAGAAAGTCGTTCACGAGCTTCGGCGCGGCTGATCGAAGGGCGACTGTTGCTTCGATTATCAACGGGGGGTTCCTGTCGCCAAGATAACATGGGATGAGTCATTGCGTGGCAGAACGTCGGTGGGAGGAACATACAGAAGGCTGAGACATCGTACGTTGTCAGATGAGTTATGATGAAATAGGTTATTGTTCGGGACATGGTTTGTGGTGAACGGATTAGGGACACGGGTTAGATATGGTCGGAGAAGAAAGGGGGGGCGCAGCCTTTACAGAAAGGCTTTTATATGTGAATATACGCCGAGTGGCAGCGGCGCAGAAGCATGGGCGGAGCCAATCATGAGTGGACTGGGAGGATGATGGTCGCGATGGACAAGGCGGAAATGCGGAAGAGAAAAAAAATGCTCAGTGGGGCATCACGGGCAGGGATATTTAGGATGTACTCACTGAATGATTGACCTTTAGGCTACATATTCATGTTCAATGTCCGGATTTGTGCACGAGTAGACTTGGACTTGGAGACACGATTCTACAGCGGTCTTGTACATAGTCACCAGCAGAGCGCCACCAGATCATTCCGTGCACAAAAAGAACTCCACAGATAATGGATTGGTACATTTTGCTCTTCATTCAACTCAAAAAATCCCGAAGGAGGCATGAATTTTGCCTCAGGCTCCTCGACTAGCTCTAAGGGCAAAGCGAGACGTTTGGTTGGAGGCATGGTTCCAGGGGTCCGCATACATGACACTTCTGACGCAAGTGGATGGGGTTGCACATTAGCGCGCTCAGAGACAGACATATGCGTGAATCTCTGTCAGTGAATTTAAGGTATTCTGACACGCGTTGTAGAATGACCGTCTGTAGTAAAAGCTCAAGCACGTTTCCTGCCCTTTATAGGCGGGATCAAAGTACTGTTTTGGTATGTTGTGCGCGTGTTTGATGGACCCTTATGGCCGAAGCGATTGCTCTGCCGCTCTGATATCCCCACCACACACGGCGCTGTCAGCACCGCACACTCTCTTGTCAATCTCTCTCTTCTCTTCTTGCTTGCTTTATTGCTGTCTACATTCTACTTCTCTTGTTCTTTCTCTGTCAACACAATACCATTTGACTAAAAGGACTAAACATGTCCTACAATCCCCCGGATCACCCCAACGCACTACGACCGGGTCCATCCCCTCCTCGCCAGCGCGAGCGGGTCGACTCATCATCAACATTCTTCGGAGCTTCAGGAGGCCGTACCTCCACCGACTACCTACGTTCTCCAGATCTTACGACTCCCACATTCTCTCCCTCGACTCCCGGAGCGGGGTACAACAGGCAAAGTTTCTTCGTACAACCTGAGCGGGAAGAGCCTGTGCGATGGGGAGGTGACGAAGAGGAGAAGGGGTACTCAGGGTCACTGCGGAAGGGCACACCTTTTGGAGACGAAGAGGCAGAGGGAGATGCAGACGTTTTTGCTGATTTCAACAATATGGGGAAGAGGTTGGTCCCGATAGGTGATGCAGGCACTGGGTACGTTTGCTTGTCCCTTTCGCTGGAACACATCGACTCAGTAGGTTGTGATCTGCTTGATATAGAAGGCCACCAGGTGCCGCTTCCCCGCGCGCGCAATATGGTAACTCATCGTCTTTCGTCCCTCCCTCATCTGCCCTCTTGCCCGGTGCACATGACGGTGGACCTATGGAATACGTCACCGTCCCAACTCTTGGTCCCGACTGGGGTGCCGAGGAGCTGAGAGAAATGTCCCGCAAGGGGAGGAGGGAGACCATCGCCGCGGCACGAGTCAAGAGGTGGCGCGCCTGGATTCGGGACGAGGAGGGCATCTTCGGCAAGTGGGGGAGGAGGAAGAGTCTTGTCTGGGGCGCGTTCGCGATGTGCTGCATGTATGCGCTTCTTTCATACTCTCATGTTCTGGGGCGTATGCTGACACGGTCTGCGATGAACAGAGTTGGTATCCTCCTCGCCGTTCTCCTTCCTCGTGTACCCGACATTCAACTGTACGGTACAACCCCCTTCACCTCCCAAGCGAGCGACAACACCACCACCGCCTTCTTCCGCATCCCGGCAAACTTCACTTTCCAAGCCGACATAGCTCTCCAAATCGACACGTCCTCGCAAGTTGCCCTCCCGCTTCAGATGGGCAGCATGTGGGCCATAGTATGGGATACGGACACGAACGTGGCGGTAGGCACCGGGAGCTTGAGCTCGTTCTCCGCGCCTGCAAAGCAGTATACGCCGGTGTCTATGCCTTTGGTATTCGAATATGCAGCGGTGAATGCGAGCGATCCCACTTGTACGTCCTCGTCCGTCACACACCTTTCTCATTCTGCTCCTTCTCCTCAGCACCACTTACATTACTCTTGTCAGGGGCCGCATTCCGCAACGCCTGTGGGTACATCTGGAGTGGTACCACGCGCCCAGGGCTCAACCTCCGTATTCAACTCTTCATGAAGATAGTCGGCCTTGTGCCGTCCTACCAGAGCGCAGTGTCGTTGAGCAATGTGCCGTGTCCTATCATACTGCCGCAGGATGCGCCTTAAACGGTAAACCTATGTGGATTCCATGTTGTTGGAACGGACGGACTTGAGTTTTTCTCACGGATGGTACGATAACGGACTTCTTCTCTCTTCTTAGCATTCCTTGCAATTATCAATAGCACCGCAATCTATCCTATTCTTGTTCTTTGGAGTTCTCGCTTCTGGATCTGTGATGCATGTGCGCATCGCTCGCGAAACACCTCACTGGCATACACATCATCAAACAACTGTGGTTCAGCATCCATATCTCTCCCACCTCGCATGTCTGTCATTGATGGAACATGTCATGTCGAGGAAAATAGTAGATAATGGTCACAAACAACAGGATAGGGTAATGCAAATCCAAAAGAAATTCCCCCCTGCTCCGTTAACTCGTGCTCCAATGGAAGAGACGCGTGCTTCCCACTATGTGCACCATCCATCCCTCGCTTCTGCTCACGAACTCGAAGCCTTGGGCGCTCCTTGGCTCCCGCGGTGCCTGTACTTCTCAAGCCAAGGATGCACGAGCACCTCAGACAAAGGCATCCTCTTTGGGGGTTCGTATTGTAGGAGCTGTGCATAACCTCAGTTCCACCATGGCTTTTAAGATCAAACCAACTCACCCTGCTGATGAAATCCTTCGCCTCGGGGCTCACGTAAGTCGGGAAGCTATATCTGACCTCCTTGATACGCCTGTAGGTCGCCTGCTGGTCCGGCTCTTCAAAAGGAGGCTTGCCGCACAAGAACTCGTAAGAGAGGACGCCCAGAGCCCACAGATCTACTTTCTCATCATGCTGTTTATGCTCTACCATCTCCGGAGGGAGGTAGTCACAGGTACCGCATATGGTTGTACGGCGATTTGACGGAGCATGTACGGACCACCCAAAGTCGGCGATCTTGAGTTCACCATTCAACCCAAGAAGCAGGTTCTCAGGCTTGATGTCTCGATGGATGACATGCTTGGCGTGAAGGTAAGAGAGGGCATCGGCCATTTGGGCGATATACTGAAGTAAGTGATAAGCACGTAGCACAGCAGAGCAGACAATGAGCATACCCGAGCTGATCGCCGCTCGGTAAATCGACCGGCTCTGCTGAGGGGTCTATAGAGTTCCCCTTTGCCCGCGAACTCAAGCATCAAGAAGATACGATTTGCATCATGGAAATACCCGTAAAGCCGGAGTACGTTTGGATGCCTGGTGGAGTCTGAGCAACTATTCGTTGACAACAAGTAAGTTGTGCGCACCGGAGATTCTGCTGAATTTCAATCTCCCTCCTAATCTGCTTCTCAACCCTGCCTTGAATGATCTCGTCTTTGTAGAGGGTCTTGAGTGCGAGCACGAACTTCGGTTCTTCCTTCGTTCGGACCATGTACACTCGGCCAAACTTACCCTTTCCAAGTGGGCGACCGATCTCAAAGTCGGAGAGATGCCACTCTTTCAGTGGTCGTTGAGCATTAGTGATGTATGTGTTGTCGGTTAGCGGGTTGACGGGCATGTGGTGGGAAGAGCTGAGAGCGAGGTCGTTCGTATACGGCCCTGGAGGAGGCGCTGGATGCGCGATCGCATCTGTTTCAAGAGTACCATCATAGGTTCCAATGTCCATGTCCGACTTGTGAGAGCTCTGAGAAGATTGAGAGGAGGTTTCGATGTTTTGAGATGATGCTGGGGTGACTGCTGGAAGCTGAGTCGGGGTAGGTGGTGTCGACTTTGCGCCTGCAGGCTTCGACTGCGCATGTTGAGCATCCTTGCTAGGTACAAACTTGTTCTCATCTCTTATGCCCATTGCCATCTTCATCAAATGGCTGCGGTTTGCTTGCTGTGCTGAGGAGGGTAGGGTGGCACTCGCCGTGCCATTGAACTTGCTCATGAGCTTTGTAACCTTGGTACCCTGCCCTTGGTTCGAAGATGAGGCTGGCAGTGTTGGTGATGTGCGCGCAGAAATCTCAAGTTGAGCGACGCGATCAATAACTGAGTTGAGCGCCTCTACCGAAGCCATGGTGGTACAGAGGAGGGTGAGATAAAGAGAAGTGTTGGATAGGGTTGAATGGGATGTCGACGCGTCTGTCACGTGAACGTTGATTTTACTTTTGCACAGCCGCTCCCTTTAAAAACTCCAGTACTTCGGGTTAAGCTGCACTCCGTCAACCCCATCTTGCAGATATGACATGAATTATAGATCGAAGTGAGCATTAACATTCACTCATTACTCCCAAAGGATGTTGAGTCTCCTCCAGCCCCGAAGCGGCTTCTCTGACGGCTCAGGGTTATCCTTCGCAATTTGCAGGAAATGCTTGATCGGCATCTCCTCCAACGAAACCATCTTCGTGCCCCTCGTGAACTTGTAACCGAAGTACAACACGAAGATAAGGGGAATGTTGAAGTAGCTCGAAATGAACGTCTCCGTCGACCACTTCCCCGTCATGAACACCGAATATCCTGCCGTCAACAAGATGATTCCGAAAGATATGCAGCCGATCCAGGCGGCGTAAGGTTGGAATGGACCCTTCCAAGGCAGTTCGTTTCGATCGATACCTTGCGCTTTGCAACCATAATAAAAGCGGAGATAGACTGCACAGATGATGATCCAATGCACAAGCGCCGCAGAGGATACCAGGTCTTGGAACCACTGGAAAACCGTTGATGCCGAGGTGTTCAAAGTCATGAACCCCAAGCACAGGAAGAGGCCGTAGAAGCAGACCGCGACCCACGGAACACCGAAGCGGTTCACACGCTTGAAGATGGATGGAGCATGTCCTTCAAGTGCAAGCCCATACAGATTTCGGGAGCCATTCAACATCCCACTGTTGCCAGCGGACCAGGCCGAGGTCAGCACAACGGCGTTGATAATATGCGGTACCACTTTGATTCCAGCGCGATTGGCAGCAATAACGAAGGGAGATTGCGCGGCGTTGCCCGTTGACTGAAGCAAGTTCGGATCATTTGAAGGGACAATCAAGGTTACGATGAAGATGGCCAGAACGTAGAATATGAGCACACGCCAGAAGATCCGTTTCGCGGCTTTAGGGATGTTGCGTCTCGGGTTGCGTGTCTCTGCTGCTGCATTCGGCACACTTTCAATACTGGAGTACGCGTATGCGGCATTGGAGAACGTTGTCCAGAAACCAAGGAACTGTCCGAGGGGACCTGGTACGCCCAAGTATTGCACGAAAGGGCCCGGGTTCTTCCAGTACTGAAATCCGTAACGATGATGGTCAGGTCCTCCGCCAAGGTCGATAACAAGTCCCTACCTAGGATGTCAGACGATCCCGACTACATCCATCGCACTTATACGTACCATGAGGATAAGGCCTAGAATCAGTAAGATCTTGAGGGTTGCGAAGCTGAATTCGAGTTCGCCATAGATGCGAACAAAAAAGAGGTTGGATGCGAGCAACAGAAGTCCTAGGATTGTGATCCAAACCCCGTTCGAGATACCATGAGACCAAAAATCAATGAGGACGGCCGCTGCTACGATCTTGGAATACAACTCGGTCAATCAAGTCGAACATGAAGTCAGTCAACGTACCTCAGCTGGAAGGCCGACGCAATTGGAGTATACCCCATTCCACCCTTGGGCAAAACTAAGTGCCGGGTCGAAAAAGAAGTGTGCATGGCGAATAATGGAGCCGGACAACGGCACGAGAGCCGACAACTCAGCCACAGAAAGGACAACGCAAGATACCAGCACGCCTGTCAATCCGTAACCCAGCAAAGCGCCGACTGGACCACCACGCGAGATTGCCTTGCCGGAGCCGAGGAAGAGGCCCTGTGGGATATACTGAGTTTCCCACCATCTAATAAACAGAGGAAGAGCATACAGTTCCAATGGTGCCGGCCAGTGCGATCATCTGTATGTGACGTTGCTCCAAACCCCGCTTGAGCTCCTTCTTTTCTTCGAAGTCGATGATGTCAATCTCCGGGTCTAGAATAGGCACAGCCCTCGCGGTGCCTGCCTGGTCGTCCGCCTTGTCTTCGTATGATGCCTTCTCAAGATCCATCTCAGTCCTCGACGACATGTCTGTGGAAGGGCAAGGGCGACTGGAGGAGGAGAAAAGCGAATGGCCTCTATCTTATGTGGAAATAACACCGTTGATCTTTATAGCGCCATGTTTGCACCATCCACGCGAAGTTATTCATCATTTGGAAGTCGTCTACTCCAGATAAGAAGTCCACGATAACGAAGTTGCCATATGGATTTCAGGCCCAGAAGTCCTAGTCACCAGATGGCGCTGTTCGCCAAGACTCTCAAGGAGCTACAGAAGTGTATGAACATATTCAAAAGCCGCAGAAGAAGGGATCGAGGGGAATATGTTGCTTACTTCGTTTGGTGAAATGGTATGAAAATGTTCCTGGGGTGCACCGGCAACTCAGCAGCCTTATCGTGATAACGCCCATTGCGATTCGTTCGACGCCTGTCGCAGCGACAAGAAACGTCAGAACCACCACAGGTAACATCTCCTTAAATAATCGAACCAACGTGCTGTGGCCTCCGAAATTTCCGTAAAATGAGAGTATTGATTGACAAGGAGGTTGTCTGTGTTTTGGTCGCCGATAACCCTGATAAGGATAGTCGCCTATGGGCAACTTGCGCGTGGGGCGAAACCGAACTTCTCTTAAAATAGACTTCTCAGGGCGCGTCATAGTGATTGCATTGCTCGCCATAGTGCGCATAGCGTGTTCTTCAAGTGTTCTCCAACCATCCGAGACTGCGTCGAGGATAAACATATATAACCAGAGTGCTTAAGAGTCTCGGTCACAAGTCAGCTGGGAAAAACTTCGTTGGGAAGGGCTCAGTCACGTACCTATCAATGGTTGGATACTTGCCTAGACATGGGCCCAATATTCCCTTGGGCATGTGGGATAGTGGGAAGTACGGCAAGTGCCTTCCAAATGGGGTGACTTATCTCCGGTCTCCAAGAACAAACCGTCCTCCACGTCCGCCACAAGATCAAGAATGATATCTGTCTGTGGTCATCAGAAGAACCTGCTAAATGCACCGTGCGTCGGATCACTAGTTTTCTAGTATGCAGCTAGATCTGAAGTAAGAACAGTTGTAAGTTCCCGGATCTGAAGGGGTAGATACAAAGACGAGACAAGTTCATTGAGCATCGGGCAGCTTTTTCTCACAGGCATGATCGGGTTGACACTAGCTTTGTGGGCGTTTGGGCATCCTCCTCATGGACGGGAATACGGTAAAAGCGGTGCTCAACATTCAATTGAACAGTATTGTATCACATATATCAAGTACACCGGAACAGCCTCGTTAACTCGGGTTTGTTCAGCGTTTTTGCAAGAATAGTTGGCATTTTGTTGGGAAAACTTTCACTGTTGTAACGGTCGAAAAGCGTCACCAGGGTAAACGCCCGAGTGCGCACAGGTGATCTCGATTTCTGATTGTGCTCTTCGTTACTGACTAAAAGAAGCTACTCTTCAACAGGAATGTCAGAGGGATCAAAAAATAAATCTCGGTGACAGGGACTGTCTTATGGAGCTTTGATCGCGGCACGCCTCTGGCCGGCGAGACAGGAACAAAGGGTATGATCGGGTTAGAGTTACGGGACAAAGGCTGATAGACAGGTCAGAACTTAAGGTGCAGTTGTCCGGACAACAAGTATAGTCTGTTGCAAATGCTAAGCTATTTCAGATCGCATGATGAGTGAGGTCCGGAGGAACTCACCCGCGTATGACTCCTATCAGATTCAACGATCGGGTGATCTTGTCCTCCGATGGACCGGTGCCTTTCTCCGTGCATTCGTAAGACCGCTTGCGCTTCCGACCTGAAGCCCCATATTACTGAGTTGGGAACTTGTTAGCTCGGTCTTCCTTGTGGTGCTACGCGCTTCGTTAGCTCCATTGTAGAGGATAGCCTCAGGAATATTTCAGCTCCGATCCTCATGCGGGGAGCGTTCGGTTTCCGATCTTGGCAGTGTTGACTAGCTCACGCGTAAGCACAGCGTGTGCAATGGGTGTGAATGACGGCCGCAGCTTCCACAATGCTCCGATCTGCTGATCTCTGTGTGGTCTAAATCTTTCTAGAAGCACTTGGCAAAATATTACCGCGTATCGCCACCGAGCATCCGCAAACCCGCAGGCAGAAAAAGCAGGGTGGAGGGTATTGATAATATCAATGGGTCGGACATTGTCTTGTGCAACAGCAGCGCCACAATGGCAATATTCCGCCAGGACGCTGAAAAGCGGCGAAACAGTTGATGGTTCGGGGTCCTCCAGTTCATCAAAAGTCACGTCATCTTCAGGTCACTATCAATGCTTTTTCCGCTTCCCACGTTGCTGGGTCTCGGGCGTAGAAGCCGAACGCAGCTTCGACGCATGCAAAAGCAACGCGGTTTACGCGTGTTCGCTTCTCGCATGACGCGCCCCGGCGATGCCGGTGATTGCGTGACCGCGGACATTGTACATATTGAACCCTCTCTCCCAGACATCTCACCAATTGAAAAGACTTCCTTATCCGGCCTTCGAACATACTTATACTGTACAGCCTAGAAATACATTACATAGCAGTCCGCGGTGATCATCAAGGAAAATTACCGATCAATTGTACACCAAATCATCTCACATCCCGGTTATCGACCATTTGCCAAACACGCCATACTCGCCCTCCTGCTTCTAGAGAGATCAATAAGGGCAGCGCAGACAATGCATACCAAGCTACTGCTCCGGCAGTAGACGCCATCCAGCTAGTCGCCGGCTTGATGTCATCAGGGGATGCTTTTGGAGTGGTGGCCACTGATACAGGGGGAGCTTGACGCACGGGGAGAATGGATAGACCACGTTTCAAGGCGGTAGATGATGATAGAGAAGCGGCCACATGAGAGAGGAATGTCGTGAGTGCACGCTCCGACCGTTGCTTGGTCACCTCATCGACTGAGACACGTTCCACAAGGAGCGGTGCTTCTTTCCCGTCGAAGAATAAGGAGCCACCCTCCTCTCCCTTTAGCAACCGTAATGTTGCTCCGTCGAGCATCAGCAGAGTTCGAAGCAAAGCCTCCCAAAACGTTTCCTTCAACGGCTCGACGCCTTCCATCTGTTTCCGACGTGCGAGATACGCCTCGGCTTCTGCACGCGATAACGTAGAGGTTGAGATGTTTCGAGAACGCGCGCGGACACGTCGCCAATGTTCGGAATCGATACTCATTTCCAAAGTATCTGTCCCCGACGGCTGCGAATCGGAACCAGACAGGAAGGTGAATGAAGAGGGAAATGAAGGAGACACCCAGTCGGTCTCATTTCCAAGGCGAGAAGAGGAGTTGACAGACCATTGCCACACCTCATCATGCGGCTCCGCCGAGGGTTGGCTTTGGCTTTGACGCCGGGGCGCCATAGCCAACGTACCCACGTCTTGCCATGACGTGAGCGAGCCCGACGCAGCAGAATCGCGTGACACAAGTACGGGTTCGCTGCTGCCAGGGGAGCGCGCCGCGAGAGAATCAAGCAACGATGAATTCAATGAGTACCGAGAGGACTCTGCCGTCGGAGAGAGGTGTCCAGGCGACGCCTGTGTGACGTTGAATGCACCATCGCCTGAAAGTAACGGCCATTTTGGTGCAGGTAAGAACTCAGAGGTATAAAGCACCACAAAGGACTCGCCATTGTGCCCCGGTAACGACAGTACAGGCTCAAACACTGCAGGACTATCATCGATACGATCGTCTCGAAAGAGGTTGCTTGGGGCTTCCAGCCACAGCTCGTCGGTGCGCGGGTATCTCCCATGCTCTTGATCATAATATCTGGAAGCCATATGGGCAGTATGAGGAGATATTGAAGAAGCGTAACAAGGGATAGTTTATCGGCGGTGATTATAGATGCAAGTATAGAGGAACACAAGGGAGACTTGACCTGATTTCAGCATGATACAACGGAGACAAAAGCGCAGTCAGTGGTCCCGAGGAGGCACCGCCCCCTGGTTACTGTTTTCTCATCTTTTGGGCCTTCCTTCGAACCTCTCGAAGGGCAAAAGGGCTGTCTACGATGTATAAAGCTTCTCTCCTAAGAAGACTGCCACTTCAGCTGCAGCTGCGCGAATGATTGACGCCCGGCGTCCTGGATGATCCGGCACAGTACCGTGAGAGCGGGCGGGCACCCTCGATGGACTGCGGTTGGGTGGAACACGAGAGTGTTTGACCGTCGTACGTCTTGGTGCTTCGATCCAATCACGCCAACCGCATTGTTGGCCAGAAAAACAGCCAGTAAGCAGGTTGCCTATCTCCTGGGGGACCCCTGATGACGCCCTGATCTCGTATTATTGCCAAACGGGCGGAATTAGCCGGCATAATTTTATACACGCCCATGACACGCGCCAGCCGAATGGCACGTCTAACAAAGGGCACGAGGCAGTGCCTCTTTCGGGCAGTCAGCTCCATCGGGTGATTCTCGCTCTCTTACACTCCTGGGGACAATTCTTGCTGGGGAACCTGAACCGCCCAAGGACGCTGTTGGAGCTTCTGCGTACGTTCACGAGTTGTTGTCCTCTCAGTTCTGGAAGGGTTGACGCCCTTATGGCTATCAATGAGGAAGATCTTGTTCCGGATATCGCCGCGCTTAACACGCTCTTCAAGTCACCGATGCCCTGCAGCATCGGTTCTCTTTAACCCTCCACGCCCCGCCTTGTGGTTTTTAAGAGCAGCACTGGTATGACGCGTAAGCGTCCGTTAACCGCGTTGTTTACTTACGACTTCAAACACCTGTTTCCCTCAAGGCAACACCGCTAGGCTATCGCGCCCCTCTCTGGTGTTCGTACTATCTGTGACGCTATCCTACGTTACTTGCCTGCTGGTATTATTATTGGGCTACCTCAAGGGCGATGTCAGAACTTTCGCCTCCCTCCTCCATGCCCACGCGTGTGGTTCCGGCACAGCTGACACCTACCTCTAACCACGAAACTACCACGCCGCTTGGCTTTGCGCCCCAAGGGCACCCGCCCTCTAAATCCCCATCTCCCACCCAAGATCCCAACTCGACTCTTATGTCTCACCCTTACTCTGTTCAGCAAACTACTCGTTCCATGGTTTCAGCCGAGTCTCCCACCTCCGCCCGTAGGAAAGGCGCGAGGGGCCCTGGAAAGAAGGAACCTCGAGAAAGACCGACTGTATCTGTGAGGTAATCGTAGATTGTGTTTTTTGTTTGTTTGTCGTGACGACTTATGTTCGCTTTCAGGTGGGAAGAAGGCGACATGACAGACCGCCTCATTGACTGCATTTTCCACAACGAACGATGGGTTGCTGTGTTTGCCCAAGCACCAGCCAGTGGTGAAGGCTTCCATCCACGACCCGGCCTTCCTGGTGTACCAAAACGAGATCTACATCGAGAGATCGCTCGACATTTGTTCGCAGAAGATGCGCGATACGCTGGCAATGACAAGACGCAGTGGGAGGCCCTTGCAGTCAGTGTCAAGAATAAGCTTTTCAAGTGTGTAGCATGCCTTTGGGTCGTTCACTGCACTGATTCGCTTCCAAAGGCTTCAAGGTCTTTACAATGACTGTCGGACCGCTTTAGGCGATCTTGCAGACATGCCTGCCGATGTAGACCACGCCACGCTCACTCCAGAACAACTAAGTATACTTTGTGAGCATCTCTGAACATGGACGGTCAAGTATCTAGCTCACAAGTAGACAGCTCAAGTCAGGGAGAAGTTCCCACAATTCTGGCGTCTTCGGGATATCCTCGCCAGGTTACCTGCGCAAGGTACCTCTCAAAGCCCAGAAAGCACGCGGCCGGGCACATCTTCTGCCTCTGGCATCGGGCAATTCTACGCAGGCCCTTCACTGAAGCGGAAATCGGCGCCCTCACTAGAAGACATCCGACCCTCCACACGGCCGGCACCCTTCACTGGTCGACCAAACCTCTCCCCTCGAGCCCAGCCCAACACTCAGGGTGGGGTCAATACACTGCCATCTTTCCTCACACCTTCCCCCCCACGAGACGGTCCTTCGATTGCCGATATTCTCGGTCAGCTCGTCGAACGCCTAGATCAACAGAATCGTGCCGATGAGAGACGGCGACAACAAGCCCGTGAACGATGGTTGGAGCGGGAACTGCAGGAGAGGGAGAAGCAAAGAGAACATGAACGAGAGATGATGAAGTTGCGTATTCAGCTGGCTCGAGCCAGAGGAGAGAGCCAGGCCCAGAGCACACCAGTTGACGAGCCTGAACCGGAAGAAGAGGATGACCTGCTGGTGGAAGCTGAGGACGGCTCGGAAGATGCAGAAGGCGAAAGAGATGACAGCTACTTGGCAGCTGACGATGCACAGGACACCCCCATGGGATGAAGGTGCATTGCGAAGGCGGGGCCGCCTGGACACTTCACTGAACGATCGTAGCGAATGCTGGTCGTTCGCATTGCATTGCCTATTGTAGAGTCACTCATTTAGACACACGTGTTATCGTACGACCGTTGGTGGGTTGGAAGTTGACGGATGGTTGTCGATTCGATAGCCTGCTTGACCTCGAGCGAAGAGTGGGATAATTTGCAAGCAACGTGTACGGAGAATATCAAGCACAATGTGTGCGACCATGAGTAAAACACGAGGCTGCTCACATTGTCTTGGCATTGCTTACATAATATACACCGATAAGCTCCCGAGTTAGCCAAAAAGCTTCGCCGCTCCCGGGTATGCCACTTGTATAATTACATGCTTGAAAATACTACAGGAGTACTTGACTCTGTCGTGCTTTCAATTCCTCGATTTCTCTCCGTACACGTGCCTGATTCTGGCTCAGGTCTTCACGCTCTTTCTCCACCGCGTCCAGAGCTTTAGTATGCAGAAGGTGCTGGCGGGTAAGATCCTCAAGAAGCAAAGAAAGTCGCGCCTGTTGAGCTGCTAGAGTTGGTATCGGTATGATAGTGGGAATGGGCGGTGCACGGTAAATTTCACGTTTCTCATCCGAATCTGGAGATAGGCGCGTAATATTTGCACGCCGTTCCTGGGCTAGCTCCCATTCGCGTGATTCGGAATCGTCTGAACCCGCCTCTCTAAAATCAACCCCACTCAGCCAAGTGAGGTGGAAACAAAATAAAGACTGCTCACACTTCATCAATTGCCTCAACCAGAGCAGCTCGTCGGTTTTGAGCCTCCTTTTCACGCGCCTTCTTGCCCAAAGCTATCCGTTCTTGAGCACCTGTGTACTCTGCAGCCTCTGGGGGGGAAGGTCAGCTTTTTGCTAAAGAAGCACGGGTACAATGACAGGGGGAAAACCAAGAGCTAAAGTGGGAGACCAGACCAGTCTGAAATGCATTTCTAGGAAAGGAATACATTACCGGAATCCAAGCATCGTCCTACTCCTTGGATTCCGCCAGTCCTCGCACGGTGACACATGTGTGAAGCCGTTTATGGGCACCGACATTCATCCAAGGAATGGAATGTGGTTCCGCCGCGGATATCAAGAAAAGCCACGCATCCGCAAAGCCACGAGAGGCATTGGCTGAAGGTGATATAAACACATCTCTGTCCCCCCGATATATCGCCTTGCTGGCGGAGATACCGAGATCATAAAAAAAGACAAGAAGGATGAAGAAGGGTCCACGAATAGTGGAAAAGTACCAGCGCCAGGGTACAGGAGCAAAAATGCTATTCAGGTGGACGTAATGACGCCAAAGCGGATGATTGGGGTTAACCGGCGGAATGGCACTAAAGAAGCCTTGGCTCCTTTCGAAGAAAGATACGAAGGTCAAGAAAAAATTTGCCAGCAGTGGGATGCTAGATTGTGTGCAGTTCTGGTAAACCGGCCCAGGGATGATAACATCGCGAGCTGCAAGCCGGCGGCAGGGTGCCTGGAGAAGATGCATAACAAAAATGGCAGACAGGTCACACTTACCATCATCACCCTCTCCAAGTTCATCATCTTCCCTCACTAATCGACTCCCAGGATGAGGGCCACTTTGTGCTCGCTCTTCTCCTGGCCCATTGATGTCCAATGAGATGAAGTCTTTGCTGTTATCGAGACTAAGACCTTCATGTTTAGGCATCTTCCGCGCCTCAGCTCTCTTCTCTCGTGCAAATGCAATACGAGTTTGCGTGCCCAATGTGATATTTTCGTCAGCTAAAGGAATTACAATGCGCGTGAGGACGACAAGATGCATAGCACAGATGATAACGTACCGAGAGTACCGGTATCAATTTCCATGTTGTCAACACTTCCCATCAACTGCTCATACGCAAAATCATCCATACCGCTCCCAGATGCACCACCATCCGCATCATCGTCCACAACAACTGATTGTCGGGCCTTCTGTCTGAGGGCTGTCGAGGGCGTGCTGGCCTTGAGGCTTGCAAGGTCCTCAGCAGAGTACGAAGGTCGCTCCTCAGCTGCTGATGTGGATGCCCCAGTGTCAGCAACTAGACTTGGGTGGTCCCGAAGAGATATTCGACGAGACAAGTTTGACTTCTTGACGTTGAAAGCAGGTCCTTCAGAGGATGTCTAAAGCCCCAGTTAGACGGTACATGCCATGTCGTTCCAATGTATATACGCACATCATTTCCGCCAAAACTCAACCGCGTTGCGAGTTTGCTTTTCTTCTTTAGTTTCGCAGGTATGGAAGCGGGTGATTCGGAGGGACTCGGGGGTCTTGAGTCATCTGCTGAGGCTTCCGCGCCAGTGTCCCCGTCCTCATCTGTTGCACGTACCCTCCCAGCTGCACGTAGATGACGGGCCTGTCGTTTCTTGATTAGCGGAACTGGGTCTTCGTCCATCACAAAATTTGAGCACAATAGCGACAGATGATAGTCAAGCAAGTTTGAGGTTGATCCATGAGGATGACCATAGGCTGGATCGTTTACAGGTCTTTCACAAGGAGAACCCTAGAAATTCTGCATCCGTTCTTCCCTTATTTGGTAACCCTAAGCGACAACGACCACCCAAAATTACATTCATGAAGGAAATGCAAACCAAAGTTCCGTTAGAATGGAGTGGAGCCAACTATTGCATCGCTCCTCTGCCTAGTCATCCTCAACTATGTCACCCTGTCCAGAGTGCACCCTTGGCCGGCGGCGCAACCCAGCATGTTGTCCGAGGCATTCTGGTATGTTTTCGAAAGAATTTGGGGTCGTTCGAGGTCAGCAGAACCTTTTCAACAATGATTCCAAATCATCTGATAAATATTCAAAATCAATTTCGGATCAACGTTTAGAATTGGTGCGTTCATAAAATCGGCACCACACCCCAACTTACTCGGACTTGTGGCATTCATGACGATGAATCTCAATTCATAGAGATGCAGGTGCGGTAGTGTCGTGTGCGACGTAATTGAATATGGTAACCTGAAAGTGGTTATCAGCTCGTCTGGCAAGGCAAAAAAGTGGCAGTGAGCACCTTTCGTATTGTGCATTTCTTGGGAACCCAACACAGATCATCCATTCATTTGCCCAGAGTCCTCTGCAACACCTCGTCGGTGATGTGTTGTACCTTCCTTATTATCTCCATTATGTGCCCAGTGGAAGAAATGGAAATCTTTTGCACGTTTATAGTAGGGTTTTTTCCCTCTATCAAAAGACAAGAGACTTTGCCAACATTACAACAATCTTCGTGGCAATAGAGAAGTGCGATATGAGCTTTGACAGCTAGGGAGCATATCAGCCGCGTGCAACGAAAAGGGGTTGATGCTCACGACCAGCGTGCACTGGTGTCATCGGCTACGGGGGCATCGGTCCCGGAACTCCATTTTTCAGCTGGGTGACATGCTAGATCCACATTGCATTCCTCATTTACACTAGTCTTCTTCATCGTTGACAAATGGGTTCGATCATGGCTGTGGAATCTCATGCGGGGGGCCCGAATGATAGTCTTCTTCGCAAGAGTTCCAGAAGTGTTGTCTCCCCTTATCATCACAGTTCAGTCAAGGCAGGCATGCTGTAACGGAGAAACACTCACCATCCAATCAGTGGTCACGCCTCCACTCATGTCCCTTGAATGAATCCATGCATGCATCATTTCCATCATTTCGCTGCACCAACTCTTTCCCGTCCGTTCCTGTTTCCGTCCGTGCCATCCGTCCCGTTCCCTAATTGACCCCAAATTCCCGCAGATAGACGAAAGGGAAGCGAATACCCCAGTCAGATCAATGCGGAAGTCCACAGGGGCGTCGGCAGTGATCTCCGATGCCATGGAGCAAGTCGCTTGTTTCACATCCGAATTATGTGGCGATCATACGATGTGGTTGCACAAGGTCAAGATAACCAGAAGGATTGAATGAAGATCGGTGCAACACATAGTACCACCGACGGTTGGGGAGAAGGCCGAGTCTCTTGGAGATTCTTTCGAGATGTCCGTATTGCGCCAAGCGCTCTGACACATGTTTATGAACCGGGAAACAGTGGAAACAGGACACCTGTGTGTTTTATAAGTCTGCTTTGATGCTTCCCTTGAATACTCTGGCCTTTATTCGAAGAGAGTGCTATGGCGCGGTGTTCGTTGTTGCGTTGAACTTCATCCGTCGAAGGGGACGCACCTGCCGTTACCACCTTCCAGATATGGATCTGATGCTCACTGAGACTTGACTACTATGAAATTATTTGGGACGGCAGGAATCTCTGGAAATGGAGCATAGCGCACCTTCTAAGCAGCCAGCTAGTGTAAGTATTCTTGAAAAGACAAGAAAAGGAAGATACTGCAATATCACGTTTGTGGTGTGAAGCTGGACATAGGCAGACGGTTGAGGTTTGCCGAATCTTTGCCAGATTCCACTTGCGTGATTGGGATCTGGCTCCGCTTCTCCAAAACAATTGTAAACATTTGTGCCATCCCGGTAGTGTTACGGGGTCCACTCACACATTGTAAGCGCACTTGCAGCTCCCGTATCTAGCTTTCCCATCTATTTTTCACATGCTCTTCGTTTTGCTAGTATTCGGTACCACACGCCAATGCGGAATAGAGCTCGGGAAGAATTGAAGCACCCTTAGAACGCCGAGCGTAGTTGCGAATAAGGAGACATAGAAATATGAGGGTAATTTGTAGCCGGGGTTTATGAGTGAGTACCGGCGCCCAAAAAAGCAGGGATGGAAGCGATAGCTCAATAGAAGCGAAGTCGATTCTGCCACTTGTCGGAGGTGTACCCGTACCACATTCCCGACAATGAGCCGCAGTGCGATAAGAGCCCGCGCCGCGGAGACTGCTTCCAGTAACCAGACAAGGGGAAACAAAGTGGCAGTACTGCCATAGTCAGAGAGAGAATAGCTGGCACATCAGTGGCGTGAGGACCTTCAGACAGAGTTCAACGTCATTCGGAAATCTCTGCGGTGCCGCGAGCTTCGGATAGCAAGATGCAAAATTGCCACAGATGAACAGTGGTTGCATAAGCAAGGACCATGACAAGCGCCGGAGGAAGCGGAGGAAAGAAAATGATGGCCAGGTGAAAGAATGGCGCCAGACTTTGTGACCCGAGGTGCGAGAATGAGTTGAAGGAATATTACTGCAAGGAGCTCTGGCTCCTTTCGTCCAAACTGACCCAAGGAAAGGGGAGATCACAATCTCAGGTTCTTCCCAGTGTCACGGAAAAGCCATGCTATCAAGAGAACGGCAAGATGTCGGTCTGAGGGGGAAGGATGGCGAGGAGAGGAAGCAAACCGACAGTTGTTGGGTGAGGGGAGGACTGGGTTGGAGACGAGCAACGAACACCAGGATTATTGAAGTTTACCCACTCAATTGTTCCTCAAAGGCTCGATCGAATCACGGAACATCGACGACGCCGATCGCTTAGACTGTCGATGTGCTTTCCAGACACCGCGGCCAGCAGTTACTAGGCCGTTGATGGACGGGGTGGGCTTCTCAGGACGACTGAACAACATGGGAAAGGAATTTGCACCGGATTCCTTCAACGACGCCCCTGTTATCTGTTAAATAGGCATTCGTGGACCGCGCAAGTTGCCCTTGTATAGAAATCCCTGTGTATTATTTAGAACAATGTAACCGAGGAAAGGTATAGTAGTTAAACGTACGTATGCCGCACCCTCATCGATCACCATGCTGAGACACCAACACGTCTAACAATCCGTGTTCTTCTCATTCGCATTATGACTAATCTCATCTTCGCGGCTCTTGAATGGTTTGTCTGTCTAGCCGCCACTAGCTGAAGTAGTAGCTTTATTCTGGGCACCTTGACGACAGGATAAGGGGCTCGAGATGCGCTGACAAGGCAAGCTAAGACGAGGCGCTATACCAATTATATGCTTTGTCGCGGTGGTCTTGTAGGCATGTAGGCAAGGTGAGCAATCAACAAGGAACCGTGTTACTACGACCGAGATGCATACACCAGGTCAAACGGGACCACTTCCAGGTTATGGAGCCACGCACCATTCAGTCGCCAGCAACGCTAATACGAGCAGTATTGCTGCCAGTCGGATGATAAGGCTCAGTTCGCAAGCGCTGAGCCGCCCACTGAGTACTCCGCGGCAATGTCCACTCCTGTATTCGTGGGGATGGTCGAAACGTAGAGCAGGCCATTGGACCATTAACAAGCGTCCATTGTTCCCGCGGTCGTGTTTGGTATGAATGGATGAGCCTCAACGGTGAGAGTGAGAGGTTTGTGGTCATATTGCGCCCTATGGCGCCGTGCGAGGTGGTGTCAGGTCGAAGATGCGACGATGCAACGCGAAGCAAGCGTGGGGACGCGACCCTGACCTGTGACTTCCAGAAGAAAACAAAATTAGGTGCGGTGGTCTAAAGAATTTGCCTTATTTAACGCTCACTCTGTTTTGTGACACAAAAGCTACAGATAAAGTACGAGAAGAATAGTATTCGCATATTCAGTTTGATCTTTCACAATTGTCGGATACATTATATCATGAGGTTGTCATCATCGGCGATATCTTCATATGCGTCGAAGTATTGAGGGTCTTCTCTATGGAGGACAGCATCTCCATCCCCGCCAGCCTTCATTTCAACCCATTGCTTGACGTCATTGACGCCAAGTGCTTTGTTGACAATCCCTTTGTAGTCGACTAGATCTTGTTTGGCTTGACCAAGTTGTTGTTGGAGAGAGCGGATGGTTCGGTTTGCTCGACGCAGCTCTCGAGACAGGTCGACAGGTTGGGACGAACGAGACGCGAGTGCCGCAAGACCCGGAGCAGAGTCCTCATCATCCGACCACGGGGTTTCTTGATGTGCTTCTACAGACGAAACCATCACTTCAACGCGTAAAAATGACGAATCCGATGACTACTTACGTAATAGTGGGTCGTCCGGAATAACGGGGATCAAGAACACATCATCTTTGAAGAATGGCTCATGCCCAGTCATAGTGTTTACGATATCTGGAGGTGGTCTCTAATACGCCATCAGCACTGTGACAGACTAAGAACAATGGAGTGTACGCACCTCCTTCCTCAGGAAGTTGACCAGCCTCATGCGGTCGTAAAAATCCAACTCTGAGGAGAGTTCAGATGATTTTTGGATATCTATGGTATGGAACACACCAAGTCGATCACAGATCTCCCCTGAATCAACCCCATAGTTCCCCTTTGCATCCGACAATGCCTCTCGTAGCGACCCAAAGAGTTTGTTAGGACCGAAGAGGCTCATGCATGGCTTCTGCTCTTCTTCTTCTACCCAGTCGTCGAATTTGTTGTCATCGGAATCGTATGCTTCCGCATCGTCTGAGTCGTCATTTTCTGGATTAAAGTGCGCCGATGGAAACTTAGAAGAGGAAGCTGCACCAGACATGGGGAGATATGTTTATTCTGCTGGTGAGAAAGGCTCTCTGAAAGCTTGACCCTGACGGGAACATATAATCACGTAAAGCCCCGCGTTAAATAATTGATAGCTTCCGTTTCTTCGACCATGTCAACCACAAGGCCTCGGCGCACATTTGTTGCTGACACGCGAGAGGAGCCATCAGTACCAGAGGAGGAGGATAGCCTGCTTGATGAGCAGCGTAAGTCGCCCTCAGACAAGTGGTCCGATTTGCCTAGGAACCTTGATCTCCGCTCTAGAACAAGATGACGTTGTTCAGAAGTTGACGGAGCAAAATCAGCGGTCGAATGCTCGATGGATTTCAATCCTGAAAATATTCATACTTTGTGGTGGCATCGTGTACGTTCAAGCATCTTGCTGAACGATGTACTAAACTGTGACGCATAGAAATCTTATCGGGCTTGTCATCCTCATACGCGCAACCGCTGCCGGCACCGAACCAATTTTGTTCGCGGATCAACCGATTCCACTCGCACCTGCATTTGCATTCCTGTCCCTGGTTCTGACGGGAATCTCCTACAACATCACCGGACATCCCCACTCAGCAACGTCGTTCGGGCATATCCCCCATGAGTACCTCACTATCGCTTCCCTCGCACCACCTGCTTTATCCTTCTTCCTTGGAAAGCATCGCTCCCAAACATTCTGGTGGTTTTCTGAAACAGCCCTCATTGGTGTATGTGCCACCGCGCACAGCATGATTGTGAGCAGCGAAGGAGAAAAGGGACCCGAAGGACTTAACAAGCTTAAATACGAGAACAAAGGAGCATAACAAACACTTGTATCCCTTGCATAGCAATGTGTTATCATTTCATTCTGCTCGGAACCATCAAACGTAATAGGAAATAAAATGAGCAGTCACGACTCAACCACCACTCCTCAAGCAGCAAGGTCTCCCGCCTGCTGAGCCTCTCGTGCCTCACGGGCCGCACGCTTACTCATCTGGATTGAGGTCCTGACCGGATTTGATGACTGGAAAATCTCCTCGATCTCCTCGAGCGTCCGCTTGCGCGTCTCAATGAAGAGGAAGTATACAACGAATATGCCAACGAAGTCGAAAACGATGTAGAAAAGATAGAACTTCCAGCCGATATTATCGAAAGCGACAGGCGGCACGTAGGAGTTGATAAGCGAGAATGCGTTGATAGCGAGATTGTAGAGGGCGATTGCCTTGGCACGAGTCTCGAAAGGCACGATCTCGGAGGCATACAGGGTCATCATCGGCACCCATGTCATCGCAAAGTTGGCCAAGAAGAGATAGATGAATACGACACCAACCGTTCCGAGCTTGGGGTGGGTGGTTTGGAGGGCAGTGCAAGCCGTGAGGATTGATAGAGTGGCGACCATGATGCAGGAGCCGTACATAAACAGGAAACGACGGCTGACATGTTCGACGATGAGTACGTTGATCAGTGCACCGCCAATCATGACGGGTGTCTGCACGGCGTTCAAGAGAAGTTGGCGTCGAGAGTCGGTGATCCCGGCGTTCTTCAGCATGAGGGGCATATAGTAAGATGTGGGTGGCCAAATCAGGTTCTGGAACAATGCGAATGCAAGCAAGGTAGTCATCCGATGAATACTAGCACGGGTACGGAACAGTTCCCTAATCTCGACGGTGAGTCCCCTGGCTTCAACGGCAGGAGAGAAGAACTGACCTGAAGTCCCACCAACGCTTATCAGAACCATGGGTGCTAATAGTGGCTTCCATTTCAGCCAACTCGAGCTTGACCAACTTGCTGTTTGGGTTGCCTTCTCCGTGATATCGGATCAGAACCTCACGTGCCTTGTCAACCTTCCCGTTCGCAACAAGCCAACGGGGAGTCTCCGGAATATTCCAAACAAAGCACAACAGGATGACGGAAGGCAAGCACTGAAGGATGGAAGGAATACGCCATTCGATGGTACCAGGGTTTGACAGACCGCTCAGGCCGTATTCGATGAATGTCGACGTCATTGTTCCGATGAAGAAGCAAGATTGGTAGCCACCGGTCAGGATGGCACGATACGCAGGGTGGGCAAGCTCGGCGGCGTAAGTGGTGCCGGCCGTTTGGACGGTAACGGCACCCATGCCAAGGAAGAAACGACCAGCAAGGATGGTACTCTTGTTTTGTGCTGAGGTTTGCATGACTGAGCCCATGATGCAAACCACAGAGCCGAGAATCATGCCGAAACGTCGACCGAACGGATCAGTTATCGGACCGGCGAAAAGACCACCTGGTTCAAATGTGAGATCTACCGCAACCTTGAGACGGGATGAAAGCAACTTTACCAACAAGGTTGCCGATAATATACATAGTCACCATGAAGCCTGTGCCCTAATTAACCGGTGTTAACCCTAACTGCGACAAAAGTGCTGACCAAGTTCGCCGCCGCCATAGACGTTGAAATAGTCTTCAAAGGTCGACATAGCCGTAAACCCACCGAAAGTATTGGCATCAAAGCTACACACAGGGTTATGGCGCCTATGAGAAAAACAGCGGAAACGCAACTTACCCATTAGTCATTGAACAAAGATATGAAACCCAAAGACATCCGTAGAGCCGGATCATCGGCCATGACCAGGGGTGTGGGGGTTCCTCCTTCAGCACCTCCTGGAGGGGGTTGACAGTTCGAATCTTCTCATTCCCCGGCTTGATGACATCGTGTGATGGCGAAGGGGTGGTCCGGTCATCTGGGTGTTGGTGTTCATACTCTCCCTTCTCGTTACTCATGATCGTTTGTTGTCGTTAGAATTATCTCGCCGTGCACACTAGGGCGTATGAGTGCGTGATACGAGGGATGTAGAAGATAGCTCAGAAGAATTATGGTGCAGAAGCGGGGCAGGCACACAGAAGAAATACAGCTTTATGGGGCGCGTAGCCGGACCGGCCTTGGACGGCATCGCGAAGACGTGCACGCCCATACGCCCGGATTCGGGCGATCTCTCCACTCTCGTGCTCCGGCGGGGAGTGATGCCCCATGGGGCTGTCGGTCCAGCCATCCGAGAGAGAAGCGGTATAGCGTTCGAAGCGGATTACCCCGCAGAAGATGTTGCCATCCCGCGTGCCAAGAATCGCGAAGCAGCCTGGGTGTGCGGTGATGTGCTGGTGCCCCAGACACCTAATCAAGTCAGAGGTCCGGGCGAGAAGCTACACATCGGATCATCGCGGGCCGAACGAACGTTGGGAGTAAGCAGAAGAGCGCCTTCGAGGAACAGAGAGCGGAACGGCGGAATTCCCCATCGCCAGATTCCCCATCGCCAGAACAGTTTGACGTCTACCTGTGTCGACCCAAAGTAGTCTCGTCTCCGCGCCGTGCGGTCCCATGGCGGAAGCGCGCGGCTATGCGAGGACCCCGCATTCCAGCTAATCCAGGCAGCCTCAGACAAGAATGGCTAAAGCGCAGGGTCTGGTCTAACGCGGTCCCAGACCTGTTTATACGAGCGTCGCGTCCCAATCCCTAGCTGAATGCATGCCTGTGACTTCCCCATTTCAGTGTAAATTCATGCCGGGGGCAGTGCATGCCCCTGTCACAAATTCATGTAATCTGCCATGGACCCCTGATTCCAGCATGATCCAGGACAAAATGAGCTTTGCATGTAATTTCGAAGCAAATACCTCGTCACGTGATGCTTTGCGCCCCCTGGCGTGTCCTCTCATTGCTGAAGCCCATGCATATTGGGTGCAGCCACTCCCTCAATAAATTCCTCAACACTGACCACTCGCAGCAGTTTACTGCCCTCAAGAACCATTCCAAGCTCCACATCCCATGGAGTGAGACTCTCCATTCTGCTGGACACACAAAGAAGACTGCCTGGAAAAGCCATGACATTCTTGGCACTGCACAAAGCAAGACATGGTCAAATCGGAGCATTTCAACTGCCTCCTCTTGCATCTTCATCTCTAGGCTCCTGAGTTGTGGGGCTGAGGTCAATCCAGAATGCTAGAAATCAGAAGAAGCAAGCTTTGGATGAGACAGAGGAGCAAGCTCTACAGTATGTCAGTCAGCATTATGTGCCACATGCTGGATCAGAGGCCTACCCCATGAGATATGAGGATGGACCTGGGCTGGGCAATGAGGGGAGTGTTGACAAGCAGGCTTGGGTCACTGAGGAAGATGAGCCTGCTATGGAATCAGTCTTATGAGAATATCAGTGTGTTTCTCCCTTGTGCACAATTTGACTGCTGACCAACTTTCCCAGTGACACATGGTCATGCCACAACACTGGATCTGGGCCTCATGCTGCCAAACTGGCAAAACTTGACGCTCAATGGGCTACTGAGCTCCCTGCAATGGAACAAGCCTTCCTATGCTGGTGGCATGGACTCTTGGAACACCAAGTGAATCTGAGCATTGGGACAGCTGGACCGGGAGACTACTCAATGCAAGTTGTACACTGGAAAGGTACACTTGTCACATGTCACTTGCATCAACTTCTGATATCGCAGTAGGCAGCTCATCAGCTCAATTTTGTGCCATGAGGTTTGGCAAAAATCTTCTCTGCCACCTCATGGAATGCAGGTACATGCTGTGCAGTCCTGACAAGCCTCATTGGGCATTCTCCTTGCATGTTATGCAAGTATTGCATACAGCGCATGTGCATGTGTATGTCTCTCACAAGTCATTCACTTGTATTTTGTGTGATCTTCATGGGGTATGTGATCATTTTCATGCTGCTCATACATGAACAGCATGCTCAATCTTGAATTAGGTGCCTTACAGGGGACATCTTTGTGTTCTTCTCAGCAGGGTATATGATACTTGGTTGACCATGTGTCTTGCCATCAAGAATTGGGTCAAGTGCACATTCAGACAAGATACTGATGACTGGCGACTGAAGAACTCTTGCCCAGCTTGCGAGTATTGTGTTTGTCCAGAATTCATCCAGAATTCCTCATGCTGACACCTCGCCAGCTTGAAGGAGAACTGAGTCTACCTCACACCAAACTTTTCTCTGTTGACAGCAACAATTTGAGTAAGTGTTTCATGGGAGCTGGTCATCAAGATGTTTGCAAGTTTGCAAGTGACTACATCCTTGTGCAAGACACAGTCAATGAGTTCGCAAAGGACTCGGACAACAAGCAAGTGAGCATGCATGGGTCAAGATGTGAGTCAATTGCTGATTGAGGACAGGAAATCAAATCACGCCAATCTAATGAGATCAAGGATGAAGATCAACATGCTGAGTGCACCATCTGGTGAGGTCATATGAGGTCATGCACAGCCATGCACAGAAGGTCACCTGACCATCCAATCCTTCCAGCAGGTTCCAGCACATGCCAAGGTATACCAGCTACTTCCATGTCATAAAGGCTTAGTCATGTCTCTTGACCAAGCAATGAGCTGGTGCCCTGACACCCAGCTGCAACCTCATGTTCTTTGTGCTTCTCCTCAGCAACTTGCTCCTTGTGTTTCTTGAGGTGCTCAAGGGATTTTGCTTTGTTTTGCTTGGTAGTTGCTCATTTTTGAGCTTGATAGACCCATTGATATTCCTGCAACTCTGTGTAATATTTAGACATGATAAGGTTCAGAATGCCTTCTCAATGTGAAGGTACTTGCCTAGTAGCCCAGTGCTGTTTAGCAGCAATCTCAGGACTGGGTCACTTGGGTATCAAACCACATGTGAAGCTGCCTGGGCTTATCTCAAAGAGCATGCTCTTTGTGAAGATGGCTTGGTGCAAGACCCAGTACTCAAATTTGTGGTCAAATCCCTCATCCACCCACAAAGAGATCAAGGTGGTGAGTTGGCAAGGAATGCAGCTTGGTCTGGAGTGGCTTGTGGTCAGTCATTCTTGCTGCACCCCGAGACCCGCCTAGAGCTCTACCACATATAGTAATTAAGGGACGCGAGGTGCTGGATTCACTGGATGCTGGGGTCCTGCTCTTTCCTCCCGCTTCCGTGGAGGGGACGCAGTGCGTCCCTGCCTCCAAAATGCCCCCGGACCTAGTCGACATAGGTGTTGACGTTAATACGATGAGGCATGTGAGACCAAAATAGAAGCCCCAGTCGCAGCTTAATGCCGTGCCGCCCACCGTTCCGAGTGATTGAGTCAGTTCGGGTCCGTGGGCAAGACACAAACGCAATCGGGTCGAATGTTATTATGATCACCGGAGGATCTTCCGGTTTTGGTAGTAGGGCCGTAGCCCGGACTTGTTTCGCTTCCGGCAGGTCCCCGTTGAATCGACTCGGATATGAATGGTTGTTCAACGGGAATGATGTTGAGCCGACATACATACCTAGTCATTGTCAGTGAGGACAGGATCAGAACCAGCAATAAGGGGCAAAATACTTTCGGCCGACAGGATAGCTTCTTCTTAGCATAGTAGAGAGAGTGCCCACAACGTCCCACGAATACCGACTTTTAGTCGAACAAGGCCGATGACAGTTCATAGAGTTGAAAGAACAGTCAATCACGGCTCAATCGAGCCCCATCAGTGCTCAGGCCAGTCCAAACCTAAAGCCCATCAGAGCCTATTTCCGGCCCCTAAGCTACCCACGCAAAATCGCAATCTCCATTCCGGCATCGGCGTGCCCTACCACCGAAAGACCCGTAAAAACTGTCAACGCCCAGCCCCGCAGGGGGGGGTCAGCCGCCCTCACGTCCGTGGGATGTGGCGTTAACTCTTTGTCCGTGCACTGTGTACTGTGGCATCCCCGAGACGGCCCGAGCCGTCGTTATGCAAATTTGCCCGATTTACTATCCTTCCTCCTGGGAATGACGGGTGTTTCTCCGTCAGGGACGGAAAGGGCGGAATGAGCCGTGGACGTGCATGCGCTGTGTGAGCGGATCTGCAATCGTGGGAGGACGTTCGAGGCAGTGTGCAGGGAGAGTCGTTGCGGTTCTTGGCTGGCGAGGGGAGTAGCGCGCTTTCCCCTTGGAGTAACTGTTCTGACAAAGTTTTGCTGAGGAGTGATGGGCCAATGCTGACCAATCCTCTCGCAGCCTCGAACGGTTTCTTCTCTGTGACGGTTGTCTGGGATTGGATCATTACTGTCAAATGGCATTAAGAGAATAACGGTATGATTCACAAAATATACACAGAACCTGGGTTCTTCTCTAGCCGCACTGATGAAAGGGAAGGGAATAATGATAACAACCGCGCATATATCGGACCATCTCTCGATGGCTATGACAGAATCTGCAAACTTCGTTCAGTCTGGTGCGGGTGTCGCAAGGAGTGCACTCACTGCCAACAACACGATGCAAATGACAACGCTGATGATGATCAAAAGCCAACACGCTCTCCTCCCTGCTTTCCTTTGATACTCGCTCGCCGTTCTCAGTTCCTCGTCTGCTCCCGCCGTATCCCGTGCCACAGCAGTAATGTTCCTCTCGATGTTGTCGAGCATCCCACCCTGCTCGACGACGAGCGTGCCAAGATCGCGGAAGATCTCGTTCAGCTCGTGGATGCCAGTTTCGATTTCTTGGATGTCGGCTTCACGCTCAGCAATGAGCGATTCTTGGAACTGCAGCTCTTGCATAGAGATTTGCCTGTGGGAAGGGTGTCAGATCGACATGAGAACGCCTGTCACACCAAGTGGAGGAGGAGGGAAAGGCACGTACGGTGCATGCGCTTGGATCTGCTCCTGTGTTTCCGCCAATAGCCGTCCTGTCTCCCCTGCGCCGTCGTCCGGTCCTGATCCCTCCTCACCCAATACGATCCCCGCGGCAGAGACAGTTCGCTTGGCAGAGTCTACAACAGTGCGCTGTTTCTCTGCGGACAGCTTCTGAGCATGTTGATATGCGACGAGGGCACTTTGTAAGTCGGCAGAGGTTTTGGACAGGGCGAGCTTTTTGTCTGGCTACACGAGCAATCGAATACCTGTCAGTGACTAAGTTGTGAAGGGTGCGAAACCTAACACACCAAAGAATGTTGAAGCTCGGTAAGCGTCTTCAAATCTGCCGTGCTTCGCTTGACCAATTCCCGCGTCGCCTCTGTCAGCTCATGGAGCCCCTTTCGCACGACATTGCCGTCCTTGTTTGTCCCCAGCTGGTCGACGAGCTTAAGCATCCCCTGCACGTTCGCGTTGATCTTGAACATCTGCAGGGAGAGCGAGGATTGCAGCTTCTGGAACTGAGAGGATGCGTCGCCTGCCAGAGGTGAGGTTGATGAAGTAGGTGCTGGGGCACGGGGGATGCCCCGCTCGAGGTCGTTGAATGACATGACTGGCTAGAGAGCACCACAAGTAGAGGTCGACTTGATGTACAGATTAAGAGAGGGGTAAACAGTCTGCACAGTCAAGAACGAGTAATTCGCAGTCGAAAGCGTTGTAAGGAATGCTGCGGTCTGCTTCTCTCCTGTCAATCCATGACGCGAATCCCTGGCGGATGCATTTCCCTCTTCAACGCCACCCTTTCTTCTCACACGCACTTCACTGACTGAACGTCTTCCTCACTGTGCACAGAGCAACGTCCTTCCACTCCCTCCTCTTCATTCAATAACCAAACATGGTCGGGCTCACAGAATACTGTCCCGTATACGCTCCCTTCTTTGGTGCTCTCGTATGTCATTTTAACTCTACATTCGAAATAGCAGAACTCATCCTCGTTTTAGGGATGCACAAGCGCAATCGTCTTCACCTGTTTGTCTGCTACCATTCTTTCCTCACTATACGCTGACGCAGTTTACAGGCCTTGGCGCTAGGTCCGTCATAGTCTGGAGTATGAAGGGGTTGTGCTGACATGAGATGAACTAGCTACGGCACAGCCAAGTCAGGTGTCGGTATCAGCGCAATGTCCGTTCTCCGGCCCGACCTCATGATGAAGTGTGTCGTACCCGTTATCATGGCTGGTATCATTGCTGTGCGCTCCTTCCTCCTCTTGTGATTCGGAAGATCATGACTGTTGGAACAGATCTATGGTCTCGTCGTGGCCGTGCTTATCTCTGGATCTTGTACGTTGATCTTCGTCATATGCATGTTTTAGGACTAACAGCGATGTCCAGTAACGGCAACCATGCCGCTCTACACCGGCTTCGTGCAACTCGGCGCCGGTCTCTCCGTCGGACTCGCTGGACTCGCCGCTGGCTTCGCAGTCGGTATTGTTGGTGATGCCGGTGTGCGCGGCACGGCTCAGCAGCCAAGGCTTTTCGTGGGCATGATCCTGATTCTTATCTTCGCTGAGGTGCGTTTGGAATTGCCCAATGATGTTTTCAAGAATCGCAAGACGAGCGGAATGGTGCTCATGTGGCATATAGGTGCTGGGGTTGTACGGTCTCATCGTCGCGCTCATCATGAACACCAACGCAACCAACGGCACTGCCGGTGTCGTATGTTTCTTCCCTCACTTCCTTCCTCTGTATCCCACTAAGCTCAACGCAGTGCGGCTGAATTGACTCCAAGCGGACCGGAACTCACCAGGTTCAAGACTTGCCGCAATCCTCGCTCTCGAAAATCAGGCCTTGCTCTTCGCCATTGTGCGAAGCAGAGGCCAGAATGTAGGCAGGGAGATACAATACATTCCGAACCATTAAGCATCATCTGATGTCCTGTGAGCGCTCGTCATTCACTTTTGTGCTGAGGAAAGCAGACTATGTGTCAACAGCAAGTGATATCCCGAATGAGGCGGAAGGGGCCTTGTCCGACCCTGCTGAGTGGGACATACTTAACCGACCTCCCCCCACGTCGCGATGTGCTCATCCAAACGTCAAGGTGCACGCCCCAACCGTGTGTACAACCCCCAAGTCCATCCCTTCCGAAAGAGGTAATTCATACCTCATGTATGCGTCGAGCAGAAGGTGGAGTAGAATGCCTCAGAGCATCCACTTAGGGCAGTCGTTGAGCTTCCTTTCTTCCTTCCCCATCGGCTTTCGTCGCATGAGCTCGCACCCTCATGTCCAAGTCGGACATCCCGGCCGATGTGCACGGCGACGTACAGTAAAGAGCCTTCGGACCAGCTTTCCCTGCTTCGTCTCAAAGTATTTGTACGATATTGAGTCGGCAGCAACGCATTAATACATCCCCTGTGGAGCGTCGGCGAGAAGCGCGTTGTAAGATCCTGACACGCGTTTGGGCCGAAACGTATCGTGTAATGCCTCGGTTAACCCATCCAATTTGAACAGATCATTAATATTGTCGAATGCGGCGTTCAAGTCCGAATGGTTCGAATACCATGGTTAAAGAATGAAGTGCAGGATGGAGTGTGCGATTTTTAGCAACGAGGCCAGAACAGCAATTGAGATTCAATCAATAGCGGGGGGAGTGAGTAGTGATTACACATTATCATCGAAATCCAGCCGGCTGAAGTAGTGATGCTTACAGGCCCCGTGGAGCAGAAGAGAAAACCGATCGGGCATGGAACGAGGTTTTTTTCCATTTATGGCAGTCCAACTGGACCCGCTTACGTGACATTCCGGTGTGTTCACGTGGGTGAGTCACTTCCCCCTCCGTCTTCTTTTTATTAACCCTGCCTGATCCCGTGTTTTTTAAAATACTTTTGCTTATTACCTGACCAGCCTCGGTCATCTCAAACGCCGAATCAACGCCGACACACCTGGCGGCGACCCCGCATTGCACAGTATAAATCATCCCCTCGTCTCCGTTGGTCAAAACACGAAAAGTTCGCTCCTTCCTCTTTCAAACTGGCCACCACATTTACCTCTGATAGAATTCTCTCATACCTGCCCACGATGGCACAGACTAACTTGCTCAGCGCGGACCCCCTCAGTCTTGAGACGATTCGGGGAACGTTGATTCGACTAGAGGAGACGATCATCTTCTGTGTGTCCGTTTTATTGCAGCAATTGTGCATCTTTTGACCGGTATTCGGCAGCGCTGATCGAGAGAGGGCAATTCGCGCTCAATCCCACCATCTACCAGAAGGGTGCAGTCGCGCAACTCAAGGAGCTCGGATTTCAAGGGAGTTGGCTGGAGTGGTTCTTGGCCGAGATCGAGAGCTTCCATGGTATGCTCTGCCCCTCCACATCGTGTTATCCGACTTACGCGGCTTGATTCCAGCCAAAGCACGCCGCTACACCTCCCCCGACGAATACCCCTTCACGTCGAACCTCCCTGCCCCCTTGCTCCCCCCTCTCCAATTCCCCACCATCTTCCACCCCAACACCGTCAACGTCAACCCCACTATCCTCAATTTCTATATCCACTTCATCCTCCCCCGCATCACCGCGAACGCGACGCAGGCTCTGGCGGCTAAGAAGCGTGCCGAGGGGGTGCAAGGCGCTGCTGAATGGGAAGATGACGGGAACTGGGGGAGCGCCGCGACTGTGGACGTGAGCGTTCTTCAGGCGATAAGCAAACGAGTGCATTATGGTGCGTCTTCATCCCCTCTTTCTTCCTGCACACCCTCACCCCTCGCAGGGAAATTCGTCTCCGAATCCAAATTCCGCTCCAAGCCGAGCGCTTTCATCCCCCACATCCAGGCGGGCAATCGCCAGGCCCTAGAGGACCTGATCACCAAGCCCGAGGTGGAGCGTGCTCTTCTCCACCGGCTGAGGAAGAAAGCGAGCCTGTACGGGCAGGAGATCGGCCCGGACGGGGAACCGTTGGTGAATGGGAAGAATGGTGTGAATGGGACGAATGGACACGCGGAGAACGAGAAGGCCAAAGCGAAAATCGATGCCGATGTCGTCGTTGAGATCTACGAAAGCTGGCTGATCCCGCTTACGAAAGAGGTCGAGGTACGCTTCTGGAAGCCCTCGCTTGAAGGGAAAGCTGATCGAGTACACAGGTGGATTACCTTCTCCAGCGGCTGGATGGCCTTTCTGAGAAAGAGATCGAGGCATTCATGTCCCAGCCAGCGAAATAGCGTCTTTCTCATGTGTCCTTTATCTGTTCACCGTCTTTGTCACCCTCGGTCATCGCTTGGGGTCGGTCCCTTGAGTGCTGCGTACGCAACACTCAATAAACGGGATAACTACACTTGTATATACACCTACGGGGGGCATTGCCCACCACCTATTGTACAGATCTTCCGAAGAAGTACATGACATAAACTGGAGGGAGGTATTCATCAGAAATCGCGCCAGAGCCATTAATAGGCTCGACTTTCCACGTGTTCTAAGGACACCACAAAAAGCGTGAAACGGGAAAGATAACAGGATATCAAAGAGAGGTGTATCTGCCCGCAGGGGCGAGAGGCTTGAGACGGGGAGACGGGGAGACGGAGAGACGGGGAGATGAATAGGAATTAAGAGATGGCGGAAAGGCCTTTTGTTTGTGCATTGCGTGCTCTGGGCGTTGGGGTGGTATAAGGAACGTTGGGCGCAGGTGGTCAGACGCGTGAACCAATTTGAGGGAAATGAGATAGGACCAGGAGGGAACCAAGGAAATGAAGAGACAAGAAGCGTATCCAAAATGAACCAACAAATAAACCAGGATTGCCTTTCACAGTAGGACTCGAGCTGAGCTTGAGCCTGGGCAGCAGGGCGCGCCAGTCGCCGTGGATTATAGACCATAAATCTTCTTACGCTCGTCCTCGGTCACTGTATCTTGATCATTACCGATGCATATATGAAGCAAAACAGGACGTACTAGCGCGGGTAGCCCGTCTCGCGAGCAGCTTTTCTGTCCGGAACTTCTCGTACAGCACTCGGCGGGTATCGTTTCTGAGAACCTGCAGAACCACCGTAAGCACCCAGTCTATATAGGATCACCTCGAGCAGGGTGTAGGAAGTAAAGAGAAAAAACGCACTTTGAAGTACACGACGAGGACGGCTTGGCGTAGTGCCCAAAAATCACAGTGTTCCTTATTCATCACATCGATGACTCCCCACCTAAACCTCCTCACCCACCTCTTTCCCTCCTTGTTCTCATCCTCCTCTTCTTCTTCAGGAGCGACGATGCCCCACGGCAACAAGCCCCCAAGCTCGCGTTTCTGGTCCGCCGGCGTGCTCATCGTAGGCGTATCGGAGTCGCTGCTGTCTGCACTGGGCCGTGCGCGGGAGAGGGAGCGTGCGCGTCTCAACTTGGGCACTTTGCGTAGCGCTGAAGTAGGGCGGATGTGAATCACCCTGTGCCGGGGTTTGGGCGTCGTTTTCCCGTCTTTGGGCTGCTCATCTTCTTCGGAAGAGGAATCATCGTAGGTAGTAGAGGCAGCGACAGAGGCCATAGTAACATGACTATGCCTCTTGGAATTGCCATTGCCGTTGCCGTTCTCGGTCCCGTGCCCGTTCGCGTGCGGTTCCTCTTCCGCACCGTGAAAATCGAATATGCCCCAAGCGGCACGGCCCTGCTCGGCGAGGTCACCCACGTCCCTCTTGACAGCCTGTTTGATCCTCCCCAGTTGGCGGTCCGTCAGCGTATCGGCTTTGCTGATGAGGGGGAGAACGTGGTAGCGTGCGGAGAGGCGGCGGATGGCGAGGATGTCGGAGGGATGCATGTGGAGTACGGCTTCTGAGGAGGGGATATTTGAGTCATTGGACGAAGGTCGGGGGATCACAGAAGCGGGGTCGACGACGTATATGCACCTTTTGTGCGATCAGAATCCATCTTAACCTCTGAAAGAGGCGTCCTGCGGGAAGACCGCAAGGATGAGGTACTCACAGATGCACCAGCTTATCCGCGACCATCTCCCTCACCACCTTGCTCTCCATCACCAATGCCTCTCCCATCCTCTTCTCCTGGTACCGCACCAGATCCTGCACAGCCCTGTCGAACTCGAGCTCTCGGCCTGGTGTAATCTCCAATCCAGGTGTGTCGACAACGCTGAGCATATACCTCCTCAGACCCTGCTGTACCTCCAGGCTCTGTTCTGTGATTTCTTGCGTTGGCTGCTCCTTGAGCTTCTGCGGTGCACCCACGCCGGGTGGTACTCGGCTAGTCAGGAGAAGCAGGTTGAGCAAGCTCGTCTTCCCGCTCCCTCTAGCACCAGCGACGAGGAGGTTGAACGTCTGCACAGGCGCGCGAGGGCGTTTGTGTGTTGGGGTGCTGGGTACGGCCGGTCCTTGATCAGACACCGAACGCGTCTTGTCGAGGGAGAGGGTCAGCGGTACAGAGATAGAACCGTTGATACCTGACTGGAACGAGCTTGGAGGTGGCCCGCGGAACGGCCGGTGGAAGGATATGGTGTTCCCCTGGATTGCGAAAGCCGACTTTGTAGCTCCAGCTTTGGTGGGCGTCGTCTGTGCGGAACCGAACTCGGCGTCGTCCGGCGGAGAGCCGAGCGTAGTAGGATCGATTAGTGATTCGGGCCATGAACCTAGTCCGGGCTCAGAGGGGTCGAGGTTGGGGAGTGAGGCGGTTGATTGAGTTTCTGTGACGGTAGGCCGAGGCTTGCGTCTGGCGAGAGAAACTAGCATCGCCAATTAGTGAGTGAAGGGATGCGGACGAGAACAGCGTACAAAAGGAGGGCATGGTTAGATGTTAGATGGTGGTTATAGGTAGAGAACGTTCAGATGTACGTGTTGATGAGTTAATTGATGTGATGATAGGGGTATAAGCAGTGCACTGGGGAATTGTCGCTTCTCTCGAGCAGCAGTAGCAACAAGAGTCAATCGCAAAGGCAGTGATCAGAACAGGGAAGAGAGAGTTGTGCTGCTGTCTGGTGACGACGTAGGCCTGCCCAAGGACGTCGAGGGAAAAAACAAGACCGTTGTCCGCTTCTTCGTCGTCGCCGTGTGCCCTCTTGCGGGTCGCCTGCCGGCAGAGGAATCAATGAACGCGTGCAAAGAAGGCATTCCCTGGCAACGGGGGTTACGCCACTTGGACCAACTGAAGCACCGCGTCCCTTACTAGTCCACACTCTATTTAGTACTAATGACTGGTCAAGGGCAAGGTAATAGGGGAAGTAAGCCATCATTATTACGTACGTCTTCATTCCCCCCTATAGCATTTGCTAACAGAATTACTGGTTCAGAGTGAAATAAAAGGAAATCAACAACTCAGTTAGGAAAGACAACATTTGAAAAGAGGCAAAATAGGAGAGGAGCTAATAAGCATAGTTCGGACTTTCACTTTAATAGTGTTTGCAAGATGAGGAGAGATGGTGAGTACATCATTTAGAAAGACAAGGACGGTGTTCACCAGGAACGAAGGGGGAACGAGAACGAATCGAAGGCAAGACAGCAAGAGACAAGGAGAAAATAAACAACAGCACCTTTACACCTGTATTCCAAAAGAGGTATATTCCGAAAGGAGCGCCCAACGACCACGAGTCCATTACAGCACAACAGGTAATTCCACAGTGCCCTTTAACCAAACATATTTGTTGATAATTTTCTTCGGCCTTAAAATTCCAGCTTCTTCAATCTCCGAACAGCATCGTCGAACTTCTTAAGACTTTGCTTGACATCCAACATTCCCATTGATCCAGTTTGTAGTGGGCAGCCGCCCTGCCTGTCTCGCCATTAAGGCAAGGCGTAGTAGGTGGTTGCCCCTCCCTGCCCCCGAACCGCACCTACTGAGGTGGTCCCGGCGGGGGCGGTCCGGGGTAGGGCATATATCCAGGCGGGGGACCTATAACACCCATCATCGCTCCAGGCGGAACGGGGGGCATATCCCTCCTCAAAGGCACTGGGTCTCCAAGGTCCAGGATCATCGTTTCCATCGTTCCCTTCCTCTTGCTCGCGCGCTGCCTGGGGCTCACAGGGCCCGGACCATGGGGGGAATCCGGCATGGACGAACCGAGGCGATTCTTCTTTCCGGGACCGCGGCGGTTCGGAGGACCCACCTGGAAGAGGCACGATTGGTCACGCTGCGAACATTGGCCGCACTGAGGGCGGATACCATCACACTTCAGCTTGCGGGCTGGGTGTCGAATGCAGGTGGTTGAAGGTCGAAACGGCCGCAACACACGCAGGCAACGATACAAGGAATGTCATGCACACGATGAGTGGGGGGTACAGCGAAATGACATGATAAACGCACTCCGGCAGAAATTGCACGCAACCTCAGTCTTCTTTTGCGGCCTCTTTCCTTCCTTTTCGGGCCCTTCATCTCCCGAAATACCCAAACTGTCGCGCATCTTGCCTGCCACACGAAAGGTGAGTCAATATCTCCTATATTACTGAATGCCTCAGATTAACTGACCAGAGCTTCCAGGCATCCGCACCAACCTGGGGTCAGCTGCGCGATAATCCGGCGGTGGCATTCCCCCTGGTCTCCCGTACATGTCCAGCGGTGCCCATCCATGCATTGTCGGGGGATAGCCAGAGTACATGGCCATGAGTCCCGGGGGAGGGAGCTCCCTCCCGTCAGCGGGGTAGCCAGGCATGCGGCGCATATTGGGATCGCCATACGGTGGCCCGTAACCTGGCGGTGGCTGGAAAAGCGGGTGTACGGGATAATGCGTCGGTGGTGCTGGGGGCGGCGCGTCTGCGCGCAAATCACGACGACCGTCAACGGGCGACGTACTCGCCGCTACTCCCTGCGCGGCTCCACCAGCGCTTCCTCCATCCTCCTCCTCACCGGCCGGGTAGGTCAACCCGGAAGGATCATAAGCCGTGGTGTCATCCGTATTTGGGAAAGAAGCCATGTTCTCCGTTGTTGTTCAACCGCCGTCGATCAGGCCAGGCGCTCGTCACTCGTATCTGTTTCGGTGTTGATGTTCGTGTCGCGTCGTCTGGGTCGTGCGCCTCGCGGCTGCTTCCTCGTGCTCGTCGCGGGCGTCGCGTATATGGTTCTGCGGGGCGCGACGCGGGGGAATGTCAGGAGGGACCAAAACTGAACTGAAAGAACAGAAAGGACGGACACAGAGACGGGACGACGGGACCAGCAGGAGTGAGTGGTACACTGGCCACGGAAGGGACCGAGAAGATGGACGGGACAAGCGGAGGAAACGAAACGAAGGAGGCGGGCAAAGGAGGAGGCAGAAAAGCGACCGTTCGCTTGTTTGTATCCTCATCGCGCCCCCACATTTAGCGAAGCTACGGCCACTGCCCACAGGCCCTGAGCCTTGGACGCCAGGCCCCAACCACACGCATTTCACTCTTCTCGGTTGATTCGGCTCGTCTGCATGACCCCGACTCTGACGAATTTCACATTATGTCCATCACTTACATCATCATCTGGGCTGGTGGCAAGCGCCTGACTCTAACTCTCTTTGTCGATGGGAATGAAATCGACTCCGACGACCTGGTTGTAACTTCCAAGCTGGCATTCCTTTGCGCCCGGCCCGCGTGGGAAAAGAAGGCTTGCGTGGCGATGACTGGCTGATTTTCTACCCTCTTGGTGCTACTTCAAACTGCAGGACTGATCAAAAGGTTTAATTACCTCTTGTCTCGCCTTCTCCGGCTACCCGGAGGCTTTTGGGATGCTTGCACCGGTGTCGCCACATCCTCGCCGCACCAATTCAGAACGCCGCCTTCTGAGAAGATGTCAGAATGCGTACACCCGACCGCATTTTGTTCCTCCACCTTCCGCGCATCCAGTCAAACAATCTTCCTCCCCTCCATATCTGCGGATCTACCGACGGATCTGTCTGCGACCACATGCTCCGATGGCCACGCCCTTCAGACTTGGCTTGTCACTGTCTCGAATTTCATCGCCGTTCCCACCCGGAATCAAATTCTCCACTCCTAAGTCCCTCTTTCGATTCCCTTTCTAGTGGTGCCGAGGACGCCGAAGACCGCTTCCGAAACCTATGATTCTATTCTGCCCCTTATCCATTCCGCCACACACAAACAAATCCATGGGCGAAGATGTCAGATGACACTGCTAATTCCTAGGGCGCTTAAATGGGTCTATCCGCGTGGCAACCGGTGTTTAAACCTGACTGAAGGGCTGTTTACACCAAGCCCCGCTTTTAGAAACACGAGTGATATGGATTACGTCTGAAGCCACTTTGTGACTGGTTCGAAATATGATTGTCCAGTGATCATTTTAGGTTCAATCTGTACCCCTCTAGGCGGGATGCGAGCTAATACTCGTAGAGATCTAAGTCCAGAAGCAGGATTGGCGCCTGCCAATGGGAAAAGAAGGTAAGATCAATAGATCGAGTTTCCTAAACAGTAGGCCTAGGGGATCACTGCCACAAATTGTACGTGCCGTAAAATTGTTTCCACCTAAAGTGAAACGGCTCCTCGGACCAGGGCCTAAAAACCTTGAAACAGCCATATTTGTACAGAAGACGGATCTCTGCCCCCACTTACTTAAGGACTAGCCCATAGAGTATGTCATCCTCTCAGATAATCTCCCTTTAAGTTAACCCGAAGTGGCACGAGGACCCGGCTTCTTTAGAGATAATCAGTAGATTATCTCGATTTTAGTGACTTCCCACAATCAGGAATTGTTCAAACATCGGTACCGGAGGTCAGCCCATATTTGATTGGGCAGGTGGCGTTCGCTGCCATCTGTGTCCAGGCTTGGCAACACTCTCAGGGACCTGATAGACTCTGGCACACATGTAATGCACTCGTAAGGGTGTCCCAAAATTTGGTAAGGCATCCGACCATAGCAGAGAAAAATTACACAAGACTCACAGCACGTGACTCCGAATGGTGCTTCTTCGCTTCTTTTCAACCGGTGCCGGTTTTACCCCTTTTTGGAATGCCTTTTTGTTGCGAAGGAGCACAATCAATATATCGCCGACCATACCAACATTCCTCTGGGTAATGATGAACTGTGCGGCTAAGTTGGGGGCCTGCACATGAGGACGTGGGCACATCAGAAGCTATCAGAAGCTCTCAGAATCTAGGCACCCTGACTGGAGTTATCTCTGCGGACGCGTCGAGTTCTCCTGGACTGTCGGTCCCGCCCGCAAACCAAGAACTATATATTAGTACAACAGCATATTTTGTAATGACGGGCGCTGCGTCTACTGGGTCAATTCTTGTCGACGCTGTTTTTTGACCAACGGGAATAACGTGACTCGACCGGAGGAAAAAGAGACGCGCGACGTGAATCTAAGGGACGAACAATTCACTTCACCTTGTCGTCAAAATTTGGACGACATGTACAGCGCTCACAAAATCGCACTCAGAGCGAGAGCCCAACGACTTGCTGCTACTGAGCGACTGCTGAAGAAGAGTTATGCAAGCCAACCTCAAGGACTTAATCGATACAGCCGCAATGTCACTCAGCCAAAGGACCAAGGCGCAAGCCAGGTGCGCCAATTGGAACGACACGGAGAACCTAATTGTTGAGACCTTCGGTTAGGCTATGTTGTATGCGACGGAGGGCGTTGAGAGCGAGGAGGATTTAAACAGACCTATGGTTGGCGTGGCTAGTGTTTGGTACGCAGGCACCTGTTGTTATTGCTCAACCCCCAACTGACATCGAATGCCTAGGTATGAAGGAAATCCGTCAGTGATCGCTCTACATTGCTGTACCTCGCTCATCCTTCCCAAGATGTAATCGCCATATCTTAGGTCTCGGGCAACATGTCAAGCAGTCCTTGATGAAGTCTGGCATTATCGGCTATCAGTTCGGCACTGTTGGTGTCAGCGACGGTATCAGCATGGGGACATCTGGGATGTCATACTCGCTGCAATCACGCGATTTGATCGCAGACCAGGTCGAGACTGCAGCCGGTGGTCACTGGCTGGATGGAATGATTGTCATCCCTGGGTGCGACAAGAACATGCCTGGTGTGCTGATGGCTCGTGCGTCTTATATCTCACTCTTCATGCATGCCTGCTGAACGAGAGAACCAGTGGGTCGCCTTAACCGGCCCGGATTCATGCTTTACGGTGGAACTATCCAGCCTGGATCCTGTGCCGGCCAGCCCCAGCTGGACATAGTGTCTGCCTTCCAATCATTTGGCCAGTACCTGCAAGATGGTCAGACGGACGAAGCCGAGAAGACCCGTCGTGATACTGTCAGGTACTCTTGCCCAGGCCCGGGCGCTTGCGGAGGAGTGAGCATCGTCAACACTGATGCGACCTTCGTCGCTGATAAGGCGTTGTAGATGTACACCGCCAATACGATGGCAAGTGCAGCAGAGGCTATGGGCATGACTATTCCTGGAGACTCCTCGTTCCCAGCTGTGTCTCCGGAGAAGTTTGCAGAGTGTGACAGCGCAGGAGAAGTGATGCTGAACATGTTGGAGAACAACATCCTGCCTCGTGATATCATGACGCGATCCGCGTTCGAGAACGCCATGGTCCGTCCATTGCCCGGTGTCCAGGGAGTGTCACGCTCACAGACACCATATAGGTTTTAACGATGATCTTGGGTGGCTCAACAAATGTTGTCCTCCACCTTATTGCCATCGCCCGATCGGTCGGCATCACCCTCACTCCCGATGACTTCCAGTCTGTATCAGATAGGATTCCTTTCATCGCAGACCTCAAGCCGAGCGGCAAGTACGTCTTCAATGACGTGTTCAAAATTGGCGGTATTCCAAGTACGGAGGCTCTTCATCTTGGAAGCCGTGTGTTGATGTTCTTGCAGAGGTCCTTGCATACCTGCTGAAGCACAACTTGATCGATGGAAACAACATGACTATTACTGGAAAGACACTCGGAGAAAACTTAGATCGGTGGACTACCAAATATGGTGAATTATCGGAAACCCAAGATGTCCTAAAGCCGCTAGAAAAGCCCATCAAGAGCAGCGGTCATATCCGGTCCGTTCGATTTCTCACGGCATTTTGGCTCGTCTAACCCTTGCAACTCTATACAGCATCCTCAAGGGAAACCTGGCACCTGGTACGGCAGTAGCTAAGATCACAGGCAAGGAAGGGCTCCGCTTTGTCGGCAAGGCGCGTGTCTTTGATAACGAGGACGAGTTCGTTCATGCTGTTGAATCGGGCTCGATCAAGAAGGGCGAGAAGACAGTTGTTGTATTGCGGTATCTTGGCCCGAAGGGTGGTCCAGGTGAGCAGGACAGCTGGGGTGCACATAGTGTAGGCTGAAGATCGCTCAGGAATGCCGGAAATGCTCAAGCCTACGAGTCTGATCATGGGTGCTGGGTTGGGCCACGATGTAGCATGTTTGACAGATGGGCGTTTCAGCGGAGGGTGAGTCTACTTTTAGCTACAGATAGCATTAGACTCAACCGCACGCAGCTCTCACGGTTTCGTAGTCGGCCACGTCGTGCCCGAGGCCCAGGTCGGCGGGCCCATCGCCCTCGTAAAAGACGGCGACGTGATCACGATCGATGCAGTGAAGAACACGATCGACATGGACGTTGCCGAGGCGGAACTGGAGGAGCGGAGAAAAGCTTGGTCTCCTCCGCCGTACAAAGTGTCCCAGGGGACGTTGTACAAATACATCAAAACGGTGTCCGATGCTGCACACGGCTGTGTGACTGACGCATAGGAACCAGGGGCAGATTAATGAGGTTCTAGACATACAGGTACATGTGCCGTCATGTGGGTATAGATGCGGGGTAACCAATCAATGCTTGGTCGCCTTGACTCGCTTCTTCTTTTCCGCTTTGGGCAGCTTATGCTTCCTCCTCTCACGGGCCTCTTCTTTGACAGCCTTTTTCCGTTCCTGAGAGAAACAGATCAGCCTGCTAGGTCAATAACGGGATTGGGCTAAGTACTTTTTTGGCCTCGCGATCCTCATGCCGCTTCCCACGCGGGCCTTTCTCCTTGAACCCCTCCTCACCCTCATCCTCCTCCTCACTCCCACTCCCACTCTCGCTCTCATCCCCTTCTTCAGCTCCGGGAGACCCATCCCCATCCCCACTCCCATCCCGCCCCTTCCGTCCTTCATTAACACTCACAACACCCGTAATCTCCCCATAGATCAACTCCCTCCCCTCTCCTCGCTGGAGCCGGTCCACATCCCGTTCCGCGTCATAGACTTCGTTCAGCGTGCGCGGGATATAGGACCGCAGGAAGATAGCGTCGTCGTTATGCCTCTCGGGTTCGGCTGGGGCTGGGGGGTCGCTTGCGCTTTGGGCTAGTGCTGAGACAGGAGGGTGTGAGGTGCCGTTCGACGCTGGCAGAGCGGGTGGGAGCGCTCCATTAGCAGGGATAACGTTCCCTTGCCCGTCCACCTCCAGCGGTCGCTCAACCCACTCCCGCATCACCTGCCCCAGTCTCTCCTCCCCCTCCGCTTCCTCCCCAACCCCCTCCCCCTCCCTAGCAAGAGACCCCACCCAATCCCGGGTCACAAACTCGAACGTCCTCCTCAATCCTAGCGTCCTCCCCCCCAGCCTCGCAAAATACTCTTCGACATTCTTGATATCCTGTCTGAGGAAATCGAACGCGTGCGGGTGGTCGTGTTCCACCGATTGGGAGACGTCGATTATGTACAGGTGGGAGTTATGATACCTGCGAACCTAGGTGAGCGTGGGCATGAGAGTACGGAGTGTGGGGGGTACGCACAGGATGTTATACTCGCTCAGATCGGCGTGTACGAGCCTACAAGTCTGGTACATCCTCCGCATAGCAACCACCAGTTCCTCATACAACTCCTGCACGCTCCCCTCCGGCAAACTCGCGTCCTTCAATCTCGGGCTCGCCCACCCTTCCTGCCCCAAGAACCCGAGGACGAGCACGTTCTCCCTCACCTCTATCGGCTCCGGACACCTCACACCGGCGGTCCACAACCGCTTCAGGTTCCGCGTCTCCTTCTCCGCCCAGAGACGGACCATCTTCCTCGGGTTGCGTCGGCTGTACCCGTGCCGGAATCGGTGCTCGCCTGTGACGTATCGGTCCCGGTCTTTGAATACTAGGATAGAGGTTTTGTAGATCTTTAGTGCGAGGTGGGTGGGCGGGTGCGAGGGGGTTAGCGCGTGGTAGACGTTGGCCTGAATGCACCATCATGATCTTCTGAGCAGGAAGCATTCAGCAAAGAAGAACGTACCTCCTTGCCCGTGCTGATACACCCGTTAACTTCCCCCACCAGCCCCCGACCAATCATCTTAAACAAGATGAGCCTCGTCCTGGGATCCAGGACCTGCTCACTCGTCGCCCGGTCCGCTTTGTCCTTCAGGTTCGCCCGATCAGCTGCGCCCTTCCGGTTCACGCTGGATCCCATACCGGTGCTGTAGGGCAACTCGAGGAGTGAGAGGCGTGATGCGTACTTGGCAGTGAGCAGCGCTAGTTGGTCTTGTGCTGATATGCGGGACGTGGACTGGGAGGCGGAGGCGGTGGCGGGTGCGGTGGACTTGTTCGCAAGGCGGGGGAGGTTGACAGCTGGGAGGGGAGCGACAGATGATTGCTGAGTAGAAGATTGTTGACCTTGTGCATGACCGGTTCGGACGGCTACATGCTGTCGCAGCCGGTTGTATTGTTTCGTAAAGTCTGCCTGGCATTAACGAACACTGTCTGCAAAGCAGAGTGAGGACACACCTCTCTGCGCCGCCTCCCAATCTTCGTCATTGACCGCGTCCATCCCCCCATCCCCGTACTCTCCTTCCTCCCACACTTCGTCCTCCTCCTCTTCCAGGTAGTCGTCGGACCATTCTAGGTCCTCCGGCTGCTGGTCGACGTATGCTTCCCCTGCTACTCGAGCTGAGGACTGGAGGAGAACATCGTGTTCTAGTTCTGCGTCGGAGAATTGACCGTCGACGGGGTGGGCATAGTCTGACATTGGCTATAGAGGAGAGGTGGGTGAGGGTGGTGAGGTGAGGGTTGCTGATATAGGCAGGAAGTGAAAAAAAAGTTGACTAGGGTACTGCCGTAATTTGTTTTCACGTGCTACCATGTGACCGCAACTTGATGGTATCCACGTTACTAACAAGAATATTATTATTTTCTTACTACCTTCTTGTATACGAACTGAACTGTCAACGAATACTCAGAACAATGTTACAAATAGAGGTTCTGACATACGAACACATGAATGGGAATAAACTATTCAAATCGCCTGGAATGCTGTGAACCTTGTCCTACTAGTAACTGTCGATTCACTACAAGACATGCTGATCTGAACTTTATGCGCACTTGACCTATGGCCTACATACTCACACTCAGTCAACCTTCACCTTCACTAGCATCTACCACCATTATTGAGTACTGCCCCATCAGCCACTTTACAATCACTTCACTACCTTAACATCCTAACTAAGATAATACGACCCCCATCAAATACCCAACAACCACCAACCAACGCAACATACTAATCAACATGCAATCCCTTCTCATCCTACTCATCACTCTCCTGCCCCTCGTCTCCGCCACACACGGCAAAGCCGCCCGCTCCCTCCGCCGACACGCAAAGCAGCCAACGATCACCTGTCCCTCCGGTCAATACTTCAACAACTCCGGGTGCGTTCCCTCTCCCCCTTCCCACCCCACATCCCACTAACCAACGAGTGTTCCGCATATATCCTGCCTCTCTGTGTGTGAACGGCAGATGCGAACCATGCCCGGAGAATCATATGTGCGCTTTTTCGGAGATGTACCCTTGTCCCGAGGGGACGTCCTCCTGGCCTGGGGCGAGCGAGTGCTCCGCAAGAGGGGCGTACGACGGCCCCTCCGCACAGGAATACTTCTCCCCATCATCCTTCTCCCGCCCTCCTGCGCGTAACCCCAACCCGGGCATACAACCCGAGGATTCGGAGGCGGATGGGGATGCGGACGGGGAGGAGTACACGGACGATGGCGAGTCTGAGTGGCCTGCTCATCCGCATACGTTGAAGAAGGACGCCTGCTTCGAGTTGGGGGAAATGTCCTGTCCCGGCCTGGATGGGAAAGGCAGGTTCTGTATAGACCCGATGACGAACCTCGAGTGCGTACGCGTTTGCTCTTCCTCCTACCCACACCCACGCCCACATCCGCATCCTCGTCTACGCCGACATCTTCATCTTCATCTTCATCGGACTCGAGGCTGATGGCATGACAGAGCATGTGGCGGCTGCTCGCTACCAGACGAGTTCGGCTACGCCCCAGGCACAGACTGTACAGCCCTCGAAGGCGCGCTCGATGTCTCCTGTCAAGCCGGGAACTGTCTTATCAGTACGTCTCTCCCCTATCCCTTCCCTTCTCTTCCTAGCAATAGTTGCTGATAGTCACCGTTCGTTGTTGTATAGGCTCGTGCAGGACTGGGTTCGGGGTCGTTCACACTAGCAGGGGCATGCAGTGCGTGAAGGATTATGATAGGCTTTTGGCCAAAGCGCAGATGTCCCGCCCGGGGATGGTTCGTGGGAGACGCTGAGCGAAGTTGTGCCTTACATGGTTATAGCAGACAGGAGACGACTCTCGTTGACCATTATTTGTACATTACTGTAGAGCCAAGCAGAGAACAACATTTCCAGCACACCTGGTCTAAATGAATGGGCTATTTAGGTCGCGTGCTTCGCTATTGGATCGGCGCTGATGCCGAAGAGCCGAAAGTGTGTTCCGCCCTTTATTCCGAGGTGGACTATGACAGGTACAACAAATGAATATTAATGATCCAGTCTTGTCTGTCACTGCGCACAAACGGTGCATTCGTATACCTTGGTGCATCAGCATTCTACCCAACACTGCCAACAGAACAGGAAGATGACTTCCTCACCCCCTTCCCCCCTCGTCCGAGCCCTCTTCTCCATCGGGCTCGAAGCGCTCCTCACTCTCTCCCATGACGGCCTTCTCATCCTACTCCAACGCATGCTGCGAATGTACGCCTACGGCAGCTCCACGCTCGTCCTTGCGCTCCTTTTCTCCTCTTTGGGGCTCTCGGACACCCAACTAGGCGCGTTTATGACCCTTACCCTGCTGGGAGACGTCCTCGTTAGCTTGCTGTTGACGCTCGTGGCGGATAGGCTGGGGAGGAGGAATATCCTCATGGCGGGGGCAGGGCTGATGCTTGTCAGCGGGGTGGTATTCGCCTTGAGCAGCAGCTACGCAGTGCTCCTCCTCGCCGCTATAGTCGGGGTTATCAGCCCCAGGTGCGCTCCCTCGGCCTGGAGTGACGGCGCAAGCTGACCAAATATTTAGCGGAAACGAGATAGGCCCATTCCGCGCGATCGAAGAATCTATCCAAGCGCAAATCACACCTTCCCCACTCCGAGCCGACATATTCGCCATCTCCGGCATGCTGGGTTTCCTCTCTGCCGCAGCTGGGCAGGCCTCGATAGGGTGGGCAACGGAGCGTCTTATCCGGGCGGAGTGGGGTGAGCTAGGGGCGTACAGGGCTGTGTTCTGGGTGTATGCGGGTTGTGCGGCTGGGAAGCTGCTGTTGACGCTGGGGATGAGTGAGGGGTGTGAGGTCGAGAAGGTGTGTCTTTCGGTGTTTCTGGATTTGAGAAGTCGACTGATCGTCCGAACAGAAAGAGGATTATAGGCCTGTGGAAGAGGATGAGATCCCTTTGCAGGAAGAAGACGGTCTGGAGCTACCGGACACACCAGAGGCAGAAACGCCGCTCCCTCCCACGCCGTCAAAGCTCAAGCATCCTAAGCCTCTGAGTCTGTTCTCCCGTTTTACCAGCCTCTTCCCGACGTTGTCCCCCGAATCCCGCTCCATCGTCTGGAAGCTCTCCCTCCTCTTCGCGCTGGACAGCCTCGGGGGCGGACTCGTCCCCCAGTCCTTCGTCGTCTACTTCTTCTACCAAAAGTTCGGGCTCGCAACATCCGTCCTAGGCATGATATTCAGCATCACATCCGTCGTTTCCGGGATCTCGAACCTCGTCGCTGTGGCGATCGCCAAGCAGATCGGTTTGGTGCGGACGATGGTGTACACCCACCTGCCTTCGGCGATCTTCCTCTCCCTCACTCCTGCAAGCTCGAACCTCTACATAGCAGCAGCATGCATCATCCTCCGCTCCTCGACATCCTCCATGGACCGCGCGCCGCGGACAGCGTTCACAGCCCAAGTAGTGCTGAAAGAAGAACGCACAGGCGTGTTGGGGATCGTCAATGTCGCGCGGACGCTTGCTCAGGCTGCGGGGCCTTGGATCTCGGGACGCCTGAGCGAGACGGGGCATTTGTGGCTTAGCTTTGTCGTTGCTGGAGGGATGAAAGCGGTGTATGATCTTGGTATATTGGCGGTGTTCTTGAATACGAAACCGAGGGAGGAGGGCGCGTGACCGCGGAGGTCGAGCATCCAAAGCAATCAAGATGGAGGAGAGTTGCATAAAAGTGAATATACCTTAGGAATTTCATGGAGATACCCAGGTTCATTGTTGGAGATATCCATAGATTGTATTAGTTTATGAGATGTAGAGGCATATGTATCGGAAATGGAATCGAAGTTTGTGAGGCCTGTCGATCTTTCTAAAGCAGGCTGCCTGCACTTGTCCGCTGGTAATCCCATTCCATGAGGCTTAAACAGTTACATACAAGTATTCATGACTGAGAGAATGGTAGCCTAGTGCATGTATATGAGAACGAGTTGGCCATTATGCAGGTGCAATGAAGTTGGGCCGTGCACACGTTGACGTTGACGCGTCGCTCTTCAGTCTTGTTCTCAATTATCTAAGTAAGGCAGTGCGAGGTCAACGACGAGGACTCGACTGCACATGTTCATGGTCTACGAGTCTTCTCCTTCTGTCAAGGAGACAGCCTGGCAAACTGCGCCGTAGCTTCGTCATAGAACTATATAGGCGGCTGTCATTCGTATTCGTATTAGAGTGAGCTGTCAGTCCGTCATGCGCCCATTTCGATCTCCTCTCAGGGAGAAGGCGCACTTACTGCCCGCTACTACGTTTGTCGAAGGGATTCCGAGCAATGGCTACCGCAAACGGCAAGAGCGCAAGATTCTGAAACTTGTTCTCACTGCTGCTTTCATATTCTCGCTGATGCAACTATGGAGGCTCTCTCTCTGGCGACAACGTACTGATATTTTGCCTACTCCTGCAACACCGGAGCCGGCGGAATTCTACTCAGCCGTTCGCACAACAAAGATCTGCACGAACGAGGATCGCTCTGCGCTCGGATATGCAGGCTATATCGCGCTGGATGACGATAAGCCCGATAATCAACGGCGATCTTTCTTCTGGTATTGCCGTATGCATCCACCACTCCTGAGCTGCCAACCTGACGTTATGTCCTTGCAGGCTGTTCGAAGCGCAGAACGATGCACAGAATGCACCTGTCATACTTACAATAGGTGGCGGTCCCGGTACGACAGGACTCGCCAACCCGCTGTTTGGTCGTATGTCCCGCTTGGCTGATCATAATGTTCTACTGACAATGCGGAGAATCGCACTGCCTTGTCGCACCTAATGGGACGACGAAGGCTAACCCCGTGCCGTGGTCGGAACATTATAACCTGCTTGCACTGGATCATGTGAGCATGATTCTTTTGGGAATGAAGATCCATAACCTGATTCACGGTGGTTCGATAGCCTATAGGTGTGTTATCAGGTTGTACCTCGGAAAGCTGTTGACCGTAGACTAGGTGTTGGGTTCTCTTACGGCGCAGGGGTGAACAACAGCCGCAGCGCTGCCTACGACGTGTATGACTTCCTGCAAAAGTTCTTCAGGCTCTACCCCAATCTCAGACCGTGATTATTCCCGCCTTCTTACAAGAACTCGCGCTGATCTCGCTCAGGAACAAATTCGTCGTTTCCAGTGGATCGTATGGCGGCATATATGTCCCTCACATTGCCCATGTCATACATGAAGAAAACAAGAAAGTTGCAGCAGGCCGCGGTCAGCCAGGAGCGAAGCACATCAACCTCGACTCGCTAATGATCAGCAACCCACTCTCCGTGAGTCCTCACAATCCCCCCCCCCTTGCAACTCATCGGCCTTCCAACAGGACTTCGAGATGCATTACCGCTGGCTCTTGCAGCAACGATGTTACTACACCAGCATCTACAACGCCACCCAGTGTGCAGAGTTTTACGAACAGCTCCCCGGATGCTTAGACGCTATATCCTACGCGCTCTCGAACTCTACAGCTGCGAACCGGAACCAGGCGGAAGTTACATGTGCGCCTATCAATTCAGGCGACACGCACGGGTGGGATCTCCAGGATGTGCGACTTTACGTGAGTACGCTCTTGCGTGTAAATTGCTCTGGTCTGACGAGGGCTAGTGTGGCGGTAACACGGACGACATTGGCCGGTGTTATCCAGAATTCCCATGGCTCGAAGAGTTCTTGAACAGCACTAAAACACGGGAAGAGCTGGGAATCCCTAAGCACGTCTCGTATCAGGCATTGTCGGAGACGGTGTTCCGGGAATTCTGGGCGGAGGGCGACTTGTGCGTTGGGACGATCCTCGAGTATGATGTGGCTGACTCGTGTGACAGAGTACAGCGTGCTCAGCTGCTGTATATCCCCTTGCTGGAAGACGGGATTCGTGTACTTCGTATGTATCCTTGTGTGGCTCCGCGGGAGTGAGAGCTGAGCTGTCTCCTCAGATTATGTGGGGTACAGAGACGCGAACTGTGCCTGGCCAGGGATCATAGCTTTCGTACGTCCGGATTCCGCACTTTTTCCCTGTGGGAACTCAGTCAGACCTCTGTCAGCTCAAACTCCTGAAATCACCTTTCCAAGAACGGTTCCTCAACACACCCGACGTGCCCTGGCCGACAGAGGACGTCGCTACCGTCCGAGCCGTAGGGCCAGGAGCGGGAAACTTCACTTATATCCTTGTTAAGGAAGCTGGCCATCTGGTAAACTCCTTGGTCTGTGTATGAAGTGCGCGCTGAATGGATGCAGGTTGAGAAGAACCAACCGGCCCTTGTGAAGAGTATCGTCGAACATTGGATTGAGAACAAGGCGTTTGTTGAAGTGGAGTAGATTCTAGGGAGAAGAGGTACCTGTTCGCTCTGTTCTAGCCCGGGCTTTGGGACATTTCACAGCTGGATGTACAATACCGTTCCACCAATATGGAATGGATAGATAAAGGATTCAGATTTCGTTCGATACCTATATGCGGAATACATCTTGATGTTCATCATCTCGACTTGGTACCTCCTCCCCATCCACCTGACTGTCTCCCTCTTGCTCGTCCCGTGTCCTCCAGCAGAAGCAGAAGTAGAAGCATAATCACTCACAACCAAGTTCGGGCACATCGGCTGGCTCAACTCGCCTCCAAACCCCGCTGCAAGCCACAACAACACCCCGTTCGTCCATCCAAATCTAATAATTAATAGCGACCCCCCCGTGGCGGTGTAGACAAGCGCACGTGGCATTTACACTTGATTGTAAGAGCCCGGGTAAGACCCTCAAAAATGCGACGCGGATTTTGGACCCTAGCTCACATTTGTACACTTTCTAATCGCAAGGTTATAAAATTTATTAATAATTTTCTGACTACACAAAAGTGTACAAAAAATGTACAAAAAATTGAAACGAAAATTGTGACACACTTCCGGAGGCGCGCAAATAGATTCACAAAAACATCACACCCATAGGGTGAATGGATAGGGGTGTCACTCCCAGGGTCTGTTTCCTACTATGTGGGGAAGAAGGAAGCAAAGCAATAATTGATAGTATCCGGACCCATACAACATGAATAATTAATTATTCACGTTGTTACTGCTGCCACTGTGGAAAAATAAAGTGTGTAATTGTTGAATGTTGGTTGACCCTCAGAAATTAATTGGTATTTTATTTGACTATAGAACACAAGACACACTTATTGAACAAAACAAACAAAAACATGAACTGTTACACAAAGTGTATTATCATGTAAGTGAATCAGGATTCAAAGGGGATTGCAGGGTATGCTGAAAGGGAACTTAATTGGTGTAGGTCAGAGCCTACAACACCCTGCTCTTCACAGAGAAGTGAAGACTATGCAAGATGTGAACAAAACTTGACATCACCAAGTGAACACCTTGCCTGCTTGCCCTATGAGTGCAGCCCCATTCCACAGCCAGTATTTGGCCATCAGAGTGCTAACTTGGAGCACCAGAGACCTGACCCATTACTTCAAAGGCCATTTGGACCTGCTACCACAAATCTTGCTACTGTCAATGCAGTCCCTATATCATCACTCATTCCTCCTATGCAAACATTATCTCATCAGCAATGTCTTGCTGAAAGGGCTTCTCAGAAGCATCAAAATCAATCTGCCTCACAGCAAGCCCACAGGGATAATGATTTTGGAATGCATTTTGGTCATCTAGACTTTGTGGAACCACAGCTGGAAGAGCTCCAGCTACCACATCAAGAAGGAAATGATCTGTGACTTGGAGGGCAAAATGAGCAAGGGCAGAATGAAGTAATTGAGGAAGAACAAAGGCAGCAAAGAGAACTGGAGGCACAAAATGCAATACAAGCATCACAAGTCCCCTGTGCATGGCAACCACATGAAGTGCAGCAGTATGCAGAAAAGGCTGCTCACAATCACCACAAAGTGATTTACCTAGGCAGGATGGATAGGTCCTGTGCCTTCTGTCTTGCTTTACACTTCATTAAAGAACGAACAGGACACTCAACCATTGCAGAGCCAATATTCACAAAATGCTGTCTATGTGGTCAAATACAGCTCCCTGATTTCTTGCCAGTGCCACCAGAGCTAGCCAGACTGATGGCCTCTGATGGTGAACATGCAAGGCACTTCAAAGAGAATATCCAGCAGTATAATCATGCACTCTCTTTTGTTTCACTTGCCACAACTAGAAGTGATGTGATTCCACAAGCACAAGGTATACAGTCTTTTTCTATACAAGGAGGACATTGCTATGGACCAGCTCACCCAGTTGGAGAGACACACCCAGCATACAATCAGCTATACTTTCTGGACCCACAGGTGGCCAACATAGAACATGCATGACACAACACAAATCTTAGGTCACAAATCCTGTGGGAGTTGGGTGAGGTTCTGCAAGAGAAACACTTTTATGCAGAGCGATTTCAGCATGCATTTGAGGTTCTGAAGGAACAGGAGAGGCACAATATAGAGGCTGGAAGACCCAATGAAGTGGTGGAAGTATGCCTGCATTTTGACCCAAAGCAAGACCAATGCCACTATAACTTGCCAACTGTGGAAGAAGTTACTGTTGTCCTCCCTAATACACTCACAAATGAGCAAAGGGACTTTGTGCTACATAACTGCACAGATGGACAGCTCACAATATGAGCACTGGCAACCCTGCATATATGCCATTGCATTATGTGCTGGCATTCCCAAATGGTGAATATGGATGGCATTGGGCTATACCAAAGGTTGGGCAGGCTGTACAGCACAATCAGGGCGAGCAAGATGGGCTGGAAGATGAGCAAGAAGATGATGCAGAAGTCCAGGGAATGTCCCAAGGAACAAAGGTCACAGAAATGGAGTATTATTGCAACCACCTTCATTTCTGCAACCTTCCATGGGCATTCCACCTTTTCCACTGTGGAAGGCTATTCCAGCAGTTCATTGTCGATGCCTGGGCCTGTGTGGATCAAGCACGCCTGCGTTGGATTAATTTAACCAAAGAACAATCTGAGCAGAAGTGTACAATGGCTTAGCAGATGCAGTCGCAAATAATGACCACACATGTGAGCTTTCCCAAGTTGGCAGGTGTGTTATTCTGCCTTCCTCCTTTGTCTCCAGTGGTTGCTTTATGTACCAGCTATACCAGGACTCCATGGCAATTGTTTGCTGGGCTGGATGCCCTGACATCTTCTTGATGCTCACTGCAAATCCAAAATGGTGTGAAATTGTCAAGAACTGTCAGGGCACCAGCTCATTGCTTGGTCAAGAGACATGACTAAGCCTTTATGACATGGAAATAGCTGGTATACCTTGGCATGTGCTGGAACCTGCTGGAAGGATTGGATGGTCAGGTGACCTGCTGTGCATGGCTGTGCATGACCTCATATGACCTCATCCTTGGTCATATGACCTGATCACCTGACTAGGCTGAGTAAGCAAGATGTTCTAGCAGGTTCCACCACAGAGGTATAAATATAAGGCCTACTCTGCCTGGGGACTGTCTCTTCAGACTTGGTCTCTTAGGATCATCCACAGGTACCTATACTGTAGATAGGTCTTAGTCATCAGGTCTACTCCACTTCCTTGTTGCCTGCTTAGACTCTTGGCACTCTTAGGTGAGCAGACTTAGTCAGCCTGTGTTGCCCTAACAAGAACC